TCTAAAGAATACTCAGAGCAAAAAGTTTAAAAGTATATATATTTTTATTAACTTTTTTTTTTTAAAGTTAAAGCCCTAAATAAAGTATCCAAGTTAATATCTTTAAAATATTTAAAGCTACATAAATCAATACCTTTCAAGATAAAAGTATTACCTGAACAAATTAGAAACTATAGTAATCATCTTAAATATTTACGATTCTGCAAAAACGTTTTAGTCGTAAATGCGACATTAAAGCCAATAAAATTTAATTTATTTTTATTACCCGAGACAAATATGTAAATCGACTAACATTCTAGCATTTAGAATAAGGTATACTGTCTAACACCTACCTATTAATGGGATTACGATTCTAACACACATTTGAAACCGACAAACATCACAACCATTCTATCTTGTATAATCTTTTATTTTTCTCTTGTAGCAAAAGAATAGTTAATATCAGTAGAACTGAAGACGATGTGCATCTAGTGCATAGGGAAATGGCAAATGGAAAACATACAAAATCTGTTCAGGTAGATTTTGAACATTTTCGAACTTCCTTTGTAGTTAAATTCTAAATGTAATGCAAGACGGCGCACTTATGCAACAAATTTAAGTTTTTCATTTTTGATTTCCTTATCGACTACGAAATTTATTTCGCTTTGTAAAATTTGCACACTTAAAAATAAAAAGAGGCATTTTATGTGGAAGTCCATTTAACATATTCTAATTTATTTTAAAGAACAATTTAAGCAAAGCAGACTTCATTTAATGAAATTTAACTCCAAACACTGCCTTGTTTAAAGCTTTTTCTTTACTTACTTTTGTACATTTTTTATGATTTTTAATTAAAAAAAACTAATAAATCATTAATTTTACGACTTGCAGGTCGCCGAGTGGATGGGAAGACGCGATGCCTGGTCAGCGGAGAAACCTCCCGATACCAGAACGAAGCCCACCCGCTGGGAGTTCCACGATGGACGTGAACAGCTTGACGAAAACCTAGGCAGGAGCCAGGACATAGTCGAGGGGCGACACATCCAATCCGCCGAGGAGCAGCATCGTAGAGTTCGCATCAAGTAAGTAATTAAAATCTTAAAAAAAGACTAACTAATTTATATTTATATCGGATTACCAGGAATAACCACACAGCCAAAGACGATCTTCATCTTAGTTTCCATAACTCTAGGACCAATCTGATTAACGACCGCGACATTTATATGGAGGATGTAATTGAGAACCGTGATCTGGGGGAGCACGAGAGGGAGCACATTTCCCGGACCAGGGTGAATCGCCGGAAGCATTACGATTCCACGGAAGTCCGGCACATTGACGATGATTCCATGCGAAGACACGAGATTGACCGGGGCAGTGACATTGACTTCAACACCGCTCGCAACAACAGCCTGAAGAGCAAACGGGAGCTCTTCATCAAGGACGGGAACGTGGAGATCCTCCAGCTAATGACCAGAGACAAGACGCGGGACGGTGGAAACCTGGACGATGACAACATCTATGTGAACGTCCCCCTAAAGCCAGCGGGCAATCTTTCCCATCCCCAGCTATTGATGGTTGACAACTCCGGGAAGGAGATCCTGATGCGGAGGTTCATTGAGGAGCAACCGGATGGCAAGCAGATCATACGGGAGCACTACCAAATAGTACCAGGAGCCACCTACATCCAGTCGATGCCGAATGAAGTTCAACAGGGATCCACTCTAAAGGGAGACACTTTCCCGTTGGGCAAGTCCGGTCCAAACAGCATAGTCTACTCCCAGTTGGAGCCCGAGGTAAAGGTTATCCACACTCAGCCCGTCCAGGCTGGCCAGGATGGCATGCCCCTGGAGCAACAACTGCCCCTTCAGCCTGCGGTTTCCAATCAGTCACTTACCCACGAGCTGGAGCACTCCCTGAAACAGCAGAACGCCCTGCTCCGCCAGATTCTGCTCGAGAAAGAGAAGCTAGAGAATGCCTACACACAGCACGAGGTGGCTCTGGAGACCCAATCCCTGCCGGGACAATCTATGGCCATTGGAACGCAGACGGATTGCGATGCTGGGACACAAACCGAGGGATTCGACAATGCCCTAGATCCTGAGATATCCTTGGCGAAGCCTTCCCGCCGACGAGCTCGAAGCGAAAACGACGAGTCCATGTCCGAAGACGGTTACGAATACGTTCGGTTCAATCCGCCAAACAGTCCGGAAGGGGTTTACTGGATAAAGAGACGTCGGACAAAAAAACGTACTCGCCAGCCCCGAAAACGAATCGTCATGGTCGAGGAAGTGAAGAGAAAAATCCGTACGCCCATCAAGGAGGAAGAGGAGCTGCAGGATAAAAAGAAGAAGCGAGTGCCTCCAAAGAAACCTCTGAGGGAAACCAAAACCAGTATCCTGCGCAAGCAGCTGAGTGACGAAAGTCGAAAGGATAATTCCCGCAATGGGGAAACCCAAACGTCAAATCACTCTCGAAAGGACCAAGAGCTCTTCATGGAAGTTACCGATTCCATGGATGAACTGGCCAGTCCCGGTTCCCACAGCATACGAAAGATTCAAGTGGAGAAGTACTACAAGCACTCGGATGGGGACTTCGATGAGGATGACACAGAGTACTCCATCGATTCGGACGGGGATGAGATAGTAATCAGGACAAACTACCCTAGCAGGGGTCAAGATCACGAAAGGTACATCAGAAGAGAGGAAAGGGAGGAGAACCGAAGCCGGCAGAGTCACCAGAGGAAGCCGCCCTCCCCAGAGGACGACCAGCCAGAGGCGAAGCCACGGTTGTCCCGAAGAGACAGCTCCAAGCGAGGCTCCAGAAAGCAGACCTCCTCGGAACCACCACATAATCGGGTGTCCATTTCCAAGTACGAGTCCACCGTAAGTGAAAATGGCAGGAAACTCACAGCCACTTCCACGGAAATTGTAGGCTCCAAGCGTTCCCTTACCGACAGAAGCTATCAGAGTGAAACAGAGCTGGCTGATCCCGACCAGGGAGAACGAAATGTGCCCAAGTACATGGAGTGGTACTACAACAAAAAGAAGTCCTCGGTAAGTGGACGCACTTCCACAGAGTCGTCGAAGTCCCAGCCATCCAGCAAAAAGAAAATGGGTGCCGCAGAGAAGAAGGTTTCTAAGACCCGGATAGCTGTGCAGCCCAAGGATTTCGAGGATGATGAGGAGGGTAACGGAGGGCGTTACAAGCCAGAACCAGCTCCACGGAGATCGCCACCGAAGGGCAGTCGCATGCTGAAGGAAGATCGGGCTCTGAACAAACAGCACAAACCAAAAATCGAGACTGACACAAACCACCCACTTCTCCAGCACTCGGAGCACCGTTTCGAAAGGGAAAAGACCATGGAGGTGCCTGCGGCACCCACAAAACTGCCCCATTATATGTATCCGGAGACTCCACCCCATGCAGCTGCTCCTGCCCCCGGTAAGGAGGCCAAATCTAAGCAGGACCTGAAACCGAAGCCTTCGCCCATCAGGGAAAACGAAGTGAAGGTCTCCAATTCCAAGATCTATGTGGAGAATCGAGGCTCGGCGAATCCCACGCAGAAACAGCTGAACGCCTCCACTCTGGAGGACGACCACGATTCCGGAATAGCCATGAACTCGCTGCTCAATAGCTTGGGACGCAGGAATCCCATTGCCGAGAAGAAGAGTGTCTTCTCCATTGCCTACGACGACGTCAGCCGGGTGAAGAAGATCAACTCGGGCGGGGAATCGCCCCAGTACTCCTAGGGCCTTCCCCACTCCAACTCTGCAACTGCAACTCCAAACCCTGTAAAGGAACAATCATATGTGATAGCCTCAAAGGCTCCCTACCTGCGAATCATCGAACCAATACAATATCTGCAATACTGTATAAAATATACACCAAATGCCAGCATGCATGTTACCCCCTTCGTAGTCTACGGGATGTTGAAAATAAATTGTTCAACTCGTTCAGCCGTGCACCGCAATTAAGTTACGTTTCCGGATCTGGTTAGCCGCTTTCATATTTAATCTTAAGCCGACGAAATGTAGTTACATTTTTTTATATATTTAACGTTATATTTAGACAACCAAGTGAGTATAGTATTCTCGCGCACACTTGTATTGAAAGCTATCCTATTAAATGCATAATTAACTGGACTATGTACGACCAAAATTGTTAAGAATATTTATATATGGATTTATATGTTTAATGTTTACTGTGTACATACGAACATTTGTAGTTTAGTTAAAGCGGACAAGTCATTACCAAGTGCTTTCCTACCACAAAACTCGTGCAAATGTGTATGTTCGTAAGTTAGTGTACATTCTGCAGTCGAATAAAGTAATGCCTGCCATATTGAAAACACTTGCAAATATAATCTTAAAACATCAGTATCGAGTAAATGTAAATATTGTAACTATAAGCTTATGCAAATAAATCAAATTAATCCCATTACTTAGTTTTTTATTTTCTATCTTGCCCCTGAACGTCAACAAACACCCAACAAGGGTTAATATCTTCAAGTACCCTTCGATGGTGTCAAAGAATATTAAGAAAAAACAGGTTCTATTGGTTGTGAAGTTGGCTAAGCCTCTTATATATCTCTTATAGCTCTTATACATACTAAGTTAGGGCGGAAACGGAACGAACCTGGTTCGAACGCATCCACTCGAACCAAAAAAATATCTTGTATCTTATAGAACTTGCATCTTTCCTGTGGACTTTCGAATATATTCTATAATCATGTACAATTTATGTTGGCTATAGAGATATAAGGAATATTTCGATTTTGTTTTAATCATTTTTGGAAAAACTAGATAAATTATTTTATTTAAAAAGAAATCCACTAACTACGATTTTTACATAAAAATATGATACTCGCTAGATAAGATTCCGGTTAAGTAATAGGTATTATAAAGTCGAGATATGTTTTAATAATGTTGGGTGATCGAAAGCAACCACCTCGTCGAACCACTATGTTGGAAAGCTCTCCCTCTCTTTCCGGACGCCCTGGCTGAGTAGTCGCAGAGGGTGATTACCAGTTCCATTACTTGTAATGCCCCGAAACCCACTCTGCTGTTCATTGTTTGCCGCTGGGAAGTTGCCGCCTCAGAACCGAGAGCTCATTCGAATTCTTGAGTGGATGTGAGTTGTTTGGTTTTTGTTTGCGCTCCGCGCTCCATATATTTCGGACATGAAATAAAACATTTATTTAATTACAGATTTCCCAAAGTATTAATTTAAACCCGACATCTGTGTGAAAAATCATCAGCAAAATGTGCAAGTGCCTAGCCGGAAACATAGCCTGCTGGTGAGTGGATTTAATTGAGCATCTTGAGTATTGAGCTTGTGAGGAATTAAAAGATGAATAGATACTTTTGTATATATACATAGATTAAAAAGGTCGTGGCTGTAAGATATACATAAATAGATCGGGAAGTCATGAGTAAGAAGGCAGATAAGAAAGTTTGCAACCACCTGATAGCATAACTCACTTCTAATTATTCACGCATTCTAAAGTGTGTTTATTTTATTGAAAAGGAAGCAATTAGCTTGAATTACTTTCCCTTTTGTTTATTGTATTTTTTATTTATAAAACGGAAGCAGAATTTACTGCGAAACTCTGAAAATATCCCCTGTGCGAATTACAGCTTGCGTCTCTTATACGTTGGTATGTACTCGTACACACAGGTATTCATATCACAAATGAAAACAATGAGTGCAGGTAAACAAACCGCCAGACCCGCTCTCAGATTGGTTCTACCTGAAAGTGTTTCCACTTTCGGCGTTATATTCTCATCGTCTTTTTTTTCAAACTAATGCTCACACAAGCTGGTAGAATAAATTACTTAATTGTCTGTGGGTATATCATACGCACTGTGGCTGCGAAGAATGTGTACGGGTACATGACATGCAACGCGGAATCCACAGAAGACTGCTTATTATTATTCCAGCTCACGCTTCCCAAAGGCCCTCGTTTTATGTATTCATATTCGCGTACAGTGACCACAATTGAAAACAGTCGTATTTGCGTATCTATTAGATACCAAGACCGGGTCATAGAGCAGCCGGGGGAAGGGGAACCGAAACTTAATGGTGGAATGCCACACTGGCACCAGAGAGTCCTGGCACCAGTGAGGCGCGACGGAATAACATATCTACCCTTAGGAATCTTCATCTCCATCCCCTCAATTGTTTTGGCCAACAAGGTTCGGGGTCGTCCGTCTGTCGCCGGTTTCGCATTTCCGTAGGAATGTCGCCGCCACTTCTTGGCCATGAAATATATGTACTGGGGTGGAAATTAACTCTGCGAATGCTATTTAGGGTGCATTTTTATTAGAGGAATTCTTCATGCGTAATTAACCCGCAAAGTATTACGCATGATGTATGTTTATTCCCCACCCATATGGTTAATTAGTCAACGAAATAATAATGAGAAACTTTCATTCTGTTTCCTATTATTTCCAGTTGCTGCAGCTGCGCCATTAGTATGCTCGTTTCAATCATCAGTACTTTCCTGGTGGTCATCATTGTAGTGGGCTTGGCGGTCTACTTCATCTACTACTACGAGCAGGAGGACGAAGTTACAAAACTTACCAACAAAGTTACCGATAGCGTCCAATCAAGCTTTGACAAAATAAAAGATGCTCTCAGCAGATAAGCTGAACATCATCTTTTGGTAAGATTTATAAATCATTTCTTCTGCTTCATCTTAACTAAATTTGCCTTTAATTTCAGAATAATTCACATCTTTAAATGTTCCAAGCTATACAATTCCATTGATCCAGATAAGCCACCAATCTTTAACGAGAACAAACTTAAATACCGCCGAAGCCTTGAAGTCGAGGATGATTGTTAAACTTTTTTAATGCCAGTACAAACAAAATGTTTAAAAATCCCATACTATTGTGAATCTCCGACTAACAGAATGTTCCAACGCTTAAAAATTGTAAAATTAAATTATTTAAATATTTTAAAACAGAACTAAAAACTTTTTAAGACAGAATTGATTGATGTAAAATGTGGCGGAGCCTTTTTAATAAATAGTTTTCATATACAGCTTAAAAGCTTTTGGTCTTTCTTTTCTCCGAAGATGAAGTCATTTTCTATTTTAAGAGATTCCCATATTATTCGTGGATGCGAGCAGCCTATTTATTCCAAATATATACGATAAACTCATTTCCGTTCATGAAAAAATGTCTGGAATTAAACTACAAGAAATTTTCTTTCTCAAGGTCGTCTTCTAAGTTAAATATAAAATTTTTCTTATCAACTATGCTTGTTTTAATGGGAAAATCTACGCAAAACAATCATTTCTTTAGGGAATAATTCAGTACAGCGATAAAAGTCTAAACGTTGTACTGAATAATCAAAGTAACATCACGACCTTGTGGAAATCTCTCCTTGCAAACTCCTGGGTAATCACCAATAAAATCGATATGTTCTGAACCATTTTGGAGCCATCGACTCGATGAACTTCTACCAGGCTCCCATAAAGTACAGGTCGGCTGCCAATCGTTCGACGACTTCGATTTGGACCCAAATCAGCCCCTTCATCGCTCCGAAATGGGAAACTCAACACGCCGGCGCTGGCGCTGGGGAATGGGGGAAATCAGACACGGGGGAGCAGTGGAAACTCAACATGGAGGGGAAATGGGAGCTCATCAAAAAGGATGAAATAAAGGTTTTTCCATCAGTCCGGCAACACTCTACAATAAAACTGTCGCATTTAAAATAATTATTTGAATCATTATTTAATCTTTAAAGAAATAGAATTTTTAAATATGCGCTAAATTATACAATATTTTAAAAATCTAGAGTGTGGCCAACTACCTAAACAAAAAAAATACAAGTATTTTTATGTTGAGTATCTCGCACCCTGTGAAATCACGTATAAGCCAGAGTAATGTAAACAAAAATAAAGTATACGAATGGAGAACTCGGAGATTGAGTTTAATGACGACTATGAGCATCCTGACAATGTGGAATACATATTAGAATCCGTGCTAATGCCCAGCGATGGCAGCTTAGAATTTAACCTTTTAGCAGAGGAATATAATTCAATTCTTCTGAACCAGTGCCGGTGCAATACAGAAGCCTGTGAAAATATAGAAACATGTACTCATGGAGGACAATACGAGATGAAACCCAAAGAAAAGGAACTAACTTTAAAGAAATTAAAAATAAATACTGTACGCCCCATCATTGAGTGCAATGATTTATGCGGTTGCAGTAAAAATTCTTGCCTAAACCGCCTGGTTCAATATGGTCCAAGGAAGAATCTTGAGGTATTCCATTCCCCTAAATATAGATCCCATGGTCTACGCACAAAAGTTAATATACCTTCAGGAGCCTTTATCTGTGAATATGCTGGCGAGCTGCTAACAGTCAGTGAGGCAAAAAAGCGATTGGAAGAAAACCAAAAGCTTGGCCTGATGAACTACATATTGGTTCTTAACGAATATTCAAACGAGAAGAAGCAACAGGTGACTATTGTGGATCCTTCTCGGCGAGGAAACATTGGACGCTATCTGAACCACAGCTGTGATCCCAACTGCCAAATAGGAGCTGTACGAATAGATTGTCCTATACCGAAATTAGGTAAATTTTATTGATTACTTTGCTCCAGTTACTGGAAATAAGTTTACGTATCTATATCGGCAGGAATATTTGCAGCCCGAGACATTGTGGCACAGGAGGAATTGTGTTTCCACTACGGCGGAGAGGGGCAGTCCAAAAACATAAACGAAGGAAAGGCTTGTCTCTGCGCTGCTGCCAATTGTACGGGTTTTATGCCAAACACTTCAATAGAATAGATTGAATAGTTAATAATTCCAGTTAATAATATAATAAAAGTTACCAGTTAAAGTTTATTTTGAACATGTTTGTCCAGCGGTGGAAGCTTTTCCAGGATCCATTGCTGCAGATCCGTCAGTGACGCGGTTTTCAGTTCATGCAGTGTGTTCCTTAGCGGATGGAATGTGCCATTGACCCCAAGTTTTTTAAGAGTATCAAATGTTTCCTTGCCCCACTCCTGTGGTACCAGGGTATCCCGTTCCCCGTGGAACATCCTGAGTTCTGGCAGAGCTTGTGAGCGATTCTGAAGGGATTCGTAAACGACAGAGCCACGATTAAGGAACGAAGAGTGGGCGAAGACCCCAGCCAGTTCGGGACGCAAATGATAGCCGGTGTGCAAGGCCAGAGCTCCACCCATGGAAAATCCGCCAACAATAATTCTATTTAATGGAATTCCGTTGGCCACCTCTTCGTCGATTAGTTTATTCACCGAATCGTAGCATCGGGACATGCTCTTCTTGCTTTCTTGGGCGGCAATGTTGACAGATTTCCGGTCAAACCACACGTTGGACAGCTGACCATCCAGCGGTGTGTACTTTTGAAGCGGTGCCGTGGGATAGATTATCTTTATGTGCGGGTACTCCAGATCCCGGCCGAGCAAAAAGCGCACCCATTCCAGCACATTCGGGCCGGTGTCCCCGGATCCATGGAAGAATATCACAGAAGCAGTATGTTTGCCAGTGGCATTGATGGTTTTAAGGGCAGGCGTCATGTTTAATTCAACTTTTGGAAGGTTATTGCACGGACAAAATATAATCAAAGTGCAACAGAGTGACCAGCCTTAATAAAGTGAGAAACGTTCGGTTACTTTCTTATCAAATTTGATAAAACCTAACTTTTACTTTTATTTTAAATGAAATAAGTGTTAAAAATTTAAACTTAAGATAAATGATATATATTTCAAAAATTTTAAAAGGTTTAATCATAATAATATTATTTGGTTTGTAAAGTTGCCGATAACCCATCTACCTGTTGCAACAGTGCTCTGTTAACTGAGGCGTTAGAGATTATCGAATGCTTAAGAAAAAGAAACGAAAAGTGGCAAGAGAAAAAAAATAAATAAATAAAGTTGTAAGTAGCCCTAATAAAAGGAATAAACAATAAACAAAATATGGTTAAACAACTTCATAAATAAAAATAAATAAATAAACCCCTATACTACATTTTATACGTTTTTTAAATAGAAAAGTGAGTGAATCAGACATTAATTCTCACGTGAAAACTTCAATGAAAGCGAGTGAATAAGACGTGTTTATGTATTTTGTTTATGTACTGCTTATATAGAAGCATCATGATCTTTCAAAATCCCACCAACTGTGGTGTAAATAATTGTTTTGTAACCTGGTGGAAGAAGCAGCTCCACCCACACTACGGTTGTAAATAAAAAGTAAATTGCCTTACGTCCGTTTAATTTCCCCCATCAGCTGTTTCGCACATGGCATTGAGACATCTGTAAATATGTATGTTGGTACATATGTATTCTGTACATAACAATGAGTGGGAGGGATTATCGTGGATGGGGCGAAAGAAGGGGGGAGTGATTAATATTTGTTTATATGGATTCAAATTTCAACGGTACCTTTACTCACACAGGCGTACAATGCTGATTACGCTATTTGTTTTTTTCACCTACACAATTCCATACAACGTGCGGATACGAACGTGTGTATAAGGTTTTGCCTCCTCACCATGATTCGGCATTATTTTGCCAGTTTCTGGCTTTATCATTCCCCCATACCCTCCCCACGCTCAGCGTCACTTTACGCGGAAATTTTAAAACCACAATTGATAAAAACCAAGCCAAAAAAAAGTTCCAAGTAATCCCGTGATTGGAATTACAAAGTTGTATGCGTAGCGATTCAAAATGGAAAAACGGGGGAAGCCCCTATTTGTCTAAGCTCTCTTATCTCATTTAAAAGTCTCTTTTTTTTCGGATACAAAGGCATCTTAAAGATAACCGGTAACTAGTAACTAGATTTTACAAATAGGACTTTATTTTTGGGATCTTATCTATGAATAATAGAGATGATGATTAATTCTTTCAAAATTGTGGGTGTGCCTTGTGGCTTTTTATATTTTTAACAAATATTTGGAAATTCCCCCAATGACATTCTAAATATGCGGAGTAAGAATGATAAGTCAATTGTATGTTTTTGTTAGAAAACGATCACTGAACCTAAAAATAGAAAAAATAGATAAAAAAAAAAATTTCTGTAAAAGATTCTTAAAAAAAAAAAAAAGATTCTTTTATTCTTTTCTCACATTTTTTAAACTTTTCTACAATGTATTAAAACATGTATTTTGCTTCTTTTTAATGCTAATTTGTCGACTTTGAGCTTTGGTTTGAATGAAACCGAATTCCTAGAGGTTCCAATGACGCACACAGAATCTTTAGATTTCATTTTAGAATAATCTCAAGTATTAAACAGTAGCTTCTAGAAATAAACTTTTATTTTCAATTTTTAAAAAGTTTTGTCTAGGCCTTTAAACTCCGACCATTTGAAAATTGAAATTTTCCTTCGAAAAACCAGTAGGGCTGGTTGAACAATTCGCACCTAATGTTGAAAATCAAGACCCAAATTATATTTGCTTATAAAGCCCGATTTATGAACATCATCGTTACCCGCATAAATAAAAAAGCGCTCGTAAACCTGAGCCTTCATTCATGGAGGTATTTTATAGATACACTTTATCGGTGTGGAAAAGCTGGCAAAGGAGTAGAGCAGTATTGAATATTCACCTGTAAGCCAAGGTGCGAAAGAAGGGAGGAGAGGGCATGTAAGCATGATAGCGCTGTTTTGTAACCCACCAATGATGACGGTGCTCTGCCATCCGAACGAGCCGGCCATCCGAAAGATAAGTCGCACGGGGCTCTCGATGGGCGAACGGAATGGGTCCGCCGGCAGTCGGTTGACGGGCTCTCTCCACGGCGCACGCATGATCGCCGGAGCGGATTTCGATTAGCGGGCGGAGCAGCTGATCACCAGATCGCGCACTTTCATTTTCACGCGGAAAACCCCAGATGAGAGCTCACTCAAGCAGTCTTTGTTCGTCAAGATCGATCGATCGATCAGCATTGTTTTAAAATTATCATTATAGACGTGAAGTGTTTACATACACACTTGTGATAACCGCTATCACTACTTCCTCTAATTACCGTGAAGTGACAAACTATTAAACAAATTTAGTGCATCTTGATCTCAGTATCAATATTTAAGAAAATAAACCGAAACCAGTGCCAAAATGCAGACCCAAATGCAGTATGAACCCCAACACTCCCCACTTTCCCAGCTATCCTCACCCAACCACAGGATATACTCCACCCGCCTGCCAGAAGGTTCGTTTGGGATTTGGCTTTTTTTTTTTTTGTACGATCAAGGTCTACAGTTCAATTTCCAACGAGTTTGCCAGTTTGCCAGATAATTTCTTTACTCGCGCTTTTAGAGCCAACAAAAAAACCACTGATCATGACGGGGCACATTGCGAATCAAGTTCTCCAAAACAGCCCACAATGATTGGCAGAAATGTTTGTAGCTTTGCTAAAACGTTTCACACAGTGGAGTGTCTAAATGATGAACGCAGTATACCATTTGGCAGCTGCAGTCGTGTGTCGAATTTGAATATTTAAAGACACTTGAATGTCGTCTGGGATATTATATTGCGGCAGCAGATAACAGTAGTGCGGGGAAACAAGTTTGCGGTGACAATTCAAAATCCGGTTGTACCGCCACAGTAGCCACAGTATGCACTAACAGAAGTAAACCTTTATACAGTAAATAGAGTCAGGGTACCTTGAGTTATGTTTTGGTTTAAATCTGTGATAAGGTTCATGGGAATATTTTTGTTTATTTGTTTACTGTGTTAGTTGTATTTGTTTGTTTATGATTACTCCTAATTCTTTTTTTGAACTTTGGATTCCATTTTAAAAATAATCACCATTTTTCCAGAAGATACTAAAAGAAACCCTTTCCTATCTTCCACATTCTGCTATCTGAGATACGCACTAAATGTTACTACGTAACTTAACACTTGGAAGATTTTTTTAAAGTGTCATCTTATATTTGGACTTTTTTGCTAATTCATACCAGATTAGATAACAATAGAATATACAGCCGGAGCTGATTGCCAATCCATATTATATGAAAGGTACAAACCAGCAGGGTACAAGGGTTACAGGGCTAGCTTTCAAAGTCTGCTTTAATTACTTCAAAATAAAATAGAATTTATAATGAATAATACAATGTTTAGAATTACTATTTACATACATGCTTTTATGAGCTTGGAACTGCAACCAAATGGCTATTAAATAGTGGTGATAACTTTAAAGCCAGTTTTGGCTTGAAATATTATAATAATATTAAATCAGAAATGAAAAATCTATTAATATTTTAAAACTAAAAACTAATCACTATTATATTTCCATTTCCAGAGGCTGAGATGTGCGAAACTACGGGAAGATGCGACATTGCGTCGAATTGTTACCGGTACGAAGAGCACGATGCCACCGACGACGACATGACCTTCTGCATGTCCAACTATGCCAAGGAAGCCCTCAAGATGATGTTCATGATGAGGTCCCACGGCATGCTAACCGACGTCGTTCTCGAAGTGAAAAAAGAGCTCTTTCCTGCCCACAAGGTGGTGCTGTCGGCGGCATCGCCCTACTTTAAGGCCATGTTCACTGGCGGTCTCAAGGAGGCCGAAATGTCGCGGGTGCAGCTCCAGGGGGTAAGTTCTGCTGAAGCGACGCCCACAATTTCTTTAATGGATGAACAGTTCGTTGGTTTTCTCCTTTCAGGTCTGTCCCACGGCCATGTCCCGCATCCTCTACTTCATGTACACCGGCCAGATACGGGTTACTGAGGTGACGGTGTGCCAGCTCCTGCCGGCGGCCACCATGTTCCAAGTGCCAAACGTAATCGATGCTTGCTGTGCCTTCCTGGAACGCCAGTTGGATCCCACGAACGCCATTGGCATTGCCAACTTTGCGGAGCAGCACGGCTGTGTCGAGCTTCAAAAGAAGGCGAATGTATTTATTGAAAGGAATTTCACGCAGGTTAGTTTATACCCCTAATCCTGCCCAGAAAACGTGCTAATATGTGTCCACTACCGCAGGTGTGCCAAGAAGAGGAATTTCTCCAGCTCTCGGCGTATCAGTTGATAGCTCTTATACGAAAAGATGAACTCAACGTCCAGGAGGAGCGAGAGGTATACAACGCTGTGCTCAAATGGGTCAAGTACGACGAGGACAACCGACACTGCAAAATGGAACACATCCTAGGAGCTGTACGCTGCCAGTTTCTCACGCCCAACTTCCTGAAGGAGCAAATGAAGAACTGCGACGTTTTGCGAAAGGTTCCCGCCTGCCGGGAGTACCTGGCCAAGATCTTCAAAGACCTCACGCTACACAAGTGCCCGGGAGTGAAAGAACGGACGCCCAATACGCCTCGAATGATTTTCGTGGCGGGCGGTTTCTTCAGACATTCCCTGGACATCCTGGAAGCATACAATGTGGACGACAAGACGTGGACAACTCTGGCCAACCTGCGCATTCCAAGATCCGGTCTCGGCGCTGCCTTCCTGAAGGGAAAGTTTTACGCCGTAGGCGGGCGTAACAACAACATTGGTTCCTCTTACGACTCAGATTGGGTGGATCGCTACAGTACCGTCAGCGAGTCGTGGCGTCCCTGCTCCCCGATGTCTGTGCCACGACATCGAGTGGGAGTGGCGGTGATGGACGAACTGATGTACGCCGTGGGGGGCTCTGCGGGCACGGAATACCACAACACGGTGGAATAGTGAGTATGATAACAAACATATTTAGTAATTAAATATTAATAATGTCCACAACTACAGTTATGACCCCGACCTCGATCGCTGGACGCTGGTACAACCAATGCACTCGAAACGTCTCGGAGTGGGCGTGGTGGTCGTGAATCGTCTACTCTATGCCATTGGTGGGTTCGATGGCAACGAGCGTCTGGCCAGCGTGGAGTGCTACCATCCGGAGAACAATGAGTGGAGCTTTCTGCCACCTTTGCAAACCGGTCGCAGTGGAGCGGGTAAGCATGACGACTCCATCTCTTATCTGCATTACTAGAACTAATTTCAATTTTAATCATTCAGGTGTGGCTGCCATTAACCAATATATCTACGTGGTAGGCGGCTTCGACGGGACGCGGCAACTGGCCACCGTGGAGCGATACGATACCGAGAACGAGACCTGGGACATGGTGGCGCCCATTCAAATAGCTCGCAGTGCTCTGTCGCTGACTCCGTTGGATGGCAAACTGTACGCCATTGGCGGGTTCGATGGCAACAATTTCCTGTCCATTGTCGAGGTTTACGATCCACGAACCAACACATGGACAAAGGGAACACCACTGAAATCGGGAAGATCTGGTCACGCGTCCGCTGTTATTTACCAGCCAGCAAGTGCCACCACGTTTATGGATTACGAGGAAAGCGAACCCATGCAAGGAGGCGGTAGAAGCGACGACGGCAGAGGTTCCTCCCGTGATTCGTTCGGGGGCCGGAGTCCAAACTATCCAGGAACGTCGCCAAATATGCAATTCCACAGTTCATACGGCACGAGTGGCTGCAATAACTGCGAGTCGGAAATGGAGGTCAAATTTGGAGTAGACGAGGAATCGAGAAACTTTCAAATCCCCGCCATCAGAAACGAAGAGCTAATGAATCCTAACTGCCCGTGGTCCAGAATGACATACAGAGATCGACGCGATCCACCCGAATCCTTTCAAGAGAAACGAAAAGCTTGCATCCTTTCGGCAGCGGCAAAAGTGATTCACAACCACATCGAAGGACGTTTCCGGAAAATAACGGTCACATGACAATAATGCAATCCGAGCCTCTCACTTACACCCACCCACACACACACACTCCCAGCCACAACCAAAAACATTATTCATTGTACAAAGCCAGATCCCGCATCTCGTAGAATTCCATATTGAGAATCATTCCATTGAAATATTGCTAGTGTGTTCGCTAGGTGATATTTATGAAAGTAGTCAACCGTTTTTATGGCATCCATAACATTAACTGGCGATCGTGAGCCGATTTTTTAAAGATTGATTAGGGTTAATAGTTGATAATGGAAGGAAAGTGTCGTATTTTATGTAATTGTAGGCGTCTTATGATAGCGAGCATATTGTACTTTTTTGTTTTAGTGTAGGTTTATCCAAGGCAATTAACGCATCATAGTTATTTATAAAAAAAAAAAACCAATAAGTATAAGGTAAATAAAAAAAAACCAAACAACTTTTACAAAACAAAATAATTACTTTGAAGTTTCTTCGCTTGGGAATGAGGTTCTTAAATATTCTTTATCGGAGGTGCTATTGGCTCATTCACTAACTTTGATAAATGACAATAAACTTTTTGATTTTAATTGTCATTGCTAATCAGTTATACTTCCCTTTAAACAAAAAACTCATTTTGACAAACAATTTTTTATCAATTTTAACTTTTTGTATTTTTTGCATAAACAAAGAATTAACGTTAAGGCCCTAAAGACTTCGTTGCTTTCGAGGTCTTGGAGGATTGAATGAAACTGGCGTATTGTCGGTTATGGATACGATATTTAGGCCTCCCATTTGAAGTCCCTTAATGGCCGACTGGAAAAAAATAGTTTTAATTTGTTAAAAATGAGAATTCTTGAAAGAATTTCTGCAAAAGTCTCACCATTCTTCCAGGACCAAGGCCACGAACCTTCACGCGCACCGTCTTCCAGCCCAGTTCAACGGCTTTCTGTAATATAAGTTAGGAAAGCGTTATAAATTATAGATGGGTGACCATATGACCAATGTATATAGCTTCCATATAAAATAAGTTGGCTTTTGCTAACTTAATTAGAAACAACGTACCGCACTAATGGAAACTGCTGTCGCTTGGGCGGCAATGTTGGTGCCCTTGCGGGTGTTTTTGAAGCCTTCAATACCACATGATCGTATCAACCTTAGGACACCTACAGGGAAGATTGGGCGCTTATTAAATTGAAACATCATTAGGATCTGAAGAACCCTACCCTTGTAATCCGTCACTGAAATAATGGTGTTATTGGAAGACACTCGAATGTTGCAGATGGGCAGTTCGTTGAAGGGAATTCCATTAAATAGCTGGGTGGCTGTGCTGGCATCAGGAAAGAACTGGGCCTTGCTGAGGGACATAGAATTGATTTAGAATAATTAAAAAATTAATTAATAATTCCATACCGGTTAATCAGGGTGTCAATATCCACGACCTTTTCGCCGATGGTTCCTTCATCTTTGGCCGGCAGCGATGCTCTCATCTCCTTTCGGTCCTCCGCCTTGCGAAGACATGCCCCCGTATGGATACTCGATGCTTGTATGGGCACTATCCTTTGTACATGCCTTAAGGCACCTAATAAAGCTGTTTTAAGTGACATTTTAAGTTTATTTATGCTGTTTCGTGTTCCCCAGTTATATCATTTCAGCAGAGTGACCAGAAAAACACCGAAAATACCAAAATATACCAAAACACTCTTCTAACAGAGTGCTGTTACGGGCATGTTATTCTTGATGGTGGAAAGAAGAAGAGCATTTCACGTGTTTCTGTTTTTAATTCGTGGTTGCTTTTGTTTAAAATGGCTTTGAAAAGATTGAAGAGTAAGTAATTTTGTGATTTAAGCTTCTTAAATTTTATCTAATTGCCGCACTCCTAATTTAGCTAAAAAGTCCAAGCGCTTGACTGGCCGCCTAAAGCACAAAATCGAAAAGAAGGTGCGCGATCACAACCGCAAGGAAAGGCGTGCGGCCAAGAAGACCACCAAAAAGGGCAGCAAAAAACAGAAACTTATCCAGATCCCGAACATCTGCCCGTTTAAGGATGAAATCCTCAAGGAGGTGGAGGAGGCCAAGCAGCGAAAGGAGGACGAGCGCCTGGCTCGCCGAGAAGCCTTCAAACTGGAGAAGGAGCAGAACAAATTCAAGTCCCTCGAGTCCATGGTTGAGGATGCGGACATGCGGAGCACCGTCCACGGAATAATGCACGAAAACGACGAGGACGACACCGAGAAGAAATACAAGAATGCCGTGACCAAGGAGCAATCCCTGAAGCAATACTTCAAAGAGTTCCGCAAGGTGATTGAGAACGCCGATGTTGTCCTGGAAGTAGTGGATGCCCGTGATCCCTTGGGTACCCGTTGCAATGAGGTGGAGAAAGCGGTTCGTGGAGCTCCAGGAAATAAGCGCCTGGTTTTGGTTCTAAACAAAGCAGATCTGGTGCCACGCGAGAACTTGAACAACTGGATCAAGTACTTCCGTCGTAGCGGTCCTGTCACCGCTTTCAAGGCCTCCACACAGGATCAGACGTCGCGCTTGGGACGCCGCAAGCTGCGCGAGATGAAAACTGATAAGGCCATGCAGGGCTCAGTGTGCATAGGAGCTGAACTTTTGATGTCCATGCTGGGTAACTATTGTCGCAACAAGGGCATCAAAACTTCCATTCGTGTGGGAGTGGTTGGCATTCCCAATGTGGGTAAGAGTTCCATCATCAACTCCTTGACCCGCGGCAGATCCTGCATGGTAGGCAGCACTCCAGGTGTTACAAAGTAAGCGGTCTTCTGTTTTGGTTGGAATTTGTTTCTTAATTCTATGCTTTTCACAGAGCTATGCAGGAAGTGGAGCTGGATTCCAAAATAAAACTGATTGATTGCCCTGGAATCGTGTTCACAAGTGGCTCGGAAAACTCTCATGCCGTTCTTAAGAACGCCCAGCGTGTGGGCGATGTAAAAGATCCCTTTACCATTGCCGAGAGCGTTTTGAAGCGCGCCAGCAAGGACTATTTCTGCACCATGTACGACATTACCAGCTACGACACTTTTGAAGAATTCTTCGCCAAAAAGGCATCCAGAATGGGTTAGTTTCTCTTCTAGATTACAATAAATCCATAGTCATAATCCTTTGAAAATCCCTAGGTAAATTCCTCAAGAAGGGAGTTCCAGATGTGGTGGCCGCAGCGAGAAGTGTGCTGAATGACTGGAACACAGGCAAGATTAAGTACTGCACGCAGCCTCCAGAGGTAAAGGACACACAAAGTGCTCACATCAGTGCCTCGATTGTGCATTCAGAGGCCCGAGAGTTCGATGTGGAGAACTTTGAAAGCATGGAAACTGAAATCCTCGATCAATGTGCCGTAAAAACAGATGATATTATGGAAATAGCATCGACCGGGCCACTTGAGATCAGGAAACCCCGTGAGGATGAAGATACAGCAGCCAAGCAGGCTGAAAGTTTGATAATCAATGAAAAGGAAAAGTCACAGAAAGGTCGTAAACGCAAACTGGATGACGAAAAGGAAAAGCCAGACCCTGTTCTGCTTTTAGAAGGTTTGTAAAGATAAAAAATCTCTTTAAAAATCAATTTAATTTTTTATTTCTTTTATAGAAAACCAGTCCCTTAACAAAGGCATTAAAGAACTGCAGAAGCGAAAAAAGAAACAGAATGTACGCAACGAGAAGAAAATCTCCAAAATTACGGACGTTCTGGATAACTTTAGCTTAGGTTCCGTTTCTACAAAGGCCGACAAATACGATTTTGATAAGGATTATGTGATTGAATAAATATCGTCTGCCTTAGTTTTAATCTTTATGATAATTCTGTTGATGGTACACTAAAATATATAGAAGAGTGTAATATCTAAACATGTTTTTTGAACTCTTTTTTCAAAAATTTTCGAGGAAAATCTTAAACCTTTTGAGGTTTTATTAAAATTTTACAAACCTAAAAGTATGAACTGATCTTTTCCCCTTCAGTCTTAAGTTTCCTCCATGGAATAGAAAGAAAAGTGGTAACAATTTTACGGGGATCGCATTTATTCTTAAAACAATATACATACAAGGCTGGGATTCTAAGATGGCTTACATTCTGTTTGGTGGAACGGGCTCTGGCGCATGGAACTCCCTTATGCCCTATAAAAACATCGAATTGGCATTTCCATAGGATTGGAAAGGCCACCGAAATCCGGGCTTACAAAACGTATATGGTCCACGAATGACTTTTAATAAGATGAATGATGAACTGACATGACAACGAAAACAGTCAAAATATCAACATAAAACAAATAATGTTCGAACATGACATGTGCTTTCTTAAAACCAATGGGATGATACCAAAGCGCCAGAGCCAGTCTTCAAACCCTTTCGAATTTAGTTAATAGTTTACAATCATTTTAAACCTAGGATCTATGCAGAGTCTACTGAACAGATTTGTATTTCAGTGATGTTTGGTTTCATTTTGGGTGGGGTATAAATTATGGTTTGGATTGATTCCAACGGATAAAAACGTCGCATAGAAAAGGTCTGTAGATGCTGATCGAGAGGTCTCTGAATGTTGTGTGGTAACTAGTCTATTTGCCATCGATCTCGAAACTGGTAAACCCTGATGTGCCTTTCCTTTAAGTATGTATATATAAATTAGTTATTTATACATATCATATAGCTACTGGCACAGAGCTTTAGCCCCGTGCGTCGGTACATACTACATGTTTATATATATATATATATATATTTATATATATAGAGTGAATCACAGGATTTCAATTTTTGCTATGTATGTTTAACAATCAATTACAATTACTATGTATTTCAATTCAACTCGTCTGACTCCTCTGACTTCCTCCGATCTCCTCTCACTTAATGCGACTCTGATGCGTTTAAAATTAATTTCGATGTGTCTACTAGCAGTAATTGAAACTTGTTTCGTAATTATGTTTATAAACATTTAAAATGATTTCTTTTGCAGTCCTTTGTTGTTCCAAATTATTGGTTGTTTTATGTTTAGCTGACGTCCCTGCCTACGCCCAGTCAGGTTTCTCGATCTCGTCCTGGCCCTCTCGAAGCTCGGAAAGGAGCACACTTTGCTGCACAGCCGGGTCAGTAGCTTTTGGGCCTTTCGGAGCAGTTGGCGCGATCGGTGTCGGTGTCCTGCCTTCTCGTCCTGGCACGGTGCCAGAGATGGCAGATCTGGTAAGGTGACCGCCGAGAGCGCCTGCAACAGGTACTGTCACCGCAAGTGGCTGAAGTTCACGTCCAGCCAGCAGGGGCAGCACATGATGTCCTGTCGCCGGTAGAACTGTCCCCAGCCCTTGGCGAAGCTGATCTTCAGGCTGAACCAGTCGATGGGTCCCATTTGGTGGTGTCCTTGCTGTCTCATGCTTAGCATTTGAGCCCTAAAAAAGTAAAAATATAAACATATGAGGTTATTTGAAAAGAATGAAGATATGAGGTATTTTCATACCTGTGTGTTTCGAAGGCTTTCAGGCAGCAGCCGGGCAGTACTTTGCTGACACGCTCCAAGGTGGGTGAGCCAACAAAGATGGGAACATGGCCCCGATTGTAGATCCAGACATCACCTAGCTCCAGACTCAATGTTACTCCTAAAAAGTGAGTTTTATTTAAGAATTTTTTAAGGAAAATATATAAGATATATCCAGCTTACCTAGTCCGACCTTTTGACGCGTTTTTTGCACCTCCTCCGTCTTCCCCCCGACCGGGAGGTCACTTAGGCACATGCTATCCCCCCCACTGTCCACCAGGCCATCTGTGTAGATGTTGACGGCAGTCGTCCTGGCGTGAAACATCTTCCCGACCCGATCGGACATCTCCCAATAGGCGATTTGGCACCAGCCATTGGCATTAATGTTGCGATCTGTAAATAAAATGATTTGCCAAGTTAATAAATGCTAATTTTTAACAGTAAATTATTACCAACCAAAGTCTTTAAACGAGTTATTTTATATTTTTAAAAATTGAATATTTATGAACTATTATTTTAAATCGAGCTTACAAAGTGTAGGCTCAGCGAAGGCAATAACTCTTTCGTCGGCTAATAAAGTGTGATTTAAACATTGCGGCTTTGGTTTGGAGCGGGGGAAAGATCTACCTCCTACATTACTGGGTAAGAAACAAAAAAAAAAAACATTACACCTTTAAGCGAAGACGGCAGCAAATTCAGCGAGTCGAACACATTTAAACAACAAGCGCCGCATTCACATTACGTTCACACTCACTTGTGTGCTCAGACATTTAAATGGTAATAATTTTGGCGCCAGGGAATTACGTAAACAGGCCGCCGTAAACCCACAGAGTCTGTTTATGGGTTCATTTGTAGTATATTCCGTGTATTCCGATTTCAATTCCGAACGCGTGTCTCGGCAATAATAAAGCACAAAACAAGTGCAACTCTTTATGCCAAATCCTTGCTAACAAGACTCTTGAATGTGTGGGCTTTGCTCGCAAATTATTTAATATTTATGGCCACATAAAATAATGATAAATCTAGAAATAGAATTTTCATTTAATTCCATTATAAACAATGGCTTGTTTGTGTTGTGCTTTTGAATATTGCGTATACGCCACCGATCTTCAAAGATCTTTAGCATTAAGACACCCTTGTGAAGGGTATAGGGTTAAGTAGATTTAATCAATCAACAATGGGTTAAAAAGCATTGTTTGTGAGACATCGCGCATACGCCATGTTGGCCACCATAGCGAATTACAAATTGCAATTGCCAACGACTGCCGACAGCCGACAGCGGGTCGATAGTCGTCGATAGGTGGTGTACTAGTATGTACGAGTATTTGGCCATAACGGCGAGAGCCAATTCAAGAAATGTGTGCACATTGGCAGCAAACAAAGTACAATCGCTCACAAAATCACAAAATCGCAAAGCAAAACAATAACAACAATGCCCAGCACGCGCTCGCCGAGAATAAAATTCGAACGAAAGGCCGAAAGGCGAAAAAGGCCAAGCCCAGACGGACGAACAGTGGCGCCAAGTAAAAATATATCGCAATAAATCCGTAGACGGCTTTTAAAATTTTGCATGGCAAAGAATGTGCCGAAAGCGGGAGAACTGGGGTGCAGAAGCGGAGGCGGAGGCGCCGTATAGAGCGGAAGCGGGGGCCGGGGGCGTTGGACGCTGCAAGTGGCGCCTGTCCGATGTTTACCTAATTAGGTCGACGCCGGCGCTGCCGTCGGGTCTCGCCATGGCCACGAAAAATTGTTTACCCCACCAGGCTGGCGTCGCGCTCGACTGGGCAAGAGTTCTCGCCAAGATTGTGGGCCACTGAAGTTGATCCAACACACAGAGAAAGGTGATGTGGAGAAACCATACACTATAATGTATGTGTGTATTTCCGTCTCTCTGATAAACTTTTCTTTGGGATTTTAAAGATTTTCAGTATCTAGGCAAAGATGGGGAACTATAGATTTTTTTAATAAATTTCTTATAAAAGGAGTTTTGAAAAATAAATATATTTACATATATTTTTAAATACCCACCGAATTATTTTGGAATGGGTTTCACAAAAGAGTTTTTAATAATAATAATATAAGAAATCTTAAAAAAGTGTTTTTAGATACTCCCAAATTTCGTAAAACACACCTTTTATCGCTTATTTTGTTCAGCCGTAATGCTTTGTTGCTACTTTTTGTAATTTTTGTGAATTTGTAGCGCCGTTTCATAGTTGTTGTTCTCCCCTTTGCTAATATTCATGTAAAAACGTATGAATGTCTGTTTGTACATAAATGTAAATACATACATTTTTGTTAGATGCCCGAATCCACGGGCTGCTACATCATCTTTAAATTTAGAATATTTTATCTTCAATCTGTGTGCATGTGTGGGTCGAGGCAGTGGCCTGTAAGTTTGTTGGTGGCCCACATGTGGGACTGGGACTTTCGGGGAAACGTGAACGCCTCGGATTCGAATTCGTGGTCTGTGCTCCACATTGCAGAGCCGCCAGCGGAGTCGCCACGGCATTGCAAGGCTATTAGATAATTAAATCGATAAATAGAGGAAAGGGATATAAATCCAGGAAGAACTTACAAGGTGTCCTAACTCCTTAAAATTACGAAATTGACCTGAAAACGGACCGTAATGCATAATTTGAGTTCAATTTGCCGAAAAACTCTGAATTAATCAATTTCGAATTTCAATCTATTTTTAACCGGCCTGTCACCCAATCGACGTAAAGCCGCAACTTAACGGTCCATTTAAATGTAATAGTTTTCCGTCATTTTGTCGCCAGTACAATGCCATAAAAAAGTCAAATACACAAAAGTCCAATACGGCCTGGCCTGGCCTGCACTCGTATTGGTGTGCGTGTGTGTGTGTGTGTGTGTCGGCCAGAAACTGGCCAGTTTCACGGTGCCGTCTCAGTCTCAGTCGCCGGGTAATGCCATGAATGATATCATAGGCACCCATGGAGGTGAAGCCCACGGCAGAGTGCGGAGGGGGTGCGTCTCACGGTTCACCCCTCTTGAAAACCCCTTTGTGGAGCACTCTTGTAAGTAAGATTGTGGCGCCTTCGAGAGCGCCAACTCACCTCGCTCCCCGCTCTCTCTCGCGGCGGCTCTCAGACGGTGTTTGTTTTTCGCTCATTATTTATTTTCATTTCGTTTTTGCTGTTTTCGCTTAAAAGTTAATATCAATATAGAAAGTGACGACCTGACGCGGCAAGCTGGCGCCACGAGCAACTTGTCCGTCGCCGCCACCGCTGCCGCCTCAGCCGGCGTCGCTGCCGGTGAGCTCCAACACACGCGACTGCAGGCCCCCAATACTCTTTCTCTGTTCCCCACACCAGAATTTCCCCACACCACACCTACATGGCAATTCTATAGATTGGCAGTGCAAAATAATCGCCTCTCCCGCATGAACGACGATAAGGGGGAGAGGAGATGGGGGGACATGGGGCAGGAAACTCACCTTTTCCGTCAGTAGTGAACGACTCGAAGAGCGAAGGCTGCTCCGCCCGCTTGGAGATGCTCGAAATGCTGGGGCTGCTCCACGTGCTCAGCGCCGTTGACTTTGCATCGTTCTGTGAGTCTTCTTCGGAATCTAGAAATATCGTAGGAGAGGGGGGCCAATAACCCAGGGGGGAGGGGGGATGTCAGCAAAGTCTGGATCAAACTCAAATAGATATAATGGTATCCTCACCTGCATCTTTCAGTCTCAGCATTTTTGAGCGATGGGAATCTGAAATGCGAACATAAGATACGTATCTATCAGATATTTTTCAATTTTTAATCTTTGAATTTAGATTTTATTTCAAAGTAAAGAAATAAACTTAAACTACAATATTAGTATTATGTTTTATTAAATTAGTTTATAAAGAAATATAAGTTCTTCAAAAAACCTATGCCTAAATATTTATCTTAAAATTATTCAATTATATACATTTTTATTAAAAAGATGTCATATTCCATGTGCAAGTAGAATCATTTCCAGATAGAAACCCATCTCTATGGATGATTACAATCAAAGTTTCGAGTTATAAATGCGCGTCTTCTAGTCGTAGCGCACATATGATTAGATCATGGTTCGCCAAACTAATACATGCTAGTGTTTGAATATTTGTTCAGCAAATCAAAGCGAAACAAAACAGAGAGGGCCCAACAACAAAAAACAAGACAATCAGATACAACAAAACATTCAAAATAAAATAAAATAGAGGGGGGGCAAAAATAAAAAAGAAACAAACCCAAGCGTAAGCAAGCCAAACATCAGCGGGCGATATAAAAATAAATAATCTTTGCATATCAGGCAGAGTAGCTGGGGGACTGGGTGACTAGGAGGCTGGGGGAATGGTTCATTGGCGCAGAATTCGTTTGATGTTGGCGCTTTTATTTAATCTCGCTTACATTCTACTCCGTTTTCATTCTCTCATTTCACTCCCCAAAAAAAAACAGAGACCCCAAAAGACCAACAAAAAATTCTATAAAATAAATAAATAACACAAAAACAACGAACGGAACAGGTCGTATTCGATGGCAAAGATCTACCTACCTACCTACCCAGTCCCAGTCGAGAAACCTCAATGAATTACTTGCCACTTTTGGCCATACATTCCAATTCATTCAATTCGATTCAATAAATTTAATAATTTATGAAACGTCGGATTAACGATTTTTGGGTTAAATAAGAAAGAAATTATATGAAATTAAAATTCAATAATAACAGCAGTGTCGAGTGTTTTAAAATTTAAATACTCATGAAATAAGATATATGAACGAATAGATAGACTATGATGTTGAAGATTTTTGGGAACCCCAAGCTAAGGGGCTTGGCAATTATGTTTTTAAATGTGCATATAATAGGATTAAAATAGTCTACAAAATTGTGAATAAATATATTCAAAAATTTATTGATTTAAGTTAACACTATGGAGCTTAAGATTAATTTAATCATTTTGAAATATATATCTTTGAGATGTTTAACAGATAAGCTTTTTGATATGAATCTGGATGACAGATCTGTAATGCTTTCGGTATTCGGACGGCGCATAAATCGCTTGATGTGCCTCGTCAACGGCGCCCGGTTCAAATCGACTCGAATCGTTTCGATCCGGCCCCACCGGGGCCCAAATGTACCAGTTTAACCGGCCGCGTCATCCACATCCCCGACGTCGATCCCCAACATCGAAAATCTAACGATTCTTGAAAAACGAGCGAGGCGGCGTCGAAACCGAAACCTAAGGGAGCCCCAACGATTCCACCAGGCCGTCAGCCAACTGATGGATGGATCGTATGACCGGCCGGCCAGTCGGCGAAAATAGTCAACTGAATAATCACGGTTCTGGGTTAGGGGAACTGGATACTGTCCACAGAATTCTGACAATTGAAATTCTAGTAAAAGTCTATGTTCTAGATTCGATTTCGTTAATTCTAATGAACAGTGAATAATTGAGAATTATGATCAACGATAAACTCATAATACCCATTAAGTCAACGAATAATGTAACTGCTTATGGGATGTAATAAAAATCCACATTGACGCTTTCTAACCGACAACATAATTAGTCAAGTTCTCTTTAATGCCATTGAATAGCCCCCAAAACAATTTAGGCCCCAGAGCCCTATAGATATGTATTTTTGTATCTGTATGTGTTGAAGATGTGTCTTCGTAGCCAGTCTCCATAAAAACTGAACCGTACAAGGCGTATAAACGAGCAGAGTGGAGCCGTCGAACAAGAACCGCACCTCTGAATGAGATCGGATGGATGGGGCTGAGGCACGCAAAATGATCCTTTTTATGGGTGCACACTGGGGGGAAGACTGAGAAGACTGAGACAAAGGGGACGCTGGGACGCCGGGGGCGTCAGAGGAATGGAGAGAGAGGAAGACCAGGTCCAAAGACTTAAGAGACCGGCGACCACTCGTCGTTACAATTCCTGGAATTGTGTTCCCCTTGCCGATGCGGATGGAATAACATTATCGACTTGTTTAATGTGTTCGGCGCCATCATTAAAAAACCAGTCACTGTCGGGACGTCCATCCGCCGGCCAGACGATGACACAGCCAACGAAGCCAGAAGAACCACGGCTGCCTGCTGTTGCCGCCTGTTGCCCGTTGGCCGTTCAACGTTCGACGGTGTACGTTGCTTGTTGCACACACAGGTAAGTGGCACAGATAAGCGACATGCAGCGGCAAGGGAAGCTGAAGATGTATCTGTATCTACAGCCCCGGCACGAACAGAGTCTTCATGTTTCCCAAAGGATCGTTGTTGTAGTTTTTTTTTTCCTTTAGTTCGCTGTGTTTTTTGTGGACAGGAATGTCGGTATAGACATGCCTTTTCGCCATCCCATCTACAGTGATTATCGGTTAGGGGCCCACTTCAAGAATGCCCACAAAAAAATGGAAGAAACGGTGATCCTAATCTTGGCTGCTATTGAGTTAAGCATCGCCAGGTAAACATATGCAATTTCTTAATTAATTTGCGGCCAAAGGATCAATAAGTTAGCTTCCATAAACTGTTTAAGATTCACTCAGCACTATGAGATCTACAAGAATCTGATAGATGAAAGAATTCCTATAGAGTTCCATGGAAACCCTTCGATTTCCTTTCTGCACATGGCAATTGACAAGTGGGGTTTCGTTCCGATTTGAGGTTAGATCCCACAAACCACTACTGACTGATTGATGAAAATAACCCACACTCGCACGGATGATGTATTACATGCATGCAGTTTGGTGCTGATATAATAGACCGATTAGATTATAGCCGGCCCACCGATCCATGTGCACATATTGCTGTAAGCTCGGTCGAGTGATACGCACGTTCTAGATAACGATTCCAGCAAATGAAATAGGGGTCTATACTACTATAGTACTACTCTGATTCTGGCTCATCCTGGTTCCTATCGATTAGCTAAGAATGAGTATTTGAGTATACTGCATGGCTGCATTCGATTCAAATTTTATAATTTGTATCTGTATTTTTTTATACTCTATCGAGGTGTGTGCATGCCCGTGCTAAAAATAAAAACAAACAAATCGGAAAGCGCACATTGTGCGAATGGGATCTCTAAACGATGCGCCAACTAGCTGGTGGCGACGGATATGCCTCGGCCTCTACTACTACAGTACAGACCTCCTAAGAGGAACTAATTAAGAGGAGCTAATACTAAGGATTTTGGAAAGGACTAAGGAAAGTTTTTGAAAATATAAAAAAAAGGAAAACTTCGAAAACTCCTTGGAGTTATCTCTGAATAATGGATTCTTTTTTAAGATTTGCAACTGTATTTGGAACGAGTACGGGTAATGGGTAACGTACTCCGCCGCCTGACTTTGCCGTAGCTTTTGCGTTTGCGTTGGCGACGACGCCTGATTATTTCCTGGCGCCAGTTTCTAAATTTACGCAAATTATTTTCAAAAGAATTTAGTTGCCGTCATGTTGGGCCGACCGCTTGCCGTTTGCGTGGCGCTTTCACGCACATTCTCCCCCACCGTCGGCTCCCCACCTCTTTCCATTAGTGTGTGTGTGTGAGAGTGCGGCAAATGATAAAGCGGAATAAATGAGCCCCACCGAGAGAGAGCCAGAGAGAGAGAGGTGGATCCGGTAATGGTATGGGTGTCTGGGCAAAAGTCAAGGCGGCGGCGCACAGTGAGCGCAGGAACTTGAAATTCAATTTTCTGCGGGAGCGATTTAATGCCTAATACAGACCGGTTGCACCTTGTCTCTTGCCTCGCTCTTCCAGGCCAAACATTCACATAGATACTCAGATACCCACACCAATGCAAAGTGCAACCCATGCTCGAGTGGCTCTTTGCGAAAAAAGCTAAAAAAAAAAAACTGAATTGGCGAGCAGCCGCATTTTCATATGGATTTCGCATGCGATTAAGTGTGTATGTGTGCCCTGGCGCCACCAAATACACACAAAACGGCGACTGCACTTGTGTGTGCGAGTGTGTGTGTGCCGACAGTCGCGTCTGGCCGAATGGGCACACCTGCCGGCATTATTCTAATCGGCTCTGAGGGGATTGTTCTACCTCTTCTAATTGATTTTAATTAAAAACTTCAACATCTTTGGATAAACTGATCTCTATATATAAATAGAGTATTGTATTTTGTAACCCCAAATAATTCTAACACCATTAAAGATATGCCCCCTCATTACCTGTTTCGCTCAGGCACAGGATGCGGAACCAGTGCAGTGGATTGCAACACGTGTAGACGGGGTCGCCGGCGCTGGGGCAGGAGGGCAGGCGTTTCAGCTCCTCGCCGCTCCGCAGGTCCCGCCAGAAGAACAGCCGGCTGGCCGTCACATGTTGCTCCCGGGCCGTGGGGTGGGGTAACAGGATGCACTGCAGGTAGGTGGGCGGGGTCGTTGCAGAGGCCTGGGGGGTTTTTGTTGGTCCGTCCACTCGGCTCTTGACCGCCTGCAGGAGTTCCGCCACCTGCTTGCGCTTCAGCAGCTTCATCAGTCCATCGAAATCCTCGCGAAACCGCCGGGTGCTCTGGAGCTGCGAATGGGCTTGGCTTTGGGTCCGGCTTTGGGCATGTTGGAGAGTCTTCGCAGTGGCTGGAATTGTGGATATCGAATCGTCCCCATTGATGGACTCCGTCGCTCCGCCGCAGCAGTTTCGTAAAATCGTCACTAAGGTGGCGGCATTCGTCCGTGGATGGGGTAGACGCTCCACCTGATCCGGCTCCCTCGCTGTCACCCGACTCCGTTCCTGATCGCTTTCTTCGATCAGCATATCTTCGCCAGAACTTGCGCAACTGTAGCCAGGTCCGATACAGTAGAGGTCCGAGCTTTCGCCGGCCAATACTGATCCGCAGCTCGGCGACGGTGGGAATTCCAAGCGGTTTGGCAGGTGACGGTACGAGTGGTTGTTGTTGTTGTTGTGGTTCGGACTCATACTCTGGCAATAGGAACCGGAGCAATCCATGGCGCAGGGCATCGAGCTGTAGGGCGGCGGCGGGGTCTGACGCATCGCCAAGGAGTCCTCCTCGCCGGAGTAGCCAAACGACTGATGCGGATGATGAGGGCGGAGTCGAGGTGGAGGGGGCGGCGGCCGTGGTGGCGGGTCGCCCGCTACAGACGACACCCCATCGCGCACCCCCGGATTGTTTCTGGACGCATAACGCCATAAATCTTTCTTCTTTTCGTTTGGGAATATCATGGAGGGACATACAATTTTGCGGTAACATCGATCCTATTGTATGCGCATTATTTGTAATTGACTAACTTGGTTCGCGGACTCGACGGGGCCGGCTAGTCACGGTATTACTTGGGTATTTATTTTTTTACTTCAGTTTTCAGTTCAGTTTGCGCTTCTCACTTCTGTCGCAAATGTTGATGTTATTTGGGGTCTACGGGGGCATGGAGTAACAGGGGGCTTGGGGAGTGTTTTATTTATTTATTTTTTGTTTTTATTTATTAACGATTTTAGACTCCCTCGTATCACTTGTTGGCTTTTGATATGTTTGCGCCTGGTATGATATGTTGTTTCCAGTGGTGTGCACTCTGCAAGAAAAGATGGGGGTTTTGGATTAGTCATTGGCCTAATAGGTGTTCTCAGCTTTCTTATGGACTCGTGTTTATGGCTAAAGTTTAAAGGGCTAACAGTGCGTATACTTGATATGTAGCTTTAAGCTTTAAACATTTTTTTTAAATCTTTAATAATTAAATGGGAGTTTAATAGGATAAAAATTTAATAAATAATATGCATTCTATATTAGAGAATATATAATGCCAACTTTCTTTTGATTAACTTTCGAACCGACAACAGTGCGTATACTTTATAATTTTTAAGCTTTTTTTAAACTCTTATATTCTTAAGAAAACAACTCCCCATGCAAGAAAAGTAATTTATTACATTCAGACATCCATGTAAATATTCCCCCTCTTCTTTATAACACGCCTACGCCCTTGGAACCGCAGCAAGAATCTGCCTCCGGATCGGATCGTATCGGATCGGTTGAGTGAGTAATGCCCGTGCCCCCCGACGCTGCTGCATATGCAAAAGATCGGAGACGGGAAGTGGTGGGGATGGGGGACCCAAAACAGTGGCGACAGAAGGGGTTTGTCGGCTAGCGGAGGGGCGCAAGGGAAGAAAGAAGGGGGCGCCGCCGCCGCAAATTAACAGCGTCTGTGTGTGCGTCTGCCTGGTGGCTTGTGCCTGTGTGTGTGTGTGTGAGTGTTTGTCTGTTTGGTGTTTGTGTGTGGCCCATGCGAGCATTTCCATTTTGTTGTTGCTGGCATTTCTTGCGCTCCTTATCGACGACAAAAGTGGCGCCGCCGGCATGACGGCAACAACAAAAACAACACCAACGACAAGAACCGAGCCACAGCAACAAAATTACGAGTCAGCCCCACAAACACACACACACATACACATGCATATGCTGAACAAAAAAAAACTCACTCCCTCTCTCTCACACAGACAGACACGCTCGCTTGCGTGCAGAGCCGAAAGGCTGGGCGACGGGAGTGCAAGCGAGACACAAGACGCTGGCGCCACTGACGTAATAAAAGAAATAATAGTAACGATGTCGGCGGAATGGCGCCACCAATATAAGCTTATATCAGGCGGCAGTCGGTTTGTCAGCCGGTTTGACAAGTTGAAGAATCAACAATTTAAGGTTGAGGTGAATTTGGAATAATCTACTGTGGTCAGAAGAGCCCAGAAGAGAATGCGGGAGAGACTCTTCCGACATAATGGTGTTGGTGTATGGTGTATGGTGTGTGGTGGGAATGGGAAATACTGCTCACACACTTGAAATTCTTTCAAAACTCATCAAAGTTAAGAATTTTTGGGTTTTTTAAAACCAAAATCGATTTATCTCGGGGGTTTCTAAAAAACACACATGTATCCTTATCTGTAGATAGTGTGTTGCTACAAGCGAAACCCATAATTATGATCAAATCTATAAGCTGGAGATTAGTATATTGGTCACTCCTCAAAACCATTACCTATTTGTTTGTCAAAAAATCGCTTCGAGAGATCTATTCAAACATACACATAATGTGTTCAGGTAGCAGGTCTTCTGATAATGAAAGCATGACTAATTGGAAGTTCAATTGGTAGATACAGGCACCTTGATTAGCAGTGATATGTACAGGTACAAAACCTAACCAGTAATATTAAAAAATTTCACTTATCAATCCTCCAAAAATAAGGCCTATGATGGTAAAAAAAAAGGGCGGAACAACACCTAAAATCTTTAAATAGAACTCTCTAAATTGGGCCAATTAAATCATAAATGTATGTAATTAAAAAAATGTTCAAATCCTTATCAACAATAACCATAAACACGAGTATTGAAATAAAACACTACTTACTTTTGAAGTACGTTCTCACATTAAGGTATCCGTTTTATCCTTGGAGGATGATATGTATTTCTTTTCCAAACATGTGCTTAGCTACATGCGTTTCTGATATGTGTGTTTAAGAAGTTCACTTTCTTTCGGAATTACATGACTGCAGAAGAAATTGGCTATTATATTTCTGATTTCTGAACTTTACACGTGCCAAAGCCTCTTTTACTTATTTTTTGCTATGAATGGCAATCGCAGTCGTCTTATTTTTGCACTGGTCAGTAACTTTTTAACTTTTTGGGGTCTGCATATGTATGTATGTATGTACGGGTTTGTGAGAATGGATTCATAAAGGGGGGGCGAGTAATGTGTTGATTTTGTTAAATATTATGTTGAAGTGGCCAGTGGCCGCAAAAAACAATAACAAATGAACGTGGTGGAAAAGGTGTTTTCGTTAGGTTTGCGATTTGTGCGATTTGCGTTGCTTTCTGCCCGCTGCTGACTGTTTGTTTGTGTGTATTTTGGCTTATTTGTTTGTATGGATGAGTCTGCACTCGGCGGGCACTGTAATGTGTGTACGTGGCTGGCGTACTGGTAACTGCATTTCATTTCTTTTTGTTTGTTTTTTAGTTTATTCTTTTTTTTTTTTTGCTAGCTATTTGACCAGTTAAGGCTCGAACATTCACACACACACACCCGAACACCCTCACTCAGAACCAAAGTTCTATTCGGACAGCGAAATCGCTTATGGTTTTTATTATTTTCGCCTGCGCTGTGCTTTTCTTTTGCTATCGATTTTTAATTTGAGCACACACCAACACCAAACACACACATGACCAGCTTGCCGTCGCAAATTAACACAATCTCCAATTGGTGGCTGACAACGTGATCGGAGATCCGTATCCGTGAGATACGCGGCGAGCTAAATGAAAAGCCGGGGGAGAAGGATTCTCTTTCTGGCAAGTAATGCCCAGAGATACTCTTCATCGCACGCCCACAAACCGACTACATACATACATATGCATAGAACTCATAACAGACAAAAAAGGCATCTATAACCGACTTGCGATTGACTTTCCAATCATATTTTCACTTCGATTGATTGCACTCACACTTTGTTTTGTGTTTCCTCGCCCTTTCACTTCTCATTCACTTTTTTTCTTTGCTCGGCTAGAGAAACAGTTCTCGATTACGGAAACAAAATTCAGGACTCAGCCACTTGCAACAAAAACCCGTATATGGTATGGCCAAGAACGGAATAAAACGGTTCGGAATCGCGACGGGTCCGCTCTAGGGTTCTTGAATATATTTTAAAATATCAATATTCTTTGTTTGAGAATGATATATTTGTATCGTCAAATGGATTTTCCTAAAGATACGATATTTTGGCCGGCTTTGCTTCAACGAGTCGGTAATTTGCTTCCTTCGGCCCACGGAAATCACGTAAATATATTCGGAGGATTTTCACACTTTCATCGGATTCCGTGGGTTTGATGCTTCTCCGTTGAGCGCGCGTTTGAAAATAACTTTCAGATACGAATTGATATTTTTACAGATACAGCTACCCACCACGGCTTTACCCACCATTCAGTGAAGTATCTCACAGATACTCTCTGCGCTCACACAGATACTCTCTGCGCATACATTTGACAGTTTGGTGGTGAGGTGGTGGTTTGAACTCTCACGCACACCCACATGCAGCTGACTGAGGGATTTATCAACACTGTTTAACTATACGATAGTTTTTAGTGTTACAAACTGTATCAATATTCAAAATTTTTTAATTTTAGAAAGAAGTTTCATCCTATCTGTTTTTAATTGTTGTTAAATATAAGAAGCATACTTATATGGGGTCTAACGTTTGTTTATTTCTTAAAATAAAATTTACTATAAAAGAATAAATTATTAAGAGTTTTTAAAATAATTACTGAAATATTACGAATTTTTAGAAGGTGTATCTTAAAAAAACAACCAAGCTTTGCGAGCAACATCAACATTTAGCGCGGTGTTCCTTGCCGCAAAATGTGATGAATGGTTGTGATCAAGGGCATATCAGTTGCAATTGCCTTGCCCATGTCTGTCCCAAACACACAAACCCTTACAACCTGGCGCCCCTGCAGCGTGCAGACACAAAAAACCCTACACTCCCAGCGAGGATCAGAAACTACACTGAGAAAACTTTATGTATTCTACAAAATAAAACTATAACCAAGTCTTTAAAAAATTATGTACCTCAAAAAAGTTGTAAAGCCAGTATTTTAAATATATTAACTAACTTTTTTATTTGAAAATTTTAAGTTTTTAAGACCAACTGTTTTTTTTTTAGTGCAAGGCAGACGCTCCAGTAGGAACCCAGCAAAAATACATAATTGTCTCTCGTTTGGACGACTCGAAAACACAAAAGCAAATAGGCTCCCGTCATTACGATAATAACAGGTCGGAAACAGGGAACACAGGCCACTTGTGGCGATCGCCTGGATGTTGGGATGTTGGCAGGAGGAATTCGTTCGTCGCCGTCCCGGGTACTCTGGCGTCGTGAGCGTTAAATAAGCCAGAACCCTGGAATCGGCACCGGGCCACTGACTTAAAGAAGCATTACCCCGGGAAAGGACAGCAGGAGTTTGAATACATTATTTTCTTATGAGGTCCGGGACATTCCGCAAACGTTAAACAAATAATAAGAGAGTAGGAGTTACCTGCTGGAACCGACATTTTCTTTTTTGTTATGAACTTATGTTGGTAATTATATAGAGGGATTTAAAAAAAAAATTGTAGTTTCTTAAAAATGCTGTCATTTATTATGAATAATAATTTCGAAATAAAGGTGCATACATGGCTGGGACAAACACTGATTACTTTGTTTATTTCCCTCAGCTTTTTTAAATAATATATCGCATGATCCGAGATATAGTTTGTTTGCTTATTTGTTCAGAGGTGTTGTTTCAAATTTCATCACCTCGTGTGCCTATCTGGAGAATGTAATCTTTATGGTGGTGACGTCATTTTATGTACAAATGCATAAAGTTGTACATATGTACATACAAGTATATTAGCATAACTATATGTATTTAGTGTGGGTTGTAGTAGTTGGACGGACATCTATGAAATCTTAACTCGCTCAGCGCTGGTTTACGAGTTGGCATGCTGGGAAAGTATCAAGTTTCGGTTTCGGCCTCGGTTTTGGGGCAGTGCTTTCAGAAATGCCGACAAGCTGAGGAATTCGGCTCATTTGAAATGTTTTTCTAATTTTCAGCCCCCAGGAATTCTCAGAAACCTGAAAAACAATCCAGACTCTAGAAGGGCAAATCGATCTAGGGGCTATAATGAAAATTAATATTTTAAATCGGCACATTCTGTTTTCCCACACTCCTTCCGGGTAGTGTAATCCACTCTTAATAAGTTTTAATTGCACTTGGATCGGCGGACGATCTCTTTTACAGAATTTTTGACTGATTGTCCAGTTGACAGGAGCCAACTTGGGTGGCCCTTCATCGTCGGATGTCGGAGAAACGCATTCTTGGCTGCATTCGAGCGCATATCTGCAGCGGACTTCCTCCGAAACCGACGAAATTCTTGGCAGAGCTGAAAAAACCAGTTTAACATCGTTCCATCATCATCTTATCCTGTGCCACTCTTCCAGATTTGTATGCCCCTTAACGAGCTGCAGACCTTTTGTTTCTACTCATTGATATTCGCCACCGACAACATCATCTTCGCCTTCGCCCCACAACTGCTCCGGGTTTTGAATTTCATAAGCTAATTTTCGAGAGTTCATTCAAGGAAGATGAATCTGAGTAGCGTGTGTCCCTAAATGTCGGAAGAATTTCTTTGGCCCTCGAATGCAAGATCGACTTACCTGTTCTTTTTTATTGTTTTTTTTTTTTAAGTTTAGGTTCTAAATAAACGGAAATTCACATAATTTTGTAGTAAATGAGTCATTAGATTTGGGGTTTTTTAATTAAACAAACAAGATCAAAAAATGGTTCTAAAATAGGCCATGTTTTTGTTTTTCCCTTAAAAATATAATTTTTTGGCTGGTTTTTATATTATTTTATATCTATTTAAAAACTAACTTTTCTATAAAATATTTTTAAAACACTTATTTAAAGCACTATCACTATTTTAATATAAATTTTAAGTAAAACTTTGTTTCTAAAAAGAAAAACTTACTATCGAGGTGATTTTTTCTTACCTGGATAGCTTGTCATTTAAAAAGTTTTTCAAAATGTTTTATATTCTCAAAGTTTTTTAAAATATTATTGAGTTATTTCATATGAGATTGTTATATTTTTAATTGCCCGCGTTTATATTTGCCGTAATCCGGTTTAATCGGACGTATTCCGTGACACATTTCTAAACCAACTAAGCGCCATCCGTACACGGACTCGTCCTTTTATACTCGCGGCAAGGATACGACCGGAGTCTGCTTGAGCGGTGCGCACTTGGGACTTTTGGACTGCTGCGACCACTGCGCACGGACACGGACTCGCCGGCGGCGACGTCGCCACGGACGCCGAATCCTTGGACGCCGACGCCACTTCTGTCCCGACTCCGACTTCTGACTCATTGTCAGTTAGCTTCAGCCATTCATGCTTCCATATACTGGTATTCATACGGCTGTGTGTGGATATTTGAGTTTATTGTCGTTTTCCTCTTTTTTTTTGTTGGCTCCTCCGGCAGGACGCCTTGGATGTTTTGGTTTTTGTTTGTTTTGGTTTTTGGCTACCGCTGCTACCAGATCTCTGGCTTTTTATTAGCAGTATTATCTTAAAAAAAAAGTTATTATATTTTATTCGAAGTATGGGAACTAAATAATTAGGATTAATATTTAGAATGGGAATATGATCTTGATTAGTTATACATATGTATATTTCCTACAAAACTATTCATTACAATTGCAAAAATGTTGATAACGAAATATTCATAAAGAATAATTATTTGCGGCTCCCCTTCTTTCCATAAATCCCAATAATGGCAAACAGAATACGAAACCCTATACTCGAAACTGAAAGAAAATTGGGGGAATCGCAAAAAAAACGTACGAAGTAAGTACATAAATTTTTAGTGGCGTCACTACGCGTCTAGCTGGTCTAGTCTTAGTGGTGTCTAATCTGCGCGCCATTTCGTTTTTCAAATGTTGGCTGCCGGCTGGCTTCGGACGACGACAGTGCCAGTGGCGTCTGTCGGCCGAAGTTGGCCTAAACCACACAGCACGAGGGCGCTAGACATTTGCGAAAGTTTGAATGACTCCGGCAGACCGGCAGATTATTGGCAACAATAAGGCAAATCCAAACAAACATACCTAATGTCATTAACCGCTAATTAACAGGTTCACCAGATCTTAAGGCAGGTAATGGCCTAACTTATTACTCATACGACATGTGGGTCAAGCAGATGAACCAATAAATTACTTATACGACAGGTGAGCCAAATAAGGTCACCTAGTAGAAGGGGGGTCATGTCTTAATTACTTAAGGACACTAAAAGGTCTCTCGATTTAATGGAAGGATCATTTGAGTTACACTTGTATCTGGAAATTATAAAATAAGCCATTTAACCCCCATCCCCAGCTGAACGAATCCTGGAGTCGTCAACAAAAACAACGAGCAGATAGACGCGACATAACTCGTCATCATCGACGCGCCGGCTATTTTCGCATCTAATTGTGAGAGCAGCGGCATTTGACGCGACAATGGTGGCAATAATAACGGCGCCCAGTGGCGTGGCGCTCACTTGGCCCGTTCGCAAATCAAAGTTCTGCGTATCCGCATCCGCATCCGCTGTGTCCTGCCCAGAACTGCGCCACTGTCTGCTTCGCTCCGCCCCAGAGTCCTGGTCCTGTTGTCCTGGTGTTGTCGTCGTGCCATTGTCGCCGTCGCCGAAGAAGACCGGTCGCCGCAATCGTCTGTCTAAGTCTAGCCTTTGGCTACACTTAAAGAAAGCTTTTTTAAAGCAGTTTGGTTAAAACAAAATAAATTTTAAACTTAGAGAATTATAAAGCTAAAAAACTCCTACCGGAGGATTAAGAATCGGTTGATTTTTGGCAAAGATACAGCCTTCGCACAAATTTGGAAAATTCGACACAAAATTTAAAAAATAATTTGTTTATAGGTTTTGATGCACAGCAATGGAAAATCGAATGGCAAAAATTGATTCATTTCTAGATTTGGATGCAGATTGATGAAAAATCGCTCTAAAAATCGTTTAAGGTATTCCGCTCAAGAATCATATTGAGCCTCCATGCATTTTCCCCATTTTTGAAGGGGACTCCCTAGAAAATTTGTCAAAAAATCGAAAAATTAATTTGTTTCTAGATTTCGATGCAGATTGATGGAGAATCGCTCTACAAATCGTTTAAGGTATTCCACTCAAGAATCTGACAATTATTGCCGAAGATATAGCAATCGTTGTGGAGCATATTGAGCCTCCATGTATTTTCCCCATTTTTAAAGGGGACTCCCTAGAAAATTTGACAAAAAATCGAAAAATTAATTTGTTTCCAGACTTTGATGCAGATTGATGGCGAATCGATCTACAAATCGTTTAAGGTATTCCGCTCAAGAATCTGATGATTATTAGCGAAGATATAGCAATCGCTGTGGAGCATATTGAGCCTCCATGCATTTTCCCCATTTTTGAAGGGGACTCCCCAGAAAATTTGACAAAAAATCGAAAAATTTATTTGTTTCTAGATTTTGATGCAGATTGATGCAAAATCGATCTACAAATCGTTTAAGGTATTCCACTCAATAATCGGATAAATTTTGCCGAAGATATTGCAATCGCTGTGGAGCATATTGAGCCTCCATGCATTTTCCCCATTTTCAAAGGGGAAAATTTGACAAAAAATCGAAAAATTAATTTGTTTCTAGATTTTAATGCAGATTGACGGAGAATCGCTCTACAAATCTTTTAAGGTATTCCACTCAAGAATCCGATGATTATTAGCGAAGATATAGCAATCGCTGTGGAGCATATTGAGCCTCCACGTATTTTCCCCATTTTTTAAGGGGACTCCCTAGAAAATTTGACAAAAAATCGAAAAATTAATTTGTTTCGAGATTTTGATGCAGATTGATGGAGAATCGATCCACAAATCATTTAAGGTACCCCGATCAAAAATCGGATTTGTTTTGGAAAAGATATAGCCTTTGATGTGGACCTGACCATATGGTCCCATACATTTTTCCATTTTTTAAAGGATATGTATTATTTATGACTTACTAAGTCTTACTTATTTTTAATTATTTTATTTTATTTTTTAGTTAAATTCCGAGTCTTAACTAGTGTAATTTTTCCAAGTGTGTTTGCCGGCAACATTAAATGGGGTGGGTTGGGGCGCGTGGGCTTCGGGGCGCATCCCTTAGCGCTGGGCGGACTGCTGCCGACAAGTTGTCGTCTTGGTGACCGTCGCCACCATGGTTGGCGTCGTCGACTCAGAAATTTGCAACAATTCCACAGCGCCGCCGCCGCCACTTGTTACGCACTTTGGCGCCTCCGAACAACAAAATGTCCCGCACGGACAGCAACTGCCGACACTTCGACGCTTGATTCTGCGCCAAAAACAAAACAGACAGCCACAAAACACGGTCTGTCACCGCTCCTTTGATGCGATTGTCCCCCCACATTATAACAACTAATATAGGAAATTGTAGTTAATATATTAATGAAATGGAAAATTGGATTTAATTGATCCCATGTATAAGCCAGACCCAAGTACCAAGTAAAGAGTCACAGTGTCCTGTGAAATGGTATGCTTTATTTATTATACTTTTTTGAAATTATAAAAATAATCAAAGGTTGTTTCTCAATCGGCAAAGTTAAATATGCAAGTGATAAATACAAATAAATCTACAATAATTATTGTATATGCTTTTAGTTTCTTATGCAGCTACCGTATTTTGACTCTTTTTTATCGTTTTTTGCTTAAAAAGCGTATATTTTTTTTGTTTAATTTTACGCCAAACTCTTGCAATGATTATTACAATTATAGGAAAAAAACATAAATTTTGGTATAAAAATATATATGACTTAAAAAACAACACTCAAAATGATAAGATCGAAAATGTCGATTAAATAAAAACAAAATAAAATTATGATGCTCCACAACGGATACTTACAACAAATATCTATCCGCTGGGTTTACAAAAATCCAGAAATATGACAATTGCGGCTTTTCTAATTTCAATTATAATGTTTCTTTGTGTGTTAAACTATGTAACTCCATCCGCCTTTCTGGTTTTCGTTTACGTTTAAAAGTCAAAATGTATCACAATTTTGATCATTTTGTTTCAATAAACACGTCCTCGGCTGCACCATTCTCACTGCCTATTTTATGTAGTTATACATTTATGCTGAATGTCTCGATTCGTTTAACGGGCTCCACACAAAATTTCATTCAATGAAACCCAAAAACTTTACTTTATAGTAGAAGTGTCATAAAACCGATATTTACATATACCAGAAAATAGTTGCTATTATATGTAGTTGGATTTTGCAATTTATATGAGTATGTGAAGCGCCCATTTGCATCGGCGCTGAAAAATTCATAAACGTAGATATTGTAATTCCTTGCTTCTAAAAATGTCGGCCAAAACTTTAAGCCTTTAAGACAATTATGAAAATAAGCTGAATGCTCTCGTTAACAGATCTTAGGGTGGATTAATCATTCAAAAATCTCTAAGGAAAATGCCAAAAAGTACTTCTTATCAAATATGAAATGATATAAGTATGTACAATGAGCAAAACCTACCATTCGATATTATTTATAAAAACATTTTCTCTTTGCCTCTTTTTTTTGTGTTTTTTGCTTTTTGTTTTACTTGACTCTTAAAAAGTGCACATAATTTTGGATAAAATAACGTTTCTAACAAACTATTATCAAAATTTATTGACGATTGAGTACTATCTCATTTTTTTTTGTGTGAGATTTGTATACCCTGTAGCAATATTTTTTTGTTTTTTCAAAGTAAACACGGTACATATGTAAGTATCGGATACATAATTTATACAAACATATGTGTAATTGAGTAAAGAAAAAAATTAACTCTGCTACATACATTTTACAATTTCTGAAACATTTCCATTAAGCGTGAAAAATAAACCTACAACTCAACCTAGTCGATTTGTTGCCTGGCTTCAGTGATTAATGCCAGAAGGGCATCGAGCTTAAGGTCTTTAAACCGTTCAAAGTGGTCCATTAAAGGCTGAATCGCATCGGACTCGATGGCCGCCGAGATGGTTTGATTCTGAATGGTTAGATTGAGGCTTGATGCTACCTGAGTTAAAAACTCCCGCCACTTCTGCTTGTTCTCCTCGTTGAGAGTGGGGTCGGAACGGGCCACGTAAATTTCCTCGGCCCGTAGTATTAGAGCAACCAATGACAGGATGCCAAACTGGTAATGAATTAATAGTTGGTTTTATTTGATAATTTTCATTAGGTTAATAAATACTTACGCGAGTGCAAAAAATTCCTGTTAGCTTTTTGTCGTTTAGCGTGATGGCAGCTGAAATGCTAACAAGGTTCTCAAAACTGGCCTTGCTTATGTGCTTCTTAAATTCAGGATAAAGTGCGTAGAGGACTCCTTCCACATCATCCTTGTCCTTCTTGACCACGGTCTGCAGCGAGCAGAATATACCGCTCCAAACGGTCCAACAAATGCTTTGATCCGCAATGAAAGGCATGATTCGACGTAAAAGTATCTGAAAGATACACATAAATTAGATTAGTTTCGAATGATAAACAAATATTTGTACGATATACCTTTCCCTTGCGCACATTCATCATGGCGATAACCTTGTCGAGGGTCAAACCAGCCTTCAACTTGTTCACCAAAGCAGAATTCGTCTCCACTTCGTAATTAAATTTATTCTTCAACTGTGGATTCATTGACTGCGGGTTAGCAGCCTCGGCAGCTCGCTCTTCGGGCGTTTTATTGGCCATCTCCAGTTGCTCGAGGGCCGCGATTCGTTCGGCCTCCTTCTTTTTCTTCAGCGCTATAGTGGCCATGACCTCGGGACTCTCCAGATCCTCCAGCTTTAACAGATAGCGGTACAGCGTTTCGATCAGCAGCAGAATATGACGCGACTTGCGCATGCTGCTTGGATTGATATCGCGATCGTTGGATGGCAACAATGGAGTTCCAGCATGCGACTTGGGATTCGTGCTAGAGGTTGAGGATGTGGCACTAGTATCTAGCCCGGCATTCGAATCCGCGCCCATAATGTCGGCGTCAATGATTTTGCGCGGAGCCGTTACACTGCCGTACTGCAGCTTTCCCAGCGAGTTCTCAAATTTCAGCGGTGAAAATATGTAACCGGGCAGCGTATTATTATTGCCTGGGCCGTTGTTGGTGTGGCCGCTAGTGTTGTTGGCATTCTCCGAATTGCGACGTTCGCGTCCGTGACCGTTGCGCGTTCCGTTCTTGTTGCCCAGCTGGACAAGTACCAGTTGCGCGTGGCCGCGCGGCTGGGTGAGCGGATGATTAAGTTGGTTATCCTTATGCGCCTGACTCTGACGCGTTTGTCCGTTCTGCTGTGCCTTACGCTCCTTGTACACAGTATAGTAGTAATCGTCAATATAGGGCGTATCCGTATTCAGCTGTGACAGTTGGATGCCGATCAGCCAGTGCTTGTCGCGCGTGCTCATGAGGTTAGCATACTCATCATAGTCGTCCTGTGGCAGATTTCCTGTGGCATCAGGTCGGCGCCCGTGCGGCTGTTGCTGCCCCGGCAATGGCTGCTTCTGCCGATCACTGGTCACAGAACCCGAGCGACTTTGTTGCATTTGACGCGCCACAGCCGCTTGCTGGAGCAGCGGATGGTTTTGCTGTATCTCCTGCACCAGCCGCATGTTGAACATGTTGTACATCGAGTTCGGCGGTTGCTGGCCTATTGGATGCGGTGGCATCCGAGGCTGTGGCATAGGGTGACCGGGTTGTATAAATGGTGGCGTTGAATGGAGGCCTGCTGCGCGCATGGCATTAAAGCTTGGATGCATAGCGAAGTTGTTCAGCGCTGTTGGCAGGGCATGGGGATTGGGCAGTGGGCGCTGATTGCCGCCATTGGGCAACGGATAGTTCAGTGGTAGGTTCAGCGGATAGTTGGGCATCAGCGGGTGCTGGTTAGGCAGTGGCGGCATGTTTCCTGTCATAGCTGGCGGGTAAATGAATCCGGGAGGCACACGGTTTCCACCAGGCCCATTTAGCTGCGGCTGCGATGGTGGCGTGGGTAGCAGCTCGTTCAGTGGATGTGAACCAGGCACGGGGCCGGGCACTGGGCCAGGTCCAGGTCCAGGGAAACCCAAATTTGGCCTAGGTGGAGAGGTCTGAGGCGTTCCTAGAAAGCCAGGAGGTGCTAAGGATGTAAAGAAAGTAGAGTTTAGTTGAAACCCGATATAATAATACCAGAATAATATATTTATACCCTTGTGCTGTTGTTGTTGCTGCTGCTGCTGTTGTTGTTGATGATGCTGTTGTTGTTGCTGATGCTGCTGGTGTTGTTGTTGTTGGTTAAGCTGTTGTTGTTGTTGCTGATTAAGATGTTGTTGTTGCTGCTGATTAAGTTGTTGCTGTTGTTGGTGATTAAGCTGTTGTTGTTGGTTAAGCTGTTGTTGTTGGTTAAGCTGTTGCTGGTGCAGCTTTTGTTGTTGCTGTAGCTGCTGTTGTTGTTGTAGATGCTGTTGTTGCTGCATATGTTGCTGTTGCTGTTGAAGCAGCATAGTTGGTGTGGCCACCTGCCTCCGGTTGGCCAGGCTAAAGTCGTCAAACATTTTACGTTCCTGTTGCTGTTGTTGCTGCTTAGATGCCTGCTGGATAATCAGATTCCGCTCAATGTCTTCAAGAGTGGTGATTTTCAATCCCTGCGGAGGAAAGTTCGCATTCGCCTCTGGCGGAGGCTTCATCATAGGATGCTGCTGTGGTTGCGGCTGCTGAGGTTTGAAAGCGCTGCGTAGGTTTTCCCTGAAAAGGGGCGGTTGACTGTTCGGAAAGGGTTGCGAGGTCCACACGTTGGAGTCCAAGTTGATGCGATTGCTAAGACCCCCGGCTTCGCTGTCGGCATATGAGGACAAATCCATGTCGTCCAGCTTCATCGCGGAGATGTTTAGCTCTAGATCAGAGTCGCCGATGTTACGCGATTGTCGGAAAGGAGCCGGTGTGGATCCACTAGACGAGGGCGCTGAGGAGAGCAGATTCAGGTGCCGGAAGGCTCCGTTGTCACTGGGTTCTCCAAAGTCCCCGTCCACGACCCGATTTCGCGCCCGCTCTCCGTTGCCGCCGAGGCGCACCATCGTCTCGTGGGCCTCCTCCCAGTCTCCATTTATCGCCGAGCCGAAGGTCTCGTCGTTCAGAGCATCGTAGTCCTCCTCACCAAGGCGACTGTCGCCTCCATCTTCATCCTGGAAATATAATACAGCAACTTAGTCCAAGTAATTCCTAGATTTCTAGACCTCTTTGGCCTTCGTTTCCCCATTTCGGAAAGTGAAAAGTTCGTGTGGTGTACACTTCGAGACTCTTCTTGTTCAAGGGAAAGTAGCCAGCGGAATAGCGGCTTTCTTTGCGGCCTGTTCTCTAAAATAACACAGCACCTGCGTGGGGGCGAGATTACTTACCGGTAAATTGGTGTCGAATCCGAAAAACGAGTCCATTGCGAAAAACTATTGCTTTAAAAAAATTATCATGACTTGTCAGTGACAAGTTGTCAGTGTGACCTAGCGATGGCCGGGCGGGCGCACTTATCCACTATCGATTACAGGAATCGTGGGTGACGGATTTGGTTCGATAGTTTTTATTTGTTTTTTAAATAAAATATTTTTATTAATTTCATATACTTTGTAAAATTTTAAATTTATCTAAAATAAAACCATAGGAAACATAAATAGTTGTCTACAAGATGTTTTTGAAGATTTCCATCAGCCGATAGTTTGATCCAGATCCCGCCGACGCAGCTGGTTCCATAAGTTATTGTTTACGCATCTCGCAGATTGTTATTTTTTATCACAATTTATTTTTGAATGCAGCCAAAATGAAGCGCAAGACGAGCGAAATCTGGTGCTTCTTTCGCGCGGTGGACGACACTTACGCGGTGTGCAACATCTGCAAGGCGAAGTTGTCGTACAAGACCACTACCACAAATCTAAGTAAACACATGAACAGAATGCATCCAACTACGGCTATGGCTCGAGGCCACAAGTTTAAGTTCCACCGTCGACCGCAAGAAGGTGACATGGACCGCAATAAAGCCAAGCCTCGAAACGCTACACAGGAGGCGATTCTTTTGGACTTTGTAAAGAAGCACCCACGCCTGCTGCAGAATCCGACGTGGGAGACGCGAAATAATCTGGAGTCTCTATGGGAACAGCTGACTAATGAACTCAACAGGCATGGGCCGCCGCGAAAAGATATACCTACCTGGAAAAAGGTTTGTTACCAAAACTTTCAAAAATCTGTAACCCCAAATATCTGTTATCCTTGCAGGCCCTGAAAGACTGGAAGAGGTTTATCTTAAAAAAGGTTGAGCAAAATGAAATGCACAACATGCCATTTGGCACTAGTCTCAATTCATCGGAGGAAACCATTGCAACCCTTTGCCGCTTAAACGAAGATGTGAGCCAAATTATAATGAAAGTTTCCGACGACGATGACATGCACGAGAATTCTACCACCGAGTTCGACGTAGACGAAGTGGAGGATGTGGTGCCGGAGGACGATAGCGGCGGATCTCTGCAAACCCCTGCCGAATATGTGTATGAACCCGATGAGGACAAAGTAGAAATAGACCCTCTGTATCTTCAGTCAAGCAGGAGGCCGCGGGCCAACAGCCGGGTTATGGAAGAAGAGACTCTGCTTGATAAGATTAAGGACAACATAAGTCTGGTGAACGATTCCGCCAGTAGTGTACACCTAGCGCTTAACGAATTCTGCTTACTGTACAAACAGAAATTGTATGAGGACAAAAGGCATCACCTTGCCATGGAGCAGTTAATGGCGGAGAAAATCGATCTTAAAAGGAAACTGCTTGAAATAGAGCAAAGGAAACTATCACTTAAATAACTAAACTCACTAAGTATGAAGAGTTGGAATTAAAACATTGTATATTTTGATTAGGTATTTAGGTTCTCTGTTGTCTAATTTTATATCTGCTACCATACTCTATCACACTCCGAGTCCAACTGAATACCAGTATAAGAATAACATAGGCTATTTAAGTTCATTTTTATTTTAGACATTTAGCTTATTTGTAATTGTTCTTCGTAGACTTGTTTAACGATTTCCTTGAATTCTGGGGGATAGAAGGCATCGCTCATGACAACGTCGTATGCATATTGCGCGTCCTGAATTTCCTAATTTATAATAAATATTGAAGATTAATAGAAATATTTTAACTTACGTCGCTTGCTTCTTCTGAATCCTCAGCATCTTCATTGAGTTCGCCCAAATCCCCACATGCAATGAATGGCACAAGCTTTCGATTTACTTCAGATCCAGTTTTCTGGGCCAAGATTCGGATATCATCCCGTGCTGTGTTGATTACTTGAGGTATGTAGCCAGTTGGCAAACAAAAGTCGGAGCAGACCACGAATGCTTCTATACTCGAGGGCCTTGAACTGGGGGGCTTGTAGATATCAAACTTTTTGAAGAAAATCTTCATCTGAGAGCTTAGAAGCCCAGTGGCATTGCCTTTAAATATTTTGGCCACAAAAGTGCCTCCAGTCTCGAGCACGCAGGTCGCTATACTAAGAGCAGCCACTAGCAACTGGTGCTGCATATACTCATCCATCTCATGCACTCCGGTGACATCCGGTGCTCCGTCGCAGACGACCAATTGGGCTTTATCCTCCTTGTTGTCGCCAAAGTGGCCAATGATGGCTTCTGCTGTGGACTGCTTTGTAATGTCTCCTTGCAGTTGGATCACTCCCCGAATAGGAGCCATCGCTTGCAGGTCCACGGCAATGATTTTAACGGCGGCCTTCTCGTCATCTGTTTGGCAGGTATCGTAGAGTTTTCGTGATAGTACTTGAGACCAACTGCCAGGTGCTGCACAAAGATCCACCGCCCTCTGAACACCTGCATACATACATATTTGAAATGTTTATCATTACAATCTCATGCATACTTTTTTTTGGCAACATGTCGCACTTACCATTTAGTATGCCGTATGCCTCGTCCACGTGGAGCAGCTTGAAGGCACTTCTAGCCCGCCAGCCCTCTTCCTTAGCCTGTCGATAGTAAATATCGCGTTTGTCTTTTGAAGTTTTCCCCATTTTTAAAGATTTTAATTCATAAATAGTGTTACAAGTATGCTTGTAGCAGTTGGAACTAGTTCATTTCGGAAAGCTCGAAATGTGCGACCCAAAATACCAACTTTAAATTATTGCAAATAAACCTCATTCGGAGTTTAGTGATAATAATTTATTCAATAACAGTTAATTTAATAAACAATTTAGAAAAAAAAAATATATATAAAAAAAAACTTCTCATATTATTATTTTACAGGAACTATATTAGTAAATATTGGTATTTTTAACGTCTTTGAAATTTGGTCACATTCTTTCCCGCTTTCGCTTCAAAAGTGCAATTGCAAGGATTAATTGCAATTTCTTATGAAATTATGCACCAAATTCCGGTATATCTGGTTGAAGACCCCAATCCCGGGGCTCGGGAGTATGACACAATGTCCATGGTCCTGACTCCGCGTAATTTGATGTAAGTATGACGTGCGTGCGGTGTTTTGGTGCAAAAAACGAAATAGAAAAATCATGAAGTTTCTTGTACACATTTATGGGTCCAAACTTGTAAAATGACGGTTTATGTACTGCTGGACTAAAACAACGTGTTCTGTAAAGAGTTTAAGCAAGCTATCTTTTTCAGAGAATCTGAGCTCTTCCTTAAAGTGCTGAAGAAAGAAACGGATGCGGTGTTCAATCATTTCGCGGATATAGCTCCCAGTTGCCTTGTCGTAGCCAAGGAGAACATGGACAAAAAGGATCCGACTATCTTGAAGCTGGTAAGCCTTGCTAAAGTTATGTGGTTATTGTTCTTTCAATTATTTTCCTTAGATTTTTGAGCTCATGAACGAAATCATTTGCCGGGCACCTTGCAACACGGACACATTCGTAGATGCTGTCTTAGCACGAAGCATTCATTATATGAAAAGGAATCGCTACTCGGTAAGTATGCTTGTTAACAATTTTATCCCTAATATTAATCGAAATCTTTCTTATTTCCTTACAGCTAGCCGTTCAAGACTTGACGTTTTACGAGAGCTTAGATTCAAAACTCAAAACACCAGAGGGCATTGTTATTTCCCGGATTCTTTCATGTGTTTCCCTTTTTTTGGCAGGCGAACTTAATACAGCAAAGGCTAGGCTTGCCGATCTCAACGAGATGATTGGTAAAAACGCTTTCTATAATTTTAAATGTAATTCAACTTAAAATTGTTTCTTTGTAGCAAAATCACCACCACTCAACAGTGCCGGTAAGCAACCTCTATCGAAAACATAAATATATTGTTTAACTCCTATTCTCCATATTTTAGATGTTAAAGGATTTCTTTTGTTGTTGGCGCAATACCAAGCGAAAATCAGCACCTGTGTAGTTAAGGAGGTTAAACCCAAGATAACACATGAGCCCATTAAACCTTATAAGGGTTTCAAGCTGATACGAAAAATACCATATGCTAGCAGTGCCTGTGTATATATGTAAGTAGAATTTAAGGTTAATGCGTATATATTAATAGTATTATAATTCCATACAAAAAACAGTGGCAAAAACGCTGGAGTGTTTGCAACCACTGATATTGACAAAGGAGAAATCGTGTTGGTGGAGGAGCCTGCCTACTATCAGCTTGGTGCACCATTTAGTAACTGTGATCTGTGCGGATCTCCCCAGGAATTGGTCTACACCTGTGCTGGTTGCCGCTACAAAACATATTGCTCTGAATCATGCATGAAAGACGACGCGGAGATTCATCAGTATGAATGTTACGGCTTTAAAATAGCAATTATACCATTGTTGGAGTCGACAACTTTATATCGACTGTTTCTTCAAGCAGCTGACTATATATTACCGGCTCTAGTCGATTTTGCTCTTGATGGCGGGTTCGTATAATATTTATTACTATTAATATATAAGATAAATTACGTTTAATTCATTTAAAAGTAGAGAAATAAAAAGTGCCAAAGAGGCTTGGAGCTTCATACTCGAACATGCCAAAGAGGAGGAGAAGGAGTATAACATGTATGGAGACTTTTTGGCCAACAAGCCCGACTACCACAAGGTGACCAAAGAAAACTACATCGAAATCATAACGAAAGCATTTCGGTTGGCTGTTTTTATTTACAACGATACCAATCTTAAAGAGAAATATTTTTATATGCTAGCACTTAAAAAAGAAGATATGATTAAGGTAATAGGTTCCATTCTTCTGCGCTTGGCAGCTCACGTTCTATTGAACTCCCACCATGAGAAATTAGCACCATTTAAAGAAGCCATCAATGAGAATAAGTATCCAAGCGAAGAGTTTGATGAACTAAAAACGAAAATGGATCGTGTAGAAGAAAATGCATTCAGTTATTATGGACTGGATGCGGTAGCTGATTTTGTAAACTGTTACAATGACGTAACCAATTCTTTTGATGTTTGCGGGAATAATTTTGACAAGTTCATGGCAATTGAGAGTCCCATATACCAGTTTATCAATAAGGTGCTTTCACTTTGCCTCAACAATACTGAAGTGGACTGTGTTGAAGATATTGTAGAGGGGAAATCCTTAAACGCACAGGAAATAGCTGATAAAATAAAAACCCTGAACACTTCAAAGCGGTGTGAATTGTTGAAAACCTTCACCAAACGCTTTCAACAGTTTGCTATGCAGTATTTTACCAGAGGAAAACGTAACAGAAACTATCGTCAAGTGAAGTCTTCCATTTGTTCGACGTTGAAATCCTTTCGTCACTGTTGCGGGGAAGAAAACGTTAAAGTAATGTAAGTTTTGGCTTTGAAACCACAGTTTATACTTTTCCTAATTTTATGTTTCATTTTAGTTGCATGTCAAGCGGAAATTTTATAGGAGTTACAACAAAAAAAGTTAAATCTGGTTCCGAATTGGTTGTGTGCTGCGATTTCATAAAGAAAAGCGCGCTGCACTCAACAACGTGTATGGAACAAGGCCTGGGCTACGATTTCCCGTTGTATATACGTAATGAAAATCACACTGTAAGTACTTTCATCCTGAGTAATGGTTAAATAATTTAATATTTTTCTTTTATATTTTAGTTTGGAATAACTTGTAGTATTGAGGATAGATGTATTGAACGCATAAACCTTTCTCCAGATGTGATTCGACAAAATATGGCATTTATTTGTCATATCAAAAAAAAAGTTTCCGATTGGAAAACATCCCCACAAGGTTTTTTAGTTTAAGCACTATAGTTTATATGTGTTTATAATGTTAAACATATTTTAGATTTTAGGATTCAACATGACTTGTCTGTTTTGTATGGAGCCTACAATAGTTTTCTTACCTTACATTTCCCGCATGGCCATCCGATGCGATTACTGGGAGTGCTCAAATTTTCCACGTTCCTCGCCACAAATGGTTCGAATATTGTTAATCATTTCTTATTTATATTATTAATAATTGTATTTAATTCTTAGGTTTTCTGGAGCATTCCAGCTTTATAATAATGCACATAATTAATGTAATGGAGAAGGAAGACACCTGTTTCGAAGACACCGCACTTTACCACCAAATTTTTTGCATTATTCGTTCAATAATCGAACAATATATTGATATCATGTGAGTGTTTTAAAAATGGATACCATAAAATCAGTTTTAATTACATTTTATTTAAAATTACAGGATTGATTCTTCGGATATAGATGCAGGGTACCCTGTACTGCTACTGGGAAGCTGTTGGTGTTTGTTAAAAAGACTAATGCATCAGATTGAAAATCTAAAAGATGAAGAGGGAAGTTCCCTATTCGCAGAATATCGTGCTTATCATCACAAGTGGAAGTTGATACTTAGCTCTTACCTTCAGACGCCATCCGGCTTGAAGAAATTTTTGGTTAAGTCCAAAGATTGTCCTGTGGCATAATTTATATGTACTTCCTAAGCTTAGACTTTTTTTTTAAAACCTAAACCCGTGACAGCCATATTATTATTTTTTTTATGTTATGTTCCGACACATAGAAGTGTCTTGTTAAGTTTCAATATTTAATATAACTATGTTACATAGAATCTATGTATTTAATTTTTTTTAAGCTACGAAAGTAATACTCCTATCCATTAGCCTAGAAAGGCCGTGATATTTACAAGTAGAAAAAAAGTAAAAAAAAACGTAATACTCGATAAAGAAATAAATGAGTCAGATTTGTTTATGCGAAGAGATTTTCATTGCTGATGGTTGAAAAAATATTGCCAAAATACTGAATTATTTTTATCAGTTGTATGATTTCATTATTTTATAAGAACTTGACCATTCTACGTTTTTTTTGTGAACCGTAAACACGTTCGGTTGGACTTTATAGCTGCATTCACAGTCTGCTCACCCCCACGGCTGGCGTCGACCGAATATTGGAAATTATGCTCGCATATTTCTGCACGTTCCACAATCTTGGACATCTTACCGAGAATTCCGTTGCGCACTATCACGTCTGAGTGCTACGCAGATCGTGCAGCGAAGATCTATATATGGCTTCACACACGACATGCATGGTGCATTAAGTTTTCCGGCGTCGTTTGTGCTATGCGGTACTTACTACTGGCTTTGAGTGTTCTGGCGGTGGCACTGGCCACAAAATGTCCGTACTCGATGGATCATCTGTCCAGATCCAAACGCAGTGAATTCGAAGTTCGTCCAGCGGTTAGTGATTCCAGTTTCGATGCCTTGATCAAGGATTTTAGTGGCAACTCGGCACAAAACGGATGGGTGGAACCGCTCGGATCGCATCAACCACCTTTGAGGTGCAGCATCCCGCCCCCCAATTGCCTGAATGACACACGTTTCCTGCACTACCGCACCATCGATGGAGCCTGCAATAACCTGCTGTATCCGGATTATGGAATCTCTGTTTCCAAGTACAGGAGGCTCTTGCCTCCCAGGCAGGTGATTGAGGCTCCAAATGCCCGACTGATCTCCCTGTCGCTGTATGGAGAACAAACCAGGAACGATCGCTATCGAACCATGGCCGCCATGCAGTTTGGCCAGTTTGTGGCCCACGACATAAGCCAGTTGAGCTTGCAGGGAGCGCCCAAGGATTGCTGTTCGGAGCCGAGAAATCCACGTTGTGACAACATAGCCTTACCCCGAGGAGGACCCATAGCCTATCACACTGGAAAGACCTGTCTGCCCTTCGCCCGCAGTGCCTCCGAAGCCGATGCCATCTGTCCTAGGAGCCGTACACCCTATCCGGAGAAGCTTACGGTAGCCACTGCCTATCTGGATCTCTCCTCCGTGTATGGAAGCACCCCTGCTAAGAATAGGAATGTGAGGCTCTTCAAGGGTGGTCTTCTCCGAACCAGTTACACGAATGGACAGCACTGGCTGCCGGTGAACCGGAATTTCGATGGCGAGTGCGGCACCAAAAGCGAGTGCTATAGCTTGCCGGATATACGGAATCGATTCTCGCCCACCATTGCTGTTATCCATACCCTTCTGGTGCGGGAGCACAATCGTCTGGCCGAGAGCTTGGCCCTTTTGAATGCAGATTACGATGACGAGCGCATCTTCCAGGAGGCGCGAAAGATCAATATTGCTCAGTACCAAAAGATTACCTACTACGATCTGCTCCCCTTGATCCTGGGTCGCACCTACACCTATTTGAATGGACTGCTGTACCCAGTGGAGCCTTCTGAGTATGTCAACGACTACGACGAGAGCGTGAATCCAGGCCCCTATGTTGAGTTTTCAGCCGTGGCCTTCAGATATGCCCACACCCAGATCCCCGGATGGTTCTCGTAGGTTTTTCTTATCTTTATCCTAAATTTAATTTCAATTACTTTAATGTAACTTTCTTTCTTATAGTCTAGTGGCTCCAAATCGGAGCTCCAACAAGACCCTGCGCTTCAGCGATTATTTTGACCGCGCGGAGACCGTTAAGTTGCTGGACTCCAGCGACAATTACGCTGCTCTTCTCAGAGGATTGGCCACTCAGTTGCACAAGCAATCCGATGGAAATATTGACCGTGAAATTAAGCACTATTTCAATCGCAAGGAGTTTGAGGAATACGGATCGGATCTGAAGTCCATAGATATTCAGAGGGCAAGAGACTTTGGAGTGGCATCCTATAACGACGTGCGAGAGTTTTGTGGATTGAGGCGTGCTGTGGACTGGGCTGAATTCGCTCATGAAATTCCTGGCGAGGTAATATCAGCAAAAGCATAATTTTAACTAAATAATCTATTTAAAATCCCTTCTTTTTTAGAAAATCTCTTTGCTGCGTCGGCTTTATGCCACTCCGGATGATGTGGAGCTGAGTGTGGGTGGCTCTTTGGAATACCATGTACCTGAGGCCCTTTTCGGACCAACTCTTTTGTGTGTGATTGGAAAACAGTTCTTGAACACTCGACGTGGTGATAGATTCTTCTTTGAGAGGGATAATCATAGCGCTGGATTTACTCGCGGTATGTTTTGTAACTTACAGGTGAAAACAATTATTTAATATTTTCATCCCTTAGATCAATTGGCCGAGATCCGTAAAGTAAGCTTGGCTAGTTTGTTCTGCAACAACGCCGACTATCTGCACTACATTCAGCCAAACGTATTTGTATTCCCCAATTCTCAGTGAGTTTAAGAATATTTTTGATTAGAAAAATGCATATTAAAAATTGCTTTTCCCATAGGAACTTACTGTTGAACTGCAACGATATACATCACCTTGATATTAGCAAGTGGCAAGATCTAAGACCTCAACTGGTACATTAAAAATAATGTACGCTTTTTTTTATATCTGTGGAAGATTGGTGGGTCCAATTTGTGCCTTCAGATACCCATGTTTTATGTTATATTTCATCTTACTTTTTTGCATAATGAGTAAGGCTTCAATTCGTATTTAATCATTTGTTATGTATTAAATTGAACGCTTTAAGTTAGTACAATAAATATACTCCCCATGAAAAATAAAAAAAAAATGTATATTTCTTTCTTGATTTTATTAAAGATATAGTTCAGACTCATGATTTTATTTATACCTCCATTAAAACAGGCTCTGTAGTATCTTCAGGATTCTTATCAACTATTATAGATGTGGGTACATCAAACAAGGATTCCTCAAGATTTATTGATTGAATGTTATGTTCTTGAGGGACAAGAGATTTCATGGATTCCATTTTCGGGTAGACAGTTGTGAATTCAATAGAGAAAGTATTCTGGCTTGCTGATGATTCTGAGATAGATGTGGGTTTAAGTGTAGTATCCTTAGTTTCTTCCTCATCTATTGGACTAGCTGTGGCTTCTTCTTGAGGTTCTGGTGCTTTTTCTATTTTTAAAGAAATTATTTTATTCGGTGATATTTCAAACCCTTCGCTTTTGTTGGAAGCTTGTTTAATTTCAGTATTTTTCTGTATATGATAAATTTTTGAATCTGTGAAACTCTGATTCAATATTAAAAAAGTATCTGTCGTGGCTTCAGGCTCAGTAGTCGTCGGGGTATTTTCTGTAGAGGGAGTCTCTGAATTTTCCAGTATGTCTTCATTCCTAATAGGGTCCGTTAAAGTATCCTTTGAAGAATTAACATCATATGTTTCAGTAATAGATTCAGTAATTTCCTCAACAATCTGAATATTTGTTTCAGGTTCTGCCTCCAAATCATTTTTTATTGAATCTTCTGCTACAGTTGTGGTTTCTTGACTTTCTGATTTTTCATTTTCATTGGGGCTTAAAGTTGTTTTATCCAAAAAGATTTGGGCTTCCGCAGAAGAAGGAGCTTCTTCAGTAGTAGTTGTCAGAATATCCTGTGGTGTATCTGATTCTGGTTTTTTATTAACTTGACTTTCGGTATCTTTAGTCCCGGAGTTTTCCTGTACGATTAATTTATCTGTTGAAGAGTTAATGCTCTCAGTTGTAGTCTCCGAATGATTGTTTAATCCCTCTCCTTCTGTTGAAGCTATACTTGTAAGAGACTCCTCTTTATTTACTTCTTTAATTAGTACATCATTTTGGTCAACTTTCACTTTTGTCACTTCATCTAATAATGGTGTTTTTTCTGGATGTTCTGGCTCTGAATCTTTGCTTAAGTTTGCCAAATCCAATGGCAACTCATTTTGTTTAATTTGTACATTTTTAATAGGTGGTTCTTTCTTTTTCTGCGATGCCACTTGGTTGATATTCAAATGAGCAAGTGGTTTTGGTTTTGTTAAAATCGGATTCTTGTTAATGTGGGTTCCATTGTTTTTTGACGCTGATGGTCTGTGATTTGAGATGGTCGAGTTTTTGCGATTTCCTGAACTTGTCTTAATTACCTTTCGTTTACTACTTTCAAAATTAGGATCCCGAAGTGAGATTACATTAGGTTTATGCTTCTGGGAATGGGACGATGGCCTAGTAGTTGGTTTTCTTTTCTTGTTAGATGGGATTGGCTTGATGGCCTGATTGATTCTTTTGCGATTGACGGAAACATGGTTACCAGTTGGTCTTTTGTGACTTGGGTTTTTGTGGTTTTGGTTTGTTTGTGTTCTAACTTTGTGAACTCTAATTTTATCAGTTTGTGCTGTTTGCGGTTTATTTACTTTCTTAATTGGATTTTCGTCGCCTGAGGTTTCCTTTTTGGGTGGATCTTTGCCCTCTGATTTGGCGGGTAAATAAATAATTCGAGGAGGTTCGCTTTTGTGGTGAATTACGGATTTTCCAGGAGGCCCAGGAGGACCTATGGGTCCGGGGAAGCCATAGTAACCAGGTCTACCGGCTCTGCCACGTTCTCCCCTTTCACCCGGATCACCACGATCTCCCTTTTCTCCGGGGGGACCTTCATCGCCCTGCACTCCAGGCAGCCCCGGAGGCCCTGGTGGCCCAGGAGGTCCTGGTCTGCATTGGCAATGTGATCCGCCATAGTAGGAAGTTTCGGGTCTATATAAGTACAGATCATAGTTTTTAAATAGGGGCTTCTTTGCCCTGGGCCGCGTATCTGCTTTAACAGGCTGAGTCGAGCTTAAAATCCATGATCCCTCTCCAAAAGAGATTATAGCTATCCAAAAAAATAAAATTATTAGTTGATTTTTCAGACAACATTATAGCTCTACTCACCTGATAAAAGCAAAACAGCGAACAGCCTCATGCTGAGGCCCACCATTCGAGAGTGTTCACCTGGCCAGGTTAGAACCCGTCTTATATAGCCTACTAAAACCGTTAAATAATGGGTTAATTAGAAACACCTTTAATCCGAGCTGAGTCAATATCAGATGGCAGCCAGCTAAACGGTCTTGCATAAATTTAATTTCGCCACTGGGTTAATTTCCATTAATCTCATTTTTATTTTCAAAGAAAAGTAATTTAATTTGAAACTTTTAAAATCTGTAAAATGTAGTCACGTGTAGCGTGGAACTGTTTTTTTTAATTACTTATTTATTACCAAATATGTTTCTTTTTTGCCTAGGTTCATTCACTTTTAGTTTCAGATGTTCTTCCTCCACACCCATTGTCTGTCCAAAAACAATAAAAAGACTAACATGGCCAAAATGGAACAATAACTGGCCCAACTTTATAGATTTTAATGATTATTTTTTTTATAAGGTCCTCATACAAATTGATCTTAATTAGCGAAATTCTAGACGTCACACGGAAATTCTTTTTGGCAATAAAATAGTAGATCAATCAGATGCAAGAATAGGATAGAAAACAGTTATCGTTCCATAATTTCTATTTGAATATTGGGTTAATGTTTCCACAAAATAGTTAGGGAAACAGGAAAAATTAAGTTTTGGCGGGTGTCGTAAAAATCGAGAATAAGTTTGGCTATCGTTAAAAATATATATGTTTGTTTTTGAACCAGTTGGCAAAGAAAATATTTAAAAATATATTTTTTCAGTAATTAGGCGAAAGGTTTTACGGTTTTTTTCAGTAATTGGGAGAAAGGGGAAGTACCTAGAATAAAAAAGTATCTTAAACTAAAACTTTTACTTGTTTGCGGCTTCGTCTGATAACCTTAAGCTTGAGTTCAAACAATACTTTATTGTATTATGTGAAAAGATGTTAGATTTGCAAATTTTGTCGCGCGTCAGGGGGATTATTGTTGAAATTTCTTTGTGATTTCACTTTTCACATGCCATTGACTATTGTTCGATTAAATAAAGGATTACAAAGCCCCAAGTCATTTCTAAGAACAACGGAACTATCGAGTCTTTCGACAACAAAAGAGTTAGTCGGTTATTTATTTAAACTGTTATTTTATACAATTTTAGCAGATGATCCAATTGATGAATAATAGAAAATCTTATTAGTTTTATGACTTTCATTGGCATTTAGTATATCACTAAAATATTAGCCACAAATTTAATTTCATCTATGAAAGTAGGAATCTGTATGGCTTAATTTTAAAAAGTAACTGAGGTCATCCAACATTAAGGTTCCTACAGGAGCACGGAGCGAAAAAATATTAGGTAGAACGATTTTAACAAACCCGAAAACACAATATAAAAAGGTAATTTATATATTCATATTTTGGTTTTTTATTAACGTATATCAGTGGCTTGTTTTTTTAATTATACTGTTCATAGGCATAGAAGTGAAACGGATTTCTGGGGCTCCCAATGGCCAGGACTATAGGTCCTTTGCTAGTACGTTCCTCGATCTGATCAGTCTCATAAGATTGGTTCTCATCAAATCCCGTACCAACATCCATTTGGTCTTGCATTTGATCCTCGATTGGTTCCTCCGTTATGGGTTCCTCCATTTCCTGATCTCCGGCAGCTTCGCTTTGAGATTCAGCATCTAAATTGGGCTCTTCTTGGTAAGGCTCTTCAATGGAATCATTGGGTTCAGCCTGGTTCAGGTTGTTTTCATAATAGTTATTGTAATCGAACTCCTCGGGTTCCGTCTCATAGCCAGTTTGCTCATATGGGGCTTCGTCCTGTCCCTCTGCCATGTCATTCTCATCGACTAGGTTGTCTAGATTTTCCACAATCTCTACATCGTTGTCTAGGAAGTCGAAGTCACCACGCTTGTCTCCACTTCCCTCGCTCGGATCGGTGGGTTCTGGATCGGTGGGCTTGGGTGGAGGAGTTTCTCCCTTGGGATCTCCTTTGTTTCCAGAATTTCCACCTTTTCCATGATGAGGTGGTGGAGGATAGTGGCTGGATCCTCCCTTTCCGTGGTGGTGGCCTCCGTGATTAGAGGAAGGATGATGATGTCCGTCTCCGTGGTTGTGGTGGTGTCCATCTCCATGGTTATGGTGGTGCCCGTCGCCGTGGTTATGGTGGTGGCCATCTCCGTGGTTGTGCCATCCATCTCCACCATGATGGTGGGAGGGATGATGATGTCCATCCCCGTGATGATGCGAGGGATGATGGTGATACGGCGGAGGAGGTGGTGGAGGAGGTGGCGGGGGTGGGTAGTAGTGGTGGTGGTGACCCTTGTCGCCTTTGTGACCCTTATCTCCATGGTGGTGACCCTTGTGATGACCCTTGGATGGCCATGGCACTGGGACTGGCACTGGAATCCAGGGGGAGGGTGGTGGGTAAGGAGCTGGGGGAGGATACGGATACGGTGGAGGATAAGGAGCCGGCGGTGGTGGTGGTGGTGGCGGAGGAGGTGGAGGGGGATACACCGTGCCTGGAGGTCCTGGAGGGCCTGGCACACCCATTCCTGTGAGATATTTTGAGTATATTTAATAAATTAATATCGAGCATCACAGAAATTTATTGAAAATAGCTTACCCGGAGGTCCTGGTGGTCCTGGAGGTCCTTTGGAACCCTTGTGATGGTGATGTCCGCCTTTCGGTGGTGGTGGAAGGGCGGGAATAGGAATTATCACGGGAGGTGGGGGAAGGATGGGTGGCAGAGGATGCGGGTGATGGTGATGGTGATGTGGCGGGTTGGTTGGTGGTGGCGGAGGAGGCGGTGGCGGCGGTGGTGGTGGAGGCGGTGGAGGCGGTGGATGATGGTGATGATGATGATCGTGGTGATCATGATGACCGTGGTGGTCATCTTTTCCCTTGTGTCCCGGAGGACCTGGTAGGCCGGGTGGTCCAATAGGGCCAGGAATTCCTGGAGGTCCCGGCAAACCGTAGCGTCCGCGCTCCCCTTTCTCTCCGCGGTCGCCCTTCTCGCCTTTGTGTCCTTTCGAGCCCTGGGGGCCAGGTGTTCCCGGTAGACCAGGAGGTCCCGGTGGACCCGGTGGCCCTGGCGGACAGTTGCAGTGGTGCGGCTGCGGTGGAGGTGGAGGCGGTGGTGGTGGCGGGTAGTAGTGCTGAGGCGGAAGCTTATAGATGACACTCTGGGGTGGCGCTGGAGCGGGAGCAGCCTGAAGACTAGCTATAAGTCTGCCAGTCTCCGGGCTTGACTTCTTGGCACTGGTCAGGCCAAAGGACCAGCCTGCAAGGGAGAGAAAGATATCCAGATGAAAACGGACCCCACATAGATCCCAAGACTTAGACCCTTACCTAACCAGAAAATTACTGCGAACAGTCTCATGGCGAAATGGCATCTGCTGCCTTTCGCCGGCAGATGGATCATTTTTATACCGCATTAGGAACTGCTAATCTCGTATGCACACTTTGTTTAAATCACTTTCATTAATCTAGATTCATCAGAACCGTTATATCATGTCCATTCAGAAATCTGCGCTGCAAATCTCTCGATGACGATGTCAATGATGATATCTGTCGATGTTCTTTCTCCCAAAAATTATGTAAATTTATGTCAATTCAAAAAGTGGACCGCCTCTGAAGTACATATTAATATAAAACTCCGCATTTGAATACAGAAGAGGTGCTTGCAAAAAAAAAAAATAAATGGAAAAGAAAAAACAAAGAACCCATTCTTTGTATTTCCCCCAACATGAATGCCTCAAAATGGCAGAAAAAAAGCGTTTTGTCTCTTAATTGGCCGTTTCTATCGTGTTGTTCACACCTCGAGTCGCGCGCCTCAATATGATTAACCCCGATCGACTCAAGCCGAATAGTATTCGATCGGTTCGAGCCCCAAGTCAATGAAAGTGTAAAGGTTTTCGGGTTCGAGAAGATTGCGTAAGCACGTAAAGCCGGGTATTATTATTCTTGATCTTTGATACTAATCTGTTCTGCCCTTGACTTTGCCTCTAAAAAGTGCAAGTTTCTTAACCTTTCAATTAAAAGACGGATTTAATTGGTAAAAGGGCTTTATTTCTGTACATCAATTCGCAGGGTATTTATGATACAAGGGGAAGGGAGGTGAATGCATTAATGATTATGTTACTGATTAAGCTAAAAGGTATTTTATATATTCAACTAGTTAATAACAGATCGATCTGCCGATCCCTACTTTCCAAAATGAATCGCGGACGGGTCTACCGCGGCATATGGCTTTTGGTCAATCCACTTGGAGAGGTCAACTTGGGGAATATTCGAGCACGGCACAATTGGATTACTGTAAATGAAATGTTTTTATAGATTTCAAGTATTTAAATAAATAAAAGAAAACTCACGAGGCAGAAACTGTGCGGAAAGCCTCGGGCTGCATTGAAGAAATATGGTTTCCATTATCGCACAGCAGGCGAGCCATGCTGGACTTTCGCAACTCGGCAAGTTGGTCTAGAAAATAAAAGTTTAATACATTTTTTTAGGATTATTAAGGATTCATATATACCTGGGGTAAAGCCAGTCAATTTATCTCCATTCTCAAAGAAGAACCGATCACCCACTCGGGTGCGATAGAACTGTTCGGTGAGGATGCAAAGGAAAGTAGGCCCAGCCAATGCTCCCGCCACATGAGCCTCCAAGGAGGCGCCCACCGTCAGGTCCACATCATCGTGGCTATCATACAGCGACTTGAGCTTCTCCAGAATCGGGGGACTGATGAGATCACCGAACTCCTCCCAAGAGTGGGCTCGGCGCAGACCGCAGAATTCCCTCATATCGTTGTAGGACGCCAAGCCGTGATCGCGATTACGCTGGATGTCCAAAGATCGCAGATCCGAACCGAAAGGCATATTCCTTCTGAACAGGAAGTGTTTGATCTGAAAGGGGTAATTGGGGTTGAATAGGCAATCATCTCTATTCTATGAGTAATATTCACTTACCTGTCTGTCGAAGTTAATATCCGTGAGTTCCTCAGGTTGGGTGGCATGTCCTCGAGTCAGGGAATCAAAGTTATCACCAACCTCAATAATACCAGGACGGTTGAACCAATCGCTGAGGGTCAGAGAGCCAAGGACTTGACGCAGCTCAGACAACAGACTGAAAAAGCCCATTTTAATATATTTTTAGACAGTCCAAAAAGAAAACTTTACTCACTCCAAACGTCCTTCGATCTGGGAGTGGAAATATCTGAAAGCAGCCGTGGCATGTTCGTTCAAAACGGCAGGATCGATGTTGGGATCGAAATCGTTTACATAGCTGCTCTTTGGCGCTTTGTAGATCAGACGATTCTTTAGCATATTCTCTCCGCCCAGGAAGATCGGAAGCCATTCGTAGTAACTAATTTGCTGGTACTGGGCAATGTTGATCTTGCGAGCCTCCTGGAAGAGGGTGCGGTCATCGTAGTGGGGATTCAGTGCAGCCAGGTTATCCGCTATGCGGTTGTGTTCACGAAGCAGAACTGTTTGGAGAATGGCCAGGCCAGGGTTCTGGTTGACGCGGACATCTCCGGCTCGGTAGCACACTTCACTGGCATCCACGGCATCGCAGTCACCGGTTACATTCCGCGACAGTGGCAGCCACTTGGCTCCATTTCGCTCCTCCACAATCATCCGACCGCCTTGGAATTCGCGAATGTCGCTGTTCTGCTGAATAGAGTTTCCGTAGACCAGGGAAAGATCCAAGTAGGAGGTGACCACGGTCAACTGCTCAGCTGGACCACCGCGGTACTGGCAATTGGAGTCCCGATCTGTCAGCGTCCGCACAAAGTTCAGGCACTCGGTTCCCACCTGGGAATAGGCCGGATCATGGGGTGGCACAATGATGGCGAAGCAAGTCTTGTGGGCAGTGTCCAGGCCAATCAGGCGACCGTCATCAGTGCAGCAACGAGTGGGATGTTTTTCTGGTGGATAAAAATATTAATTATTAAAAAAAAATGTAGTTTTCAGTAGCAAAAATGTAGCAATTCAGCAGTGCAATGATCGGATGAAAATCGACAAAGTTATGGACGTCGCAGGAAACCCCATAGGTGGAAACCATGCTTGAAGGATTTACTTACTCGACTGAGTACCACCGGCCTGCATGCTCATGTCATGGGTCATAATCTGACCCCATTGCATATTGTGCAGGGTAAATTCTGGATCTGGCACATCCTGTTCTCCGAAAGCCACCAAGGATACCAGACGAGCACTTGGCAGTTCATCTCCAGTCACAGAACGTGGAGGTGCCGAGATGCCATCGGCGTACTTGGGAGTTAAAAGACGACCATATCTAAAAGGAATATTTTAGAAGCTTCTCGGCTTGAGATTGTTAAGACATTACTTGGAATTGGCAACACCTAGACCAGGACGCTCCAGGTGATTGCAGGATCCATCCAGTGTCCGGTAGGCGGACTTCTCACAAGCCGCCGGAGGAGCGGCGCAGTTGACTTGTCCGGCTGTGGGGAAACTATAACCATAAGCTCCAGGAGCCGCTGGTGCAGGAGCAGGAGGTGCAGGCGCAGGCTGGGAGAACGGATTGTGAGCAGGCGAGGTGGGAAGGCTATTTCTAAATTTAAAGATTGTGTTAAACAAGAGATTACCGATAAAGATAAAAAAAGCTTACCCAACCACAAAGGGAGCCGAGCCCTGAAGGTAACTAAAGCCATGAGGGCTTGGATAGGAATAAGGCTGGTTGTGAACTATGTGGTATCCGGTGGATACTTTCAGTCCCAGTGCTGTGGAGGCGAATCCCAAAAGGGCCAAGAACAAAATGTCTCGTGCCCTGAACATCTGCAAAAAAAGAAGGATTTTTTTCTAATAAATAAATGTTTAATTTCTTTATCGCTATGTTTATAGTCGGACTTTCAAAAACAAGCAATATGCAGCCATATAGTTTTAAAATCATTGCAACATTTGGAGAACAGGAATCATAAACGTTTAGCCACATATTTGAAATACCACATACTAGAATCCAGTCTTGTTTTGGCTTCTGTTTAAATTCATAAAAGTGCTTCTAAGATTCCACATAAATTATGTTGTTGGAGAACAGAAGTATGGAATTCAGGACATAATGTTTCTTTAAGCTATTTCTGTGGTCCAAGGTCTTCACCATATATGGTCGATTGATATCGCCTCCTTAACTACATGGGAAAGTTGTTTGCACTCCTAACACATTCGGCAATTTATGCTGTGCAGATCTGCCGAGTGTCTTAACTTGGCCAAAAGAGCATACGATACAGGTAAAGGTAACTTGGCGGCCTAAGAAAAGCAGTCTAGCCAACATCGAGCCACATATGTTGGACACATTGGACACATTTCATGTTCACCGGCTGCCAGACAGATACAGTGAACTACAACTGGAACGTTTTTGCATTTTTTTGTAGCTCTCGTGGCTGCGACTGTGGCAGTGGCAGCTTTGGAGGCAGCCAATCGATCTGGACGCGGACTCCTTTGGCACACATATGGTCACAACAGGTTTCATCACCGTTTTGGTGCGCATTCATTATTATTTATTGCGACATTTTAGTAGGAACATGTTCATTGCTCTCATACCCCTGGCATGTGGGCCCGCTGACTATTATGTATACCAGATGGTATTGGCCCAAACCCATAGCAAAAATCTTAGCCGCAGCAGCAGCACAATGAAACGGATTCAGATTTAGATTCAGTTTTAGTTTCAGTTTCTGTGTCTTTTTGCTGCCAAGTCGTGTGCAAGCGTGAAAAGTCTCATAATTGTTTAGTGGCAACGGCATATTTGACCAATTTGCAAGCTACTTATGTAAACAGTCTGAATCGACAGTAATGGTTAGCTTTACATAATGAATTTGTCGACGGCCCCGTTCTGCAGTCTACAAAACCCCGCCAAAAGCTCAGAAAACACCCCAACCCACTCTTCGATGCACAACAACCTTTTTCTCAAAAGGCCAGCAGCTGCTGTTCATGCAAATGCTCATGGCATCGGAAAAAAATAGATATGTATAGAGAGGTGTATATAAAAAACAAAGGCAGTCTCTGTCAATGTTTTAATTGCATGCCGTGCAGAACAATGGACCAGCCAGCAATTCGAGTTCGTGCCATGAGTCTTACACTTTCCGGGACGTGGACCCAGGGTCTCAGTTCGCCCACTCCAGGAAACCTTCGTCTGCACTTGGGAAAAAGGTAATAACAAATTGAAGTTAAGTCTAATGAACTACTCAGGTTTCCATATTTTTTATGAAGCATAACTGAATATTTGGAGTAAGAAGCCTATTCATACTTTTAAAGGATAATATTATCTGAACGCAATGAGTTTTAAAAGAACCTATTATTTTCCTAGGTGCAAATCTTCGATTTCTAAATTCAAATGGGGTCAGCGAGTGATTGGAACCGATGATTGGCCGGATTTGAAAACCACAACGCCAACGTCACCGCTTGTCAGTAGGAAAAAGCTTTAGTACTCGAATCTAAGTCTGAATTTGAATTGCAGTCTGGGGCGACGGACACGCCAAGGCAATCCGTTGTCGTATTCAAAGCTATGCTACTATTTGTTGGCCCGGCTAACACAGCCGTTGGTCAGGGCCGTCATCTACATTACATTGTCGGTATTAATGAGCTGCAACTAAGCCAAACACGAATGACTTGGACATAAAAATATATTTATCCGACCGCAGCTATCGCAGAAAATCTGTAACAAAACACAAGAGAACCTTTCTGAATAATCAAAAAGATCGTGAATATCATGCTCGAAAAAGTCTCTCAGGCAGACCCTTTCTAAAATCTTAATGTATGCTAATTTTTTCAGACATCTTAAATGGTTGTCAATCCTTAATTGATGCAGAGATTGAAAGAATAATGGTTTTATAAATCAAATTCCAGATGAATATCGTAAAAATATCTTAAGGAGGTGAATGAAAATAAGTAAAGGTGTAGTTGTTCAGAATCTTGTATTTAGCTCAAATACTTATTTTAGCCAAGGGTCCTCCGACCAGTATTGGCAATATTTTATAATTTATTTCAAGTATTTGGCTCTAATTTTTTGATTGACATAGACCGTACGTAATAACCGATGCACTTACATGCGAACCGACCCTACCAAATGTGGTTAGGCCATTGTGGGCCCATTGGCTTCCATTCCATCAAAGGCGTGGCTAATTTGGTCAGATCCAGAGCCGATTTTGGCCAATGCGAGCAAATTTTTTACAACTTTAACGACTTCTAATTAAAATCGAATTCATATCCCGAGCTATTTGGTGATCATTAAAGTGTAAAATAGTGCTTGGCACATGGGACGCTGGAATCGCGGGGCATGGGAGAAATGGAGTGCTACTGTGATTGATTTATTGGCTGGCTATGGTCCGAGTCTGGTCTGGCCATATAGGATGCAACATATGCTATATGGGGATAGCGACAACATTATTGCAATCGGAGTTGGGGAGTCGGAGAGTTGGGGAACCTATATGGGAGCATATAGGTATGAAAAAACGCGTTGGGCCTACGTGGTGTGCACACAAATCGAGGACATTCCGATTTGTCCGACCGATACAGTAACAAGCACTAATTGAAATGGCCATTTAAATGGAAAGTGTCCCAAGCTTGGGGCATCTATAAGTGGCACCCGCGGATCGCTTGTCTTGGGTGCCCATCAGGAGCTGCTGTCACTGCTCTGGTTTTTTTTTTGTGGTTTTTCTTATTTATCCACCAAGTGTCGCAACACCTGGAATCCGCGCGTTAATTACAAAATATGTGTGTCGTTTGGAATCAAATTTATGCAAGGCAATGGCAGCTTTTTGTTAAAGCGCCATCAATATGCAATTTCATAGCCAAAAGTCTCATGTGATTGGCGCAACACATGATCTACTCCAACTCCATCTCTTCAAGAAATCTCGTGCTCGAGCCCCAAAACCCCCACGCTTCTGGGCCACGATCTTAAGGTTTCCTTCGTCTCCAACTCTGTCTCCGTCTCCGATCGGTGCACGTATTTGGCTGCCATTTGGATATTTTCACACATGCCCCAAGTGCAATTTGCAATCGCCATAGATGCGACAACTAATTGATTCTTTACTGCCTTGCACCGATTTCGGGTGACCAGTTCTGCCTGTCTACTTGAAGTTCCAACTGCTCACTATTTTTGGCTGTCAATTATCTTCATGTTTTGGTCTGATGCAAATTAAAATTGTCCATCAAGTTGTTCGCATAGTTTCGATTTTTATGACTCTACGATTTCTCATTAACATATCTCGGCGACAAATCTAAATATTGCGTGCGAGATTTTCATCTTACATTTCAAGCACGTTTTTTTGTGTGTTTGCCATTTTATTTTCCACGGTAATTATTTAAAACGAGTTCACATCAACGTATCCTACTACACTTAAAGCGGCGAAAATAAATTGTTTTTCGCTACCTGTTGGCCAACAAGCCACTTCAAAATCAAAAATTTTCTTGTTCCAAGTTTTATGTAACGAGTTTTTAATGTTGCAGGTTTTTTTCATAAATGTCCTAAGAAAATTATCACGCTTTTCTTGTTTCGTTGGAATGAATTGGTTTTAAGAAATGATTGTGCCACTTGGCTTCTTGGCAAATATTTAGATCGGAGGCTAATAGGTCATTTTAATTCCAATTTAAATAAATGTTGCGGCTATAATAATGGTTTCATTTAAAAAATAATTGAATGAAAATGAATTCATTATTCTTTTGCTAATAGGAAAATATCTTTGGTGAGCCATTGATATTTACTGTTCAAAGCAAAACGAATTAAGTTTTATAAGCTACTGCTTTATAAGAATAAAGCTAATAATTTTTAAATAACAGTCTATTCCTAAGATCGAGTTAAGTATTTTTCGTGATTGGTATTCTGATGGCATATTCTAGAGACCTGCGTGCGGTCACACTAGCAGTCCACATGCTTATTAGTTTCTCTCATTAGGCGCAACAGTTGGTTTTGGAGTCTTAATCAGCAATCAGTGCGCTTATCTAACTAATTAATTAAACATCCCACCATGGCCAGCAACTACGAAGGCTACAAGTCCCCGTTGAGCACCCGGTATGCCAGCAAGGAGATGCAGTTCCTGTTCAGCGACCAGAACAAGTTCTCCACCTGGCGCCGGTTGTGGGTATGGCTGGCGAAGGCAGAGAGCCAGCTAGGGCTGGAGATCACAGGCGAGCAGATTGCTGAGATGGAGCGGGAGATCACAAATATCGATTTTGAGGCGGCAGCCGCTGAGGAGCGACTCACCCGCCACGATGTGATGGCCCATGTCCATGTCTTTGCCAAGCAGTGCCCTGCGGCGGCTCCAGTGATCCACTTGGGTGCCACATCGTGCTATGTGGGTGACAACACGGACCTGATTGTCCTGCGTGATGCCCTCAAACTGCTCTTGCCTCGAGTGGCCAGTGTAATAGCTCGACTGTCGCAGTTCGCTCAAAGCTACAAGGATCAGCCCACGCTGGGATTCACCCACCTGCAGCCAGCGCAGCTTACTACCGTAGGAAAACGGGCTTGTCTTTGGATCCAGGACCTGATAATGGATGAGCGAGCTCTAAATCGCTGCCTCGAGGATCTGCGCTTCCGCGGTGTCAAGGGAACTACTGGCACTCAGGCCTCATTCCTTCAACTCTTTGAGGGGGATGGCGAGAAGGTGAAGAAACTGGATCAGCTTGTTACCGAACTGGCTGGCTTCAAGAAAGCCTACTCCGTGACTGGCCAGACCTACTCACGCAAGGTTGATGTGGAGATTGTGGCCGCTTTGTCTAGCCTTGGAACCAGCATCCACAAGATGTGTACCGACCTGCGCATTCTGGCCTCACGCAAGGAGCTGGAGGAGCCCTTCGAGAGCACTCAGATTGGCTCCTCGGCAATGGCATACAAGCGAAACCCCATGCGTTCCGAACGCTGCTGTGCCTTGGCCCGTCACCTGATCACCTTGTTCAGCAGTGCTGCCAACACCCATGCCACCCAGTGGCTCGAGCGAACACTAGATGACTCGGCCAACCGGAGGTTGACTCTTTCGGAGGCCTTCTTGGCTGCCGACGCAGCATTGCTCACCCTGCTGAATATCTCGCAAGGACTTGTAGTCTATCCGAAGGTGATTGAGAAGCACATTGCCCAGGAATTGCCATTCATGTCCACGGAGAACATAATCATGGCCATGGTGAAGGCTGGTGGCGATCGCCAGGTGTGCCACGAAAAGATCCGTGTGCTGTCCCAGGAGGCGGGCGCCCAGGTCAAGCAGCACGGCAAGGACAACGATTTGGTGGACCGTGTGCGAAAGGATCCCTACTTCTCCCCGATCCTGGAGCAGTTGGACACAATTCTGGATGCCAGGACATTTACGGGCCGAGCCAGCGATCAGGTGGGCGAGTTTGTAGCCGAGGAGGTGCAACCAGTGCTGGCACGGTATGCGGAGGCCTTGAAAACCGTTCAGGACGTCAAGCTCAATATTTAAATTCCACTCGACATCGATTACGATTATGTTGCCCTGTATTAAGCAGACTTTGTTTTCGCTATTGTAAAATACACACTAACATCCACACCTAATCAGCTGCGTCAGTTGCAGTCGAAATTCAAGATTATCACCAGGGGGAAACGCTCCGAAGGGGTCGAATGCCAGTCAGACCCCCGGAGTGATATTTCTGTTTGTTATTTTTGTTTTTTTCGCCAGCTTATTTACAATTAACAAAACCACAAGCCTCGAATCGAAACGAATCGAACTCGAGCTGACGTTCTTGATCCGAGTAAACATACTTGCCGCCTTTGCCTATGCCTTTCGCCACTTGGGCTGACATATCACGACTCCAAGGCAGCCAGCACCGTGGGTCTGCGGGTCGATCTCAAGTTATACTTTTAATTATCCGACATGCAGACATAAAACATATATGTAGCTGAGAATTATTTTGAACAATTGTTATGGTTGTTAGCGCCTACCGGTTATAAACTAGAAAATTGGAAGCTCAGTTTTATGTTCTCATTTACATATATTGTTTTACGACGAAATAAATCAAGTACACGATCCCATAAAAGTTAAATGTGTTACAATTCAATCTAGCTTATTGAGATAATAGATGGGGGATTGAATAATTGCATAATTGGGTTATTAAGAGGCTGTATAAAGAATTTGAATTTATAAAAAATGTTGTAAAACTTTTAGCTTATGCTTTTATGCCCTAAGAAAAACACAGTCTCTTTTAAGAAAAACTATTATCTGCTTTTATCTGAGTCTATTTTTATAAAGCCTATTAAACCTAATTCTTGTTTACCAAAATGAATATGAAAAAAATTTAATCTAAAATATTGTTTTTGTTTATTATTTTCACAATCTTTTTGAGGCTAATAGAGATGTCTGGCAGTCGACGACAAGACGTCGTCACTGCTACCTGTAAGTTTCCTTTTTAGTTTTCGAGTGATGGATTGGATGGCTATAAAAATGATGAGCCGAACGTGCTTCTCTGCACTTGGTTGAGCGCCGAGCAAGAGACACTGGCAGCCGGACTAATTAGGCCCAGTGTCATGTCATGTAAAATAAAGAAACAATAACGAAGACATACACCGTTTTATGATCCGCTACCTGGTTGAAATTTGTATTGACTTGCCACAATTAAATCGTAATATAATTACAATGGTCCGGTTAACACGCAAAATACGGCAGTGACAATGCCAACCAGAGCAAATCACACGGCATACATATATTGCAATTGGAGGAGTTGTACCGCCAAAACGGAAGCGGCAAAGACAATTCATGGGGCACGCGAGATACTATTTCTTGATTATGCATCTGTATTACTGCAATGTCGGCTCATTTTTCTGGCTATGCTTTCACGCAATCTCAGCGGCAAAATGACAAAGACCAACGACCAACACCCCTGCCTAATTACTTAATTCCCAAGATTATGAGCCGACCTTCTTTGGAGGGGGATTTACGAGGCGTAGGAAATCGTAGACTTGCGAATATCTCGGATTTCATTAACCAGACGCCGTCGTGACAGACGCCCCATGAATCAGCCCCCAACGATCGACGGCGGCGACGGCTGCCGGCCAACTGAAGTTGTAATGGGGACCAATTATGGCCGCACTGTGTTGTCTTAGCTTGGCTAACTGGCTACCGCCGGCCAACAGCCAACAGCCATTGACCGTTGCCGGTAAAGATATACAACGGTTTTCGGGTACGGAGACCTTGACTTTGAAATCGGAAACGAAAACGACAACGCTAGCCATAGCGACAGCGAAGAGCTCGAAGTGAAATTGGCAAACTGGTTGGACTCGATCTGTCCCCAAACGGAGGAGTCGATCGCTTTCTTCGGCCCGTATTCCAGCGTTTTGAGTTTGCCGACAGCTATCGGGATTAAATCATGTCAATTGCATCGAATTACTGTCGCCGCAAGTGCATTTGATGGAATTTGTTATGCAAACAAATTGCAATCCTAGTGGGTTCATGGTGTTATTAGGAAGACTTAAAAGGTGGCCTCGGAGCTATCTAAAAATTATGTCATCCTATACCAATTTTACAAGTTTTCGGAAGAAAGAATCAACATTCCCAATAAATGAAGATACGAAGAACTTGGAATTGAAAACAAAAACCTTTAAAAAGTTTTAGAAATAATTGTTTCTGCTTATAAAAATTTAACTTTTATTTAGAAAGACTGCGGTCATCATTCCACATTCCTCACAAACTCCTCGGCTTATTAATTATGAAATTGTTTTATTCATTTAAGTAATTGTATTAATTAGTCGCGCTTGGAAGGTGCCATGTGCTCATGTGGTTCTTGAGCACTAAAAGCCAATCCAATCCGTAGCGATTGAAAACCACCTGCCATGTGGGGAGCGCACGCGCCGCCGCTCTGTCTGCCACGAAAACGCCCCGGCCCAATGCAATAGGAGGCACTAATGCCTTCGATTTGGCAAGCCAGGCTAACACGCTCGCAGATACGCCCAAATTCTCCAGCTCCTGCTGAAAACTGTGGCATTTATGTACATACATACATACATATGTATTTCCCAAGCTATTTTTAGCCATTTAAATGCATATTTAGTGGCTTTCCAGTCCGCACACGCAATTCTGGAACGGAGTTGTAGTTGGCCCAATTAACCAGATTGGCAAGATTGAACACCAGAAGTGGATTATGCATATTCGAGAGTTGCACCAATTTCGTGAAACTAACTAATTGGGAATCGTGGAGGGAGGCTGTTGGAGGGAGGCTTATTACTTCCCAAAATTAATCTCTGCCATTGTGATACCGTCTCGGCACAGGTCTCATTATTTTCCTATACAACAAATTAAATTTATGTGCGATCAAATGACGGATATACGAGTACAACACCTGCCCTGATGGCTTATGCCTGAATAAATCATTTACATGCCAGCCCATGCGGCCCAAAGATCATAATTGACTTCTGGGGTTTTTATAGCTAAATGGCGGCTTGAGTGCCAGGTGAACGGCAAGTCGTCAAAGCGGCGGATAAATCCAGGTAGAGATACAAAGATATTATGAAAGTGTGTAGGTATGCCCACTCAATTGGCTGCGTTTGCATAACAGGCTTAAATCTTAAATTCCAATTGAGAGTGAAAGTAAGACCGCGCCGGAAAAATACGCAAGCATAAATCAGCTCAAGTCAGGGGCAATCTGAAACCTGCTTGACCCCGGCGATTGATCTTAATGTTCTTGAATGAATAATGTTCTCGGCGAATAATTAAGCCAAGTGTTTAATTGGCAAGAAGAAAGGAAAAGGAACGCTCGGCTTGTGGCCTACAAATATCACAGCTGTCAAAGCCCGAGATATACATATATCAAAGTATCAGATCTCAGATTACAGTCAGAATGCCATCAATGTTTTTATTTTCTGTTTTTTAGAAATCAATTCGACAAGGAATTCAAAAGGCCGCCGCGGGTGCCGATCGATCGAGGTATTTTTTTTGTTATTTTTTTCAAAACCTTTACCGAAAGACCGACTGGCAACGGAAGCCTGAAGGTCGCTCGCTTTGGATCTCTAAATAAATGTCTTACTTGTAATTAAAAGATTTGTTACTTTCAACGCAACCACAACGAAGTGGTTTTTAAAAACAGCAATTGACCGTAATTTATATATTAAAATGTGTAATTTAGAGCACACAGGTAAACCGGTATGTGCTTTAAGTACGTGATGCTATTGAGCTTCGCAATTAGCCGCCTCTTTGAAGGCGAAAAGTTAACCAAACTGTTTAAAGAGCTCCCAAATTTAATTTATTTCAAAACCTGAGGCCTTTTTTATGATCTCGAGGATTTTGTAATGTTTTTGTCACTTTGCTCAGTGCCCTATTTTTTTGACCAAACATAAAATAGAGCCCGTTTGCCAATCTTCGATTATAGATAAAGTAATTAAGTAAATTGGATTAAATTTCAAGTGAAAAGAAAACAATTATCCCCCGGGTCTTTGATTGTTGTGCCCTTAATTGAAAGTAATCTAATTTGTGGGTTATTTTGCAAATTAAAATAATAATTGCCTGATTTATTTAAATAAAATTGTGATCTTTAAATCAGGTTTGAAAAAAACTATTTTAATGATGTATTTGTTTTCTAGTTTATTTGTCATAAGTATCTAAATTTTAAGATTATTGATCAGAAGTTAAATTTGCTAATAAAACATAGTTTTTAAAAATTCGCGCCAAAAATCTATAAAGAACTCCAATAAGTTTTTCTATTATAGTCTTCAAGGATACTATGGACAATCCTTAAAGTCTCAAGTTTTATTTCTATTTAAAATCTAATTCTTAGGTTCACGAACTTAAGATAGAAAGCATGATTTGCATATTTTCTCTTTACTTTTCCTTCAATACTTTTCAGACACTCCAAAGATGACTTAACTTTTTGCGTTTGAGGCTTTAAAAATGATAATGTGTACTTATGAATGGCCATTAAAACGCTGCTACCGCATTTTTCCCCTCATAACCTATACTTACCGTGGCTTTAAGCAAATATCCTTTCTCCGGACTATTAATCAAGAAAACAATGTAGTTCTTTCACTTTTATTGCTAACAAAATTCGGTGAAGGGGCAGTGACGTTGTGGGGGATATTCCCTCGAGATATTCGACGAAGCACCAATTTCGAATGCGCAATCGCGAATTCCACGGTGAGGTGAGCAAATTACTTTGAATTATGTTGGTTTTCGCGATTACTATTGACTTGAAAAACAATTCACAGTTTAATTAGCCGCTGGTTTGCACCTGCCCACGTTGATTGAGGGCTTATTGGTGGTCTAATATGTATATATTTTTTGTATCGGATCAGATGGATCCGTTGGATGGTTGGTTAACTGTGGCAAGGCCCAAGGCGAACTAACTGCGCTGCCGCTGAATTTGGGCCTTTTATAACGAATCCGCATCCGAATCCGCTGGAGCGCAGGCGCCAACGACGGCAGCGTTGCGCTTGCGTTAGCTTTAGCGTTAGCGTTAGCGTTAGCTATAGCATTTTGTATCTGTATCTGAGCAGCAGCAGCAGCAGGAGAGCAGCAGGCCGGTTCCACTGTACTTGTATCGACGGCATCGGCGAGTGTGTAAATCAAATAGTGCGCTGACTGTTTTTGCTCAGCTCTGTCTGTGCTCCAATTTAATCGCGCTATTGAAAATGCTGCTTTATGCTTTATGTAATTTATGTTGGACAATTGTCGTTTTTGGCTAGGACTCGCATATCTGAAGTGTGCTTAATGTTATTGGTTATGGCCAATATACTTGGCCAATATGGCGGAGGAGGGCGATCGTGCAACACAGTGACCTTTTTAAGTGGCTTTTCCAACTCCACTATGTACTATAGTTTTGGTGACAACGCAGCTGTGACCTAGAAAGCTTTTCTTTCGAAAATGAAAATGTTTTGAAATGCCTTCTTGTATGTCACTGGGTCTGCGTGACCGTCGTTATGGCTAATTGGTATCATTAATTAAACATTTTGGCTGTCCTAGAGCGTAATGTACAAAATTTGGGCCACAAGTAGGTGTACAAAGTCGCTAAATAATACTTCATGGGAGTGCTGAATAAAAGACTTGACAAAAATGAAGAAGTGCCGTAGCATTTGAGGAGTTTTTTTTTTGCTGAATAACAGGCTCGTTTTTTTAAAGTATTTTCCAAATATTTAAGTAGTTTTTTTTGGCCAACAAGGAATGCTTGGCTGTCTAAGCCTATCGCATTACAAAATCTCCAAACAGTTAGTAATTACCTGTCAACATTAACTGTCCGTAAAATGTTGCATGGAAAAAAGTTTACATTGGACGCATTCACTTACAAAGTATCTGCCAGATGCGGGAAAAATGCTTTAGTGATTGATTTCGGAGTCCCAAACACTTTAGAAACATATTGTAAAGGTTGACAAAAAATCAGGTATCACTCATTCAGTCATAACGTGTTTTTGTTTGTTCGTTACAATAAATTTGTGTATAATTGATTGGATTTGACCGCCTATTAAACCCAAATAACCCGCGGACCTGTTTGTGCGTGGCGCGTAATTGCAAAATTAATTCGTTCTAATTGGCAAAACTGCCGCAGAAAGCGAAACAATTGGACATCGAATGCAACTGGACAAACTCGAAACGAAATTAAAAATCGAAATTAAAATCAAAATGAATTCCGAATACAAAATCCGTAACGGACAACTGACAAATGTTGATTTTTTAATGTTCGTAAGAGTCTCTCCACGTAAATGTAACACATGTCTCCGCCAGGGACCGGTTGGGAGCCTTCAAACATGTGACTTCACAGATTCAAAACATTGGGCGAACATACACGGGCGCGTGACTAACATACTTTTTGCCCCCGCAGAATATATGGCCAAAAACCAGGCACCTGACAAGTCACACCCTCACAGTTTTTTTTCGGCCAGAACTTAGGATTCATTTAGGATTTAATGAAGACTACCACTTAGGGGTTTTCATATTTTATGGCCACTCAAGCATGAAACACTGAGTGGTCATCTTTATATCATTGCAAAAGCTGGTTTATTGAATGTCTGTGATTTTTATTATGATTCGCTTCAGTTTAGACGCCAAGTTAGGCAAAAAAATGTAAGTGTGTCGAAAAAGAAAAACACAGTATTAAAGCTGTTTAAAAACCAGTTTCATATAAGGTTCCTGTAACGATAAGCATGTTCTTGGATAATTAATCATGTCCGTGTTGTAAGTGTGATAATTATGCAGGAATTATGTACGTGATTTAGTTCAACTTTAAATTTAGTTTAAGGTGCTTTTTTGTCTTTTTTCTTTAATGTACAATGTAATATTACATAAAACACTCAATTTTCATTACACATAAATAAATAAATGGCAAAGTATAGAGCTTTCGGACTGAAGAAGTCCTAGAAAACTTCATTCGGATCGCCATTGGACTGGTCTGCCTTTTGGCGGGCACGAGCCAACTTGGCAGAGAGCTCCGATGATCGTATGGTTTTGTACTGTAAAAAAATGGGGAATTTTAATAAAAAAATCCTTTTTAAAAGTTTAATATTTGTTACCTCGCAGAAGTTCTTTTGCAGCACAATCTGGGAGATGAGTCGACGACTCTCACGCTGGCCAAAGTAACTTTCAATCGTGTGCGGGGACAGACCGAAGATCTCCTCGCCGCTGAGTGTGTGCAGCCTCTTGACAATGGTGTCCGAGAATCCTTTGCCCCTTAGCCACTCCTCCACCTCCTTGGGCTTCGAGTTCTGGTTGATGAAGATCTCTGGCGTCTTCAGGATCTCCAAGTCCTTGCGGCGCTGTCGCTGCTGCAACATGACCCTCAGCTCGTCGTTCACATCGTCCTGCATGTAGTAGGTATCGTCATCGGCCTCGCAATCGTTCCTGGCACGCATGGCTGAGAAGGGTAAATATATAAATATAAATTTAAACTGGTTTTCGGAAATCTTAAACTCTAAACCAAATTTGGGAGCATTTATTATGGCTATTTATTGGCCAATTTAATGGATAAATGATTTGCGTTCTGATAATTGAGTTCAATAATGAATGGAATCCAAAAGGCTCTAAATATCTGACAAAGAAAAAGTCTATAAATTAGCTTATCTTAGTTCTTTGAACTCCTAAATTAATCTATAAAAGTCTGTGTAGTATTTATTATTCCCACCTGCCAGAGCTCCTGCAGCTGCCATGTTCCTCTTGAGGGTTCCGCTCGGAGTGGGTGGTTGACTGTCGCTTGGTGGTGGCATTGGCGGCGGCACGGGTACATTGGGCATCGAATAGGAACGCGCCATGTTGGGATTGGTCAGGGGTGGCTGGGACTCCCGCTCCACAGGAGCAGTATACAATGCCATGGTGTTGCGGTACATGGGATTATTTGCCTCGCCATTCAACTCCGCGCCATTCTCCACAAGCGCCATGGATGCAATGGACTCTGTGTCCCGGCCATTCACTCCGGGCTCAAAGTTGTACGGCGTAAGCACAGTGTGCGGCACATAGCCAATGTTTCCGTAGGAGTTCCGGGCCTTCCACCAATTACGGGAGTCGTCAATAATCTAAGGTCAACATGATAACACAGATATGTTTAAATATGCGACGGGAAATATAGATTATATATCTTCGATTTAGTAGCCGATAATTGATATGAAATGGTAAGTAGGTCTAGGGTGACGCATAGATAAGATTATACTTTAACAAGTAGATCTGTTTAAAGTTAAAAATATAAACTAAATCACAGTGATGCAGAATATTTTTTATATATATAGTTCAATGGAATCAGTAATTGTTTACTTTAGTAAATATTGATGTCATAAGTATATTTTGATTGTTGCAATGATTTGGGTTTATTGTTTTACTGATAACTTTTATTTTTATGAGTAACAAAATTTCTCTGATAAAGAATACGATACAACTTGGGAAACTCCCTATTGAAGTTTAATTCTTTTGATTTTTGCCTGCTTGATATTTGATTTAGTTTATTTTAAACTGGATTTACCCTAAAAAAAAGCTATATCAAGTCGATTTTTATTATCTTACAATTTAATTGGAATGAACATATTGAAATTAAATGACTTCACTTTCAATTACTGGCTGAATATTTCAACTGCTTTGAATCTCAATTAATATAATTTGAATAATACTTTTTTAAATATTTATATTTGTTCAAAAAGTTTTATTTTTTCAAGGTTTGTTGTGCACCTTAATATGAATACGTTTTGAATTTTATTTAACTTTCCTTTTAGGAAATGTCAAATATTTTTCAAATTTAAGTATTAAATATAAATATAATTTTAGAACTCACCTCCAAGTACTCCCCTTTGGTAACTTTCAGTTCCTTGTCGTTGGTGGCTGATTTGTTAAATGCCACTTCAGCAATCTTTACATTTCGACTCTCCAGGCGACTCAGCCAAGTGCGATTGCCGCCTCCAGGACTTGCCGGAATGGGCACAGGAACAGGGACTGGCGACGGTGTCTTCTTCAGAGCCGGAGCCAGATACTGAACCTCCTCGTCCACCACCCAATCCGGTGACCAGTCGTCGTAGAAGATCGGATGGTAGGAGCTCTTGTGGTCCTTGAACTGATCCTTTGGCACTGTCCAATTGGGGCCAAGGCTCTGCCACAACTGCTTCTCATTGGAGTCTAGAGTGCCATTAAGGAAAGCGATGGTTTCGCGACGCAGGAGGGGATTCATCACCGCCTCCGGGATGCCAGCGTCAACATAGATATCGTTGCAGACCGATACTATGGTTTTCAGAGAAATGAAGACATTGTGCACTGGGTCTGTGGACTTTGTAAAGTGATTCTGCAGCCGGACGGAGTAGATCAAGGCCAGCTTGGTCTTGGCCAAGATGTCGTGGAACTCGCTCTCAATGGGAGGACGGGATCTCAGAACCAAGAGTCCTTCCCCATGAGGATTGTGTTGCTCCTTACGGAGCTTCAGCTCGTTGAGAGCTTCGGCGGCATAGTGCAGCCTGGCCATGAACCTCTCGATATCCTCGAAGCAGTGATTAAGGACCTGTACATCCTTTTCGGTCTGCTCTCTGTCTAGTGCATTCTTTTCCGCAGCTATTCCGGCCACTGCAGCTGCGATTCCATACTGATCCTTGGCCTGATGGTTCTGAGGCCTATCCGGTTTTGGCAAGAGGATTGGCGTCTTGTTGCGATCCACGGTGATGGGAGTGCCCTTGCTTAGCTGAAGGAAGATGATTAATCTAGGGTTTCCACACCAACTAATATCCACTTACCTGTCTTAAATCCTCCACCAAATGTACTGAACTGACATCTGCCACCTGAAAGATGTGCATTTCCGTGTTTCCTAGGGATATGCCGGGAACCGAAAAGATGAGGATATTGTTGTATGTTTCTTTGGGATCATCACTGATGAAGGCAGTGGGTTCTGTGATGAGGCTTCCAGGAAAGTTCTCTATCTCCTTCATTTCGCTGTCCAGCATCACCAGCCACTGGCCATTGAAGCTCATGAACATTTTGTGAGGCCAAATGCCTCCGGTTTTGTCCAGTTCGATGAGTAGCTTCATCTTCTCCTTGGGCTGTTTGATTTCGGCCTCGTTCTTAAGCTTAAACGTGGCCAAGTGCTCCAGGGCATATGTGGGCTTAATCTCGTCATAGTGTCCATTGGCCAGGTCCCCTGCAGGGACTCCATTTTCGTAGCCGTTGCGTGGCATCCTGCGTAGACGATAATGGCAAAGACAGTAAATAATAGACATATATTTTTACACTTTAATCAAGTGCCTACGATGAAAGCCTATCTATTGGCCAGTATCGGCTATAGTTTCCTGTCTATCAGGTTCAATATTTACCCATGTATCACCGCAATTGGCCGGAAATATTTCAAGGTTCTATAGCCGGGCTTGACCATCTTCGAAGGGACTTAAGTATCGAATGATGGTCGAAGACCCCTTAACATGTCCGGCCGGACAGAAAATCAGAAAATTGTACATACCCCAAATGACGATTTTACGAGTAAATAATAACTATATTCCGGGGGTATGGGGGGTGCCTATGTAGGAATGATATTCCACCTGTATGCCTGTGTGTGGTAGCTACCTGCCCGATTAGATAAACGCCATTGACTTTGCGATAGCTTTTTCTTTTTTTCTATTTTCCACCTTATTGCCATTATTTTACTTTGGCAGCTATCACAAATTCCAGCAAATTCTTGGCACATGAAGCAATCATTAAGGAAAACTTATTACATAAAGGTCTGGACATCGCGTTGTTTGATGTATTTTTAGGCCATGATTATTGGCCAATTATTGCGAGCCCGTGGAGCGCATGGCGTAGTTTTAGATTTCAGAGATTTATTGATGGCTTTCACTGGCATGACATCAGATCCGAAAGATATCGTATCTTCGGGATCGTGATTTATAGTCTCAGAAGAGACAATTGGATTTCTGGGTTACCTTGTACTTCGCACGATGGCCCACAATGTTTTATTTATTTATTTAATGATTTTTCCAATTGTTTGATCCCGTGGTCCGAACTCGCACTCTCGATCCGCTGTGCATTCAATTCGAATTCCAACTAACCAGCTCTGTTGGCCGGGCCCGAAGGGAGTTGGTGATATCAGCTGGCTTGGCTGGCTCCTCGCTCATTAATTGATTGCCAGAAATTGTTTCAGGCGGTGCGTTATCGCAAAAAGCAAAAGTGAGCTTTATCTCTCTGTTTGCCATTGTCGCGATTGTGCATCGTATCGCTCGATACTTTTGGCCCATTGGCACTTGTGGCAATCTTATCAGACCCACAGAGAAATAATAGTAACGCCACTACACGGTTTACCTCTTTGAAGGGAGAGAGAGAGAAAAACTTCTGTCCGTATCAAGGTAATGGTCAGCACATTGTCCCTGAAGATAGGCAGGTGTAAAAATGTAGAAATTTAATATTTTGTTTTTGTTTGGTTAGGGGTCTTAAGTGCATTAGTCTGGAACGTGGGGTGTCACACTTTGTTCACGCTGACATATTTAATTACTAATTAATCAGTTAAAGTCATCGATTTCCCTCTATTATCTATGGTATGATAGAAATTTTTAAAAATATATTTGCATGTGAATCATTTGGAATTCTTAAACGGAATTTTTGGAGCTTAAATCTTAAAAGAATCTACTAGATTACGTGTTTTTATTGAAAAATAAATATTAAAAGGGCTTGGGAACAATCAAGAAACTTTATTGCCATAGCTTCCATTAATTATACTATACTTGATACTTTACAAAATGACAACAATTTTGATTACACTTTGATTGCGTGACTCTAACAATTGAAACTATAATGATAATTTCTTAAAACAAACACAATTACTTTCATAAACAAACAAACCAAAACTTGCAATTTCCTTGAGGTATTTATTGATCATAAAATTAAAGTTTTTTAGTTTTTTGGCTTAGGAACATAATCTAAAATCGGTTTATGAGTACTATATACGCCTTACGCCCGCTAGGCATCAGCCTTTACACCAAATCGTCACAATTGACTAGCAGATTGCTGAAAAGAAACAAACACAAACAATCATTATGGTTGTATTGTTGATAATTGCTGTTGCCAGAGCTTATCACTACCCCGGCATACTTTTATTTATCATTAAATGAGATTCAAATAGGGTTCTGTCGTCAGTGACTCAACTCCAGCAACAGGTGACTGCCGATCTATTAACGAGAAACTCACCTGGCCGATGGCAACTTGAAGATATTCTGCGAGGCCGACCTCAAATCAGAGTTCAGGCAAAGTAGCTTTGTGCCATTAAAATGCAAATACTCCGACAATAGGGAGGAATGCTCGTGGAAAGGATTGCGTCGGTGTTGAAGGTGCACATTCCGGAATTGTTCAGCTAAAGAGGAGAATTTATGAATATAAAATGTCAAAATAGATGCAAAAATACTTACCCAAAACGCAGTTGAAAGTGGGTCCCAAAGCTCCATTGACAGGAGTCTCGGAAATGCCACCCACAATTAGGTCGACATCCTTCCAGCTTGAATAAATAGTTTTTAGCTTGTCCAAGGTCTAAAAATATGTTGAAACATATAGCAAAAGCCTCTTACGTTACAGTATATTGCTTACCTCTTTAGGTATGAACCTCGCAAAGTCACTCCAATCATCCACAAGATCAATACCGTTGCAAACTTCCATATATTTGTAATAGGGCTGCACTCCATGATCCCTGCCCCTCTGGATATCGAAAGCTAGGATATCGGCATGCGTGGGCTTTGTGTTCTTTGGCCAAACAACCTTAAAATATAAATTCTATTGAAATATGTTCGATTATAGATTCAAAGGGTCAACTCACACTCTCGGCGTAGGCTGCATCCATTTGCATGGCTCTCTGATGGAGCAAGCTCTCCAGGATCTCGTTTAACTTGTGGGTTGTATACTCCAGATGAGGTTTGTAGATTTCGTTTTTCAGCACAAACAGATTGGTCTGACCATGTCTGTAAGATTTTCATTTCAAATAAGAATGAATAGCTAATCTAGAATAGTAACTCACTCTTCAAAGAGATCATTGTAGTTATCACTACTGCGATTGCGGAGCTCATTGGGCAGCAATGAGTAATAGAACCTGATGGCGGCCGCACCAAATTCGTTGGAGATCTCCTTGGGGGTTTCCCGGGAAGGCTTGGTGTCGAGCACCTCGTTGGCCTGGGTCTGGCCAAGAACCTCTGGCAGCCACTCCTCCATTACCACCCGCCTATAGATGTCCACATTGACCGCCTTGGCGGCCTGGTAGAGGCGTTCATCGCTCCAACGTGGCTTCCTCTCCTTCAGTTCCCTTGCCAGACGATTGTGGTTGCGCATGAAGATGGTGTAGATAACGATGGAGAAGGGGCTGCTATTGACCCGGGAGTCGCCAGCTGCAAAGCAGGTGGAGTTGCTAGAGGCTCCCCAGGCGCAGAAGGAGTTCTCCACATCTTTCGTGTCCGAAGTCATGGGCAACAGAGCATTGTTCTTGAAGTCGCTGGGTGTGGACTTGAGAAGACCATCCTGGAAGACCCTCATCTTATGCTGGGCTGCCGTGGTGAAGCCGTACAGTTGGGACAGATCCAATGAGCTAGTGGCTTGGTTGAGCTGTTCCATATATATAGTTTTTTTTATATTTTTCATGTGATTTTTGGCTTTTCCCACTCACCTGCTCTGCAGCACCAAAATTGCAGTCGGCCACGGCCAGTGCACTTCTCACATAATTAAGGCAGCTGGGCACGTCGTATTTCCCACTGGGCTGGTAGATGATTGGGGCGCATGCTGGGTGTTGATGCCGGGGCTGAAGGTTGTTCTGGTCACGGCTGCAGCACTCTATCGGCGATCCGTTGCCTGTCAGCAGGAGAAATATTTACCCAATTAAAAATAATAAATTTAAAATCGTCCACATTTTTCCTAGAAACACTCATTAAAATGCCAAAGGAAACCTGTTTCCATAATTAAAATATTTTTTTTTGACGATTTAAAATTGTAAAAAAAATTTCTAAGAACAAATATTTTGTATTGTTTTTTATCAAAAGCAATAAAAAAATATATTTTAAAAGGGGAATACCAACTATTTTTTTCTGATGTTTTACTTTGTTTGGTTTAAATTTGAAGATTGTAAGTTGAATCATAGTTTACATGACTATGTGGTTAAAAACCACAAAAAGATAAGAAATTATATTAAACCACTCTTTATTTTGATATTATTTTTTCTAAGACTTACTCATCGACTGGGATACGGGTTTGCTTAGATCGTGCTCCACAAACTGAGCCCATTGTGCGAATCCTAAATTAAGTTGCAATTTTTCAAAGGATTGTACCAGTTGAGCATTTTGGGTCGTGTCCGGATCATATAGGGCCCTACTGACGTACCATGGTCCTGGAAACGATCGAGTCTCCGGGAACATCTTAAATATCGAAAGGATTAAGATCTTATAATAGAGTTATAGAGCTTTCAGGCCACTCACCCGATGGAAACCATCCTTGTAATAAGGCTCCAATAGTCTTCTGTAAGCATGATGTCCCTCACGGTTGCCATTTAGCAGTTTTTGGCAATCGCTGCGAAGACTAGTCCTTTCGGGAAGAGGCTTCTGCTCCAAGTAGATGCGACACTGCTCCTCATTAATGTCATGGGGCAGGCACTGGCTGTTGTACACAAACAAGCTGGACTTTAAAATCTTGACAGCTATTTCACTGTCCTTCTTGGATTCAGTATTAGGTAGTGTGTCCAAAAGTTGGGTGTGCGAAAGACTGCCATTTTTGACAGTAATATCAGAATTCAGCAAATTGTCTTCCAGTCTAAAAAATAAAAAACTTAAATTTTTTTCTATTTCTTCTCGCAGTAATGATTACCAACCTTTTTTGTCTGTTGATTGAATCCAGTCCTGAGTTAACAAGCTCAATCCATTTAGAAGATGGAAGGCTATTTAAGTACGATTTAACATTTTGCCCCAAATTGTTGTTAGCTGGAAAGACAGAACTTAGTTTACCGACAATTCAAGCTCAATTGTAATAAAGATTTCCTTTTGAAGTGCAAATGATTTATTTTCCTGGCAATAATTCAAATGCCATTTGGAATATTCCACAATCTAAACGCTGTCAACAATTTAATTAAGGCGATTCTAAACTACTTACTATATCACAAAGATCATTGTTGTAAGAAAAAGCTTGTCACTCAAAGAATGAAGATCTAAATCTAGGGAATTTTCAAAGATTTTTAGGGTCATTCTCGGGTGTGCATTCCCTAATTAAAATGAGATGTTTTTTAAATAGTAATAGTTTTTTTTTTTTTTGAGGATTTATAAAGCGGTGATGTATTTTCTTTGATAAGGAATTCACGCCTTCAAAAGTTAGAATGATAAGCTGGGAAAACTCACAGTTTTCATAATGTGTTTTTTGTATAAAGGGTCTTTCAAATTTCCAAGCTAATACTTTGAAAATATACATATAGTTAAAAAGATATAGTCTCATCGCCACATACATATGACATAACAACCTAAGCTTTGAACGTTGAAAGTCGAAAAAAGAGTGAAAGTCTACTAATTGCACTCAGCCTATAGTTCCAATGGGGACTACCTATTAAATCTTCAACATTAAACTCAGCTAACAACTTCCTGGCAAATAAATAAACTATTAAGTATAAAATAAACACTCAATTATGCCGTTTAGGCCTATAAGAATTCCGGTTTGTGCCATCTAAAATTATAATAAAAAGCTAAATTTTTTATTGACTGTATCCATGGTAGTTGTTGGCTTATTGATTTTATTTTTAAATAGTTATAAATAACTAGGCTTACGGCTTGGAAAATTAAATCTGGCAGCGTTGCTAATTGAGGGCAGTAAAGATGCTCCTATTATGAGACCCAGCAGGCAGATGTACTTTCCGCCACCCATTGCACTGTTCTTTGTTCCTGAATATATGTGAGAGCTGCTCAGAACAAACACACTTGGAGGGCCCCCGATTCGCGATTGTGATTCCCAAGACGTTCTGGACCCCAAAACACGTCACTTGGATTTAAGTCACGTCGCGAGCGTCTGATAAGGAAGCGATTCGAACTGCGTTTCGAGATATTTATTCCGTTCTGGGTGGAAACCGTGTCAACGGCTCAGCGGCTCATGGGGAACTGAAATACAAAGCACATCTCTGTGAAATAAAGCCGATGCCGAGCCGGATCATTATCACGCACAATGAAGCTCATCATCATGACCGGAGTCGAGATTCTCTAGAATCGACTCTCTCTCGAAAAAAGTCGCGTACGAGTGTAAACAAATGTTATTTTTGTATTACCTGGCCAGGTCGGGTGAATCAATCTGTTTATGTGACGAAGCAAAGCCGTGCTTACTAATACAAACGTAAAATGCAAATCACGGTTGCACCACGGCTTATTTATTTAAAATGTGGCACGTCCTAGTACGTGATTATTAGAAATACTTATTCCAAAGATTTCAATTGTATTTCAGCCAAGAATTTGGCGAATTGAAGAGTATGCTATTTTAAATAACCCGCCGATTACTGCAAACAAAGTTATCGGTACTTTTCCATCTTCAGATGTATCGATGTTTCTTACCCATTACTTATCGAGTTTTTTTCGTCTCTGATGTTTTCCACCTTCGCAAACGGCATTGTCTAACAATAATAATATATTTCGCCGAAAATTGAATTTTATCAATAAAAGAGAAGTATATCGCCAGCCATGTCAGCGTTAGATGCGGAAGCCACCGACGAGCAGTTCGGCAATGACCAGTCCAAGCCAATGTCGGGGCCCATTATTGGAATAATTTACCCGCCGCCGGAAGTCAGAAGCATCCTTTTACAAACATAAAACTTCATCCGACACTTAATAAACCCTATTTGTCCTAATTATTAATTAGTTTTCAGCCTTAATATGTTTTCCGCTTACTCAGTTGCCCAGTTTTAACTATTAGATATCGTTGACAAGACAGCCAGCTTTGTAGCACGCAATGGACCGGAGTTCGAGGCGCGAATCCGGCAGAACGAGCTGGGTAACCCGAAGTTTAACTTCTTGAACGGAGGCGATCCCTACCACGCATACTACCGGCACAAAGTCAACGAGTTCCGAGAGGGGAATGGTAAGGTTACAGTACAACCCTTTTTGAAGCAGCCAATGACCTAATTTGACCAATACAGATGCCGGGATTGCTGCCGTTGCTGGTATGAAGCAACTGGCCGTGACCAGTGCCGCTCAGCAGCGACAGCAGGAGCTACTGAAGCAAGTGGTGGAGCAGCAGTTTGTGCCGAAGGAGCCTCCCCCGGAGTTTGAATTCATTGCCGATCCGCCGTCAATTTCTGCTTTGGACTTGTAAGTCGAGTTGGTATGATCCAGTCCATTATTTATCCACACCCATCCTTTTCAGGGATATTGTGAAGCTAACTGCTCAGTTTGTTGCCCGTAATGGTCGGCAGTTCCTGACCAATTTGATGAGCAGAGAACAGCGAAACTTTCAGTTCGACTTCCTGCGTCCTCAGCACTCACTCTTTCAGTACTTTACCAAACTTCTTGAGCAATACACAAAGGTGCTGATCCCCCCAAAGGATCTACTGGGAAAGCTGCGGGTCGAGAGCGCCCCGGGACGAAGTAGCATGAACCATGTGCTGGACCAAGTCAAATACCGGGCCAACTGGCAACGTCATCAGGAGGCTCAACGGCGTCGTGAGGAAGAGAAAGTGGAGCGGGAGCGTGTTGCCTACGCCCAGATCGACTGGCACGACTTTGTGGTTGTGGAGACTGTGGACTATCAGCCTTTTGAATCCGGAAACTTTCCGCCACCAACAAATCCCGACGAAGTGGGTGCCCGCGTGCTAATGGAGGAGCGTCTTATGGAAGAAGAGGGCGACATTGAAATGCAGATCGAATCTGACGACGAGGACGCCGCGCCGGTGCCTGGCCATTTGGAAAGCGGCGGTGTCAAGCTTTCGCAAATGGAAAATCGTGTTGGTATTCAGATGAAGAACATATCTTCCTACTCTCAGGCAGCAGGGGCCAAGCGGGACAACACTCAGGTGCAGGACATGGACGAGGCCTCCAGCGATGAGGACACTCCGACGTCCAAACTTCAGCCGCCTGTGGCACCGATGCTGCCACCCACCCACGACAAAGTGGTGGTCAAGAAATACGATCCCAAGGCCACACAACCAAAGCCAGCGCCAATGCCCACGGACGAGTATCTCATCTCTCCAATTACCGGCGAGAAAATCCCGGCTTCAAAGGTATCGGAGCACATGCGTATCGGATTGCTGGATCCGCGCTGGGTGGAGCAGCGCGACAAGCACACCGTGGAAAAGATCAACCAGGACAACGTCTTTGCAGCGGGAACTGCCATCGAGGCGAGTCTCAAGCAACTGGCCGAGCGGCGTACGGATATTTTTGGTGTTGGCGACGAGGAAACGGTGATCGGCAAGAAGCTGGGCGAGGAGGAGACGAAGAAGGACGACCGTGTCACCTGGGACGGACACACCTCCAGTGTGGAGGCTGCTACGCGTGCAGCCAGAGCCAATATCACGCTGGAGGAGCAGATTCATCAGATCCACAAGGTCAAGGGGCTGTTGCCGGACGAAGAGAAGGAGAAGATCGGACCCAAGCCGGTTGGCAGCAAGGCCACTCTCTCGGCTCCACCACAGCCTTCGTCCAAGACGCAGCACAGCCACTCCAACCAGAATCAGCATCACCAAGGAGGCGGTGGTGGTGGAGGTCACCATGGTCATCACAGTATGCACCACCACCATCCTCCGCAGCCACATCAACCCCCTCCACAGCACCATCCATCTCATCATCATCAGCAGCCACCAGCCCAACCAATGGTCCAACTGATGCAACTTCGGCCACCCATGATGCGTAAGTTCGCATAGATCTTTGATCTGGTCAGAGAATAATCCAAGTATATTTTTAGAAAACCCTTATGGAGGTGGTCCCGGTGGCTATATGAATATGCAAGCTGGCGGACCGCCCTCGCAGATTGCTCCCGCTCCGCCTGTGGATCTAATGGTGGAGGATGAGCCACCAACCAAAAAGATGCGCTCCGAGGATAACTTGATTCCTGAGGCAGACTTCATTGCCACTCACAAGGTGAGGTATTTTAAAGAAATCTATTGAATCTTAAGTCTAATTCCTTTCTTCTTAACTTACAGAGTCCTGTGACAATACAAGTCCAAGTTCCCAACTCGGACAAGTCCGAGTGGAAGCTAAATGGTCAGATGATAGCTATTTCTTTACCCCTTACCGAGCCTATTTCCACTCTCAAATCGAAGCTACAGGAGGAAACTGGAATGCCACCGGCCAAGCAAAAGATCTTCTACGAGGTAATTTATAAAAATATTTTTAAAAAATAACACAAAATTAATATCTCGATTATTTTCAGGGCATGTTCTTCAAAGATAGCAATACGATGGCTTTCTATAACCTCGTCAATGGTACCACTGTGCATTTACAAGTCAAGGAGCGCGGTGGTCGCAAAAAATAAACGGACCTCACTTAACAATAAAACCATGCGACAAACTTAGAATGCTCCATATGGAAGAAATCTATTTGTAAATGGTTTCGCATAAATTTGTAATAAATTGTCAATCACAGAATTTAGTTAATTGCACTTTAGTTTAGTCACTTTTCAGGTTAAAAATCGGTTCAGGTTAATCGGGGGGGAATGATTGGAGTATAAAATCGGAATGTTACGTTGGGATTTCCATGCTAGTCAGAGCACACGCACGTTACTGTCTTTCCGCCAGCCAAGGCTTTGGCCATGTTCCGATACCGCTGCAGCATGGGAGTGTAGATAGACTCGCTGTCCTTGTGGGGCTCACAGACCAGCTGCAGCTTATTGGGCGTTAGACTGAGGATATAATCTGTGTAGCAAAGAGCAGTCTTTCCCTCTTCCAGGTCCTGGCAGTACAAGGCGTAGGCGGCTCTAAAAGCTGCTCCCATTAAAGCAGCCTCACTTTCAGTCTACAAGAGAAGAATATATATAAATGTTTTGGTTTTTAAAAAATATTATTAATCACCCACCTGTATGTGGACGGGTGCATTAAACACGTCAGCGATTGTTTGGAGGATCGATTTGTTAACCGACGCGCCTCCTGTGGCAAGGATCTGGGTCTCTTTCCCAAAGTGCAGGCCCATGTCTTCGGCCACGGCGCGATGATGCAGCATCTGTCCCTCAACTAAGGCACGTATTTCCGTTTGCGGTGAGTTAAATCTGTAAACAAAAATCAATAAAGTTAGGAATTAAGTCAACTGCAGTGTAATTACAAGTTTTATGGCTAACTTAACTCGATAAGCAACCTTCATTTTTATCAGGTTTATTACCATTTTTACAATATCTCTATAGCTTTAGGGTTTTTCACGACTTACTTGATAACAGTTTGATTTTCCTTGTTTATTCTTATTGTTCCTTGGGCCTTTGGAATGATTTCCATTTCGTTAAAGTGTACGGCCATGTTGCCGAAATTTCCACGGGGAGTGGATTCGAGAAGTTCGTTGAATTTTTGCCAATCACCATTGGTCTCCGTCTTGTTTACTCCCTCCCGCACCAGGGAACCGTTTCTGAAGCTAAACAAGTAAAGAAATATTAAGGATTTACAAGATAATATAATAAAGCTTCTCATGCGTACCAGAGAAGACCCATGTACTCCTGAATTTCGGTTGGATGACAGAGCACGTGGCCCTCCTGCCAGTTCAGAGGTTCTTTTAAGCTCATCATCAGGGTGTCGCTAGTGCCGAGAGACACACTTAACCAATTTCTGTCCACCAGCATACCGGCCAATGCCGATGGATTGTCTCCGGTGCAGGCCACCACTTTGCAGTCACTCGGGAAGGAGAACCGCTTCACAAAATACTCGGAAACGTTGCCCAGAATAGTATTCGGGCTGACCGGCGTTCCAAGGCGCTCTTCCAAATCTGGGGCACAGGAATTCAGGCAGGCCTGGGACCAGTTCTTTTGACGGATATCCAACAGATTCATTCCGGAGCCATCGCTGTAGTCGATTCCCGCCACATTGCCCAGGAAAAGTGATGCCAGGAAGCTGCTAACCAGTGAGATTCGACGGGCATCTTCGTAGGCATGAGCCTTCTGCTGGTAGATCTTTCGGATCTGAGGTCCAGTGAAGCGTTCATAGCACTTGGAACCCGTAATCTCCACCATGGCTTCAGCACCGCCAATAGCCGTTTCCATTTCGAGACATTGTTTTGTTGTGGAGGCATCCATCCAGATGGGTGTCCGATTCACAACAAAAGCGGAATCGTCTATCTGTGCGTGCAGGAACTTATCGGGATCGAGATTTTGTAAGGTGGAGACGCCGTGATTGGACCAGTACAGTGAACCGTGCTGCTGTCCAGAGCCACTGATGGCCGCCACTGTGCTGAGGTCAGCTTCCTGCATGACCAGGCGGTCCAGGACAATGTCCATGGCCTTTACCCACATCACGGGCTGTACAAAGAACCTGAGGGAAGGAGGATGGGTTAATTGTAGTATAAAAAAAGTGCAAATATCTTAGATATATAACTTATAAGAAGTTATATTTAACTGGAGAGTTCAAAACCAATACGAAAATGTCCCTTTTAATTACTGTGCAAAGGAGGGGTTTCCCTCCCACAAATCAACAGGTGTTTTTAAAAATAATCGACAGCCAAACGAGCCACGTTCATAACCAGCTAGAGGAATTAATAATAATGTAACCCCCTTCTACATGTAACCCCTCTGGTTACAAACTAAACCAATTATCCACAACTCACTCATTTTTGTTGGGTCCCGGATTGGCGCCTCCCTGTGTCCGGAACTCTGGCAAATCGCTGTCGAATTTCACTTCCGCCGAGGCCACCACATCCAGGCTGGAGCTGAGCAGGATGGCTTTCAGCTGGGGGAGAATAAATAGAGATGCGGGGGTTAAACAATGGTTATAAGAGTGGGGGAGGGGGGGCACACCTTAAAAGTAACGATCAAACAGACAGAGGGCAACTAGGAGTCACCGCTGGCGTCATCCGGACTTGTGAAAGTTATTGGGGTGGTTAAGATAATGAGCGGGGGCCAATCCATTCGAACGTGAATTTGCAATAATAAAAATGCTAATAGTTGTACTATTTGGGCCGATAAGCCGTCGGCGGGCCTTGTCAATGGGTCACTGATAAGGCGAATTGTTTTATATTTGGGGGAGCGTTGAAAACAGGTTCCGTGCGGCCGAGTTCCGTCTGACCTTTTCCAATAACACCACCAAGTAAGCTACTAATTCCCACGCACTGGTAGCTTTCAGATACGAAGATACAAGATACAACGTAGGCATTTTCACATACCTTTTGGGTGCTCAAGTCGAATCCCAGAAAGGCGCGTTTCAGCTGCTGCGGACCCATTGTTTAATTGCTTCCGGTTTGCTTGGATGCCTGCTATCGTCTGCTGGTGGGATCCAACATGTGAAGCCTCAGTCTGACAAATACAAGAATTTAAATAAATAGGCTGCCGGGAGGTTGTTTTTTTCGGTTGTATTTTATTTGGCTCAGTGTAACCATAGCTGATGTAGGGATTCTCTTTTACCTCCAGACTGGTCACATTTGGAACTAGTTCTCTCTGGGAAACAGGGCTCCCACAATAAGAAAAATTGGAACAAACAAACAAACAGCTGAGGGCCGTCACAGCCACACTAATTTTAAATTAATTTTAATTTATAACTGGAGCCAGGTTTCGGCTACAATTGAAAAATTGAGTTAAATTGAGGTGACAACCTGAATTGCTGAAGCTACCATGTCGCTGAACTACGAAGAGATGAGTTGGTCGGGTGAGTTTTCCGCTTTTCCCACCCGGGCCCACGTCAGTAATCCAATTTGACATGTGTCCCCTTGAACCCAAAGAAAATGAATGAAAAGTGGACATTAACTGCATCCTTAATGGATTTTTCAGATGTGCGTGACCAGTTCCGGAAGTGGCGAGAGGAGAACACCCGCCACAGCGAGGAGGTGGTTCAATTGTGGGTGGCGGTTCTCGAGGACAAAGTGCACAAGACCGGCAACGAGCGGCATCTGATCCTGGAGCAGGTGATCATCGCGGCCCTGGATACTGCCCGCTTCGATATCGCCACTCAGTGCACCAAGCAGCTGGGCGCTGAGTTTCCCGGCAGTCTGCGGGTTTTGAAGTTCAAGGCGATGCAGTACGAGGCCCGGGAGCAGTACGATGAGGCGGACGAGGTGCTCGATGCCATAATTGCCAAGGATGAGACTAATGCCGCGCCCAGGAAGCGTAAGATTGCTATCTTAAAGGCCCGTGGACGTAGGGTAGAGACTATCAAGGAGTTGAACGAATATCTAAAAAAGTATGGATGAAGTTTATATTAACTATTGTTTTCCCTCTTTAATTCCCTAATCTCCATTGTTAGATTCATGTCGGACCAGGAGGCCTGGCACGAGCTATGCAATTTGTATTTGGCTGAAGGCGAATACGGCAAAGCAGCATTTTGCATGGAGGAGGTTTTGCTGCACAACCCCCACAGTCACCTCATTCACCAGCGCCTTGCGGAGATTCGCTACACAATGGTAACTAAAGTGGTTTACCCGCATTTGAAGCAAATAACTCACATTTTGTAACAGGGAGGCGTTGAGAACGTGGAATCGGCTCGCACTTACTACTCGCAGGCCCTTAAGCTTAATCCCCGTAACTTGAGGGCTCTCTACGGTCTGTACTTGAGCTGCAACTATTTAGCCAACTCCAGAGCAGTAAGCTCCAAGCGCAAGGAGCTGCAAAAACTAGCCAGCTGGGCCCTTGAGCAGGTTGCGGAGCACACTACCAAACAGTCCACGATCAAAAACAACGACAAACTTATCCTGTCATTGGAAGCTGCCTTAGGAAACCTGGAAATCAAATCGAATTGACCAATACAAGCACTGATGGACATCACATCGTATGTGCAATAGATGCCAGAAAAGAAAGATTCCAAATATTCTCAGAAATGGGTTCCCAGTTTCTGTTTCATAAGATAAACTTACAAACAAACAAAAAACAACAGCAGGAGTAAAACACAACAATTTTATAATCAGCGCATCCGAGATAGTATTTTTTTGATGGTAACGATTCGGCGGTGTAGGCTTCAATCTCGGATAAATTATACCCTTAATGCTATTGGGTTATTCGAAAATACCTAGTTCTGTAATAAATCTAGCAAAATCAATTACTTTGTATTTTGTTTCCAATGTCTTGTGCGTTTAATACATAGTTTATTTGTTAATTTATTTAAAATACCAGCTTATGTCTGTGCCATTTAGCGGACAATTAACGTCACTGAGCTCATTAATTTCATTATTGTATACCTACTGTTTACTCGACTATTCGTAGAGTCCATTGACTCGCTTTATTGTAAAAATTGCTTGAATGCACTAGATTAATTCTCACTAGGCTCGTGCATGTCCATCGGCATACATTTGCATATGTGCTCGCATTCAGTCCATGACGATTATCGGTCACATATTTACTTGCATCGTACTGTAGGTGCAATCGACGACTGCAGGGCATCCGAGGGCAGCGCTGATAATCCAGCGGACGGTTAAAAATAGTCCAACAATGGGACAGAATGCTATCTAAAGAATACCCCTCCCATCCAAATCTTCTTCCAATCTTAATTCGTCGAAGAGCCATTGCCGTAGGTCCGACCTCCGTGCGCTTTTCTTGACGGCTTCGACCGGAAAAAGTCCTTGAACACAAGTGAGGGGGCCGACAGTGGTTTCTCCGAGTAGCTGGTGGAGTCCTGACCGTGACCCTGGGACGAGGAGAGTGTGGTTAGACCACCGTTCCCACTATTCTGACAAATGGGCAACCCATCCAGATACTTCAACTGGGGCAGCACTTCCAGGATGTAATCACGAGGTCCCTGGTTTCCAAAAACCGTTCGTATGCCAGGATTGCCCATGCAGGAGAGCTGCTCCAGAGCCGGGCACTGCCTTTCGATGCGATGTATCCAGTCGGTTACGTTGGCTATGTCGCAGTTGTTGATCCTAAAAGGGGATGAAATCTTAGTTTAAGTATGGAAACATTCAGCTAACCTTAAGTCACCACAAGATCCTCAGGCTGGGCAAATATGGAAACGTGTTTAGGTCAAGATTGGTGTTGCGGTCCAGGATCAAGGTGTCCAGGTCCTCGAAGAAGGAGAGAAACTTGAGATTTTGGAAATCATTGTGACTTAGATCGAGGAACTTGGTCTGTGCCGCGAACTTGTCGGCCAGTCGCCGGGGAATGGTCTTCAGGTTCTCGTACGCCAGCGAAATGCGTCCGTTGTCCTCCAGAATGCTCTCCGTAAAGGACACATCCTCGCTGGGACAGCTGCCGATGGAGATGTTGCCACTGAAGGAGTAAGGATTCGGTGAGATCATCTTGCCTTCACTGGAACCGTTGAAATAAACGTCGTTGTACTCGTAGTTTAGACTTTCCAGGGATTGGATGTTTGCACAGTTCCGCAGTACCTCCGTCAGGCAGGGATTGGATGGACTGCACCGGATATTTTATACTTTGAAAGCACTTTATTTTCTCCAGGTATCGAAGCGTCTCACCTGTCTTCGGAGTTGGAGCGTTCAGAGTTCGATGTCCCGGACATAACGGCACTGGGTTTTCATAACTGGCTAGGATTGGTAGCTTCAATATACTCCTGTTTAGGTTGGGTCTTATTCTTAAGAAGAGGCCACCAGAGCGTCTTTATTTTGGTTCCAAGTTTGGTGACAGACTGATGGAAAAATGACACTGGGTTCTCGCTCCGAGCGAAGATTATCTCGGTTCGTTCTTTCCGCTGGTGCTCCAGTGTGAGTGTTTGTATTAAAACAATTGTCATGTCGGTGGAAAGAATAATCCAGAGCTCTTTAAATACACTCAAAAAATAATCTATATGTATCTTAAAAACAAAATAGATTTGAGCCTTTGCTTACCTCAACGAACCAAAAACCAGAGCCCTGCAAAACCATAAGATTTTAAGAATTATATCATTATGAGTCCTTATTTTTAAACTCCCTTTCTTTAAGTGCATAGATTAGTAAGTATGACTGCACATACAAGCTGTAAACAATAAAACAAAGTACACTCTATTGTTTCCTCTTTGTTGATGGTGATACCCTGCAATGTAATATTAAATAATTCCTTTTCTTTGCCATTGTTTTCTGAAGTAAGGGGTACCTTTTCTTCTTATCCTAATCGGTTGACAGAAACTTTAAGATTACTGGTATTCTGATAGGCCCATAGATAAAGGTCAGATTAAACGAAAACTTATCCCACTTCAACACGTTGCTAAACTAAAGTACTAAGTTAGAATATTTTATATATCTAAGAGAGAGAAATAAAAGGTCGTTGGTTTGAAATTCATTGAGTTGTTTTCGTTACTATTATTACATTTTTCTATAGAAGTTTGTTTTTGAATAAGTGCGGATGTTTATACATATATATTAATTTACTTAAAAGTTGTTTATATTTTGAGTGCCTTGAATTGATTTCATTACCTACATATTTTATATTCTTGAAAACGTGACAATATGCACCTAAAATTAAACGTGATTTACATTTAAAGAAGTCTAATTTTAACCCTTTTATTAAGAGTTCATAAACTAACAACATTTCAACTTTGTGTGGATTAAAAATCTAAATTATTAGTGGGCACGGTCTGTCGTAAATTTATTTAAATAGTCATTAAAGTGGTCATAAATCCTCATTTGTAATAAAAGTACAAAGAGTACTATCCATTAAAATGAATAATGAAAAATTAAGTTTACTTAGAAAATGACTAAAATTTTAGTAGTAAAATTAACAAAGTATACTTTATTGTTATTCGTAAATATTTTATTATTAATTAATGAGGTACATATATTTTTGTGGTTCCTCATAGACAAGTCTGACTGTGCTTACAACGAAGGAGTGATCGTATTGTCCAAGTGTGTGCTAAAAATAGATCTGTCTTTGACTTTTTAGTGAGCTTTGAATAAGCGAATCACTCACTCATTCATTCATTTAATTGGCCATAAGCACTCGCAAATCCGTAAGCCACTCGAACAAGTGGCCGCAGCCGCAGCCGGGGCAACCACTATGCCATATTTATATTGTTATTCAGCTTATATATACACCGACATAGATATATACATACATAGTATAGTGGCAAGAGCGCAGATGGAATATTGGGGGCGCGGCGAGCCCCCGGTAGACTTTCGCTCTCAGCGGACCCATTACCGCTACCGCTTGGGGTATGGGTTGGAGCTGGGTAACGAACGGGAACCGGGGCTGGGGCTGGGGCGATGTGGCTATGGGGCTATGGGGGCTAGAGCGTTGCGAGCGTTTCATTTGGTCGACAGTCTGCTCCACGCTCTAGACCCCAATAGTTCGGCGCCTGCTCGCGGCAAAACATCAGCAAGATCGATTCGTTCCGATTCGACATTTCGAGTGTGTGTTTTGAGTGTATTTTGAGTGGCGTTGACTAATTCTCAATTCTCAATCGACATCGGTGTGTTCGGCCTCGACTCACAAATCACGACATCCAGTCATCATATCAAATCACAGCGGTAATAACAAAAAAAAAAAAAAAAAACTTGACAACAACAAGCTTTACATAAAAATGCAATCGAACATGCGAGCATAACAAAAACAAAATCGAGTTTATTGATTACGCGGGTTGCCAGTGGCACCATCATATCACCTCACCCCCAAAGATACCCACTAAATCGATTCCCACACAGGCAAAAAATGTATAACATTAAATAGGTCAGGTTGAAAAAAGTATAAATTAAATAAAAACTATGTAGTTTAAAGGTAAATTAATGGAAGTTTTTAAAATTTGAAAAGTTTAGACACCATAGGTTTTTCTCTCTGCATAAAGACCCCCTAAACCTTAAACGTTGACTTCCCACATATTTATTGATTAACTCGTACAACATACGATTATGTTTGTACATCAGTATGAACCATATATATGTATATACCTCTTATATGTACATCAATTAAACGAAAGAGGTCTTATCTGTGGTTGGCGCGTGTTTACCTCCAGTGAATTTTAATGCTGATTTGTTTCGATTGCGATTCGCACTTGTGGAAACTATTCCATGGCTTTTGACCATTTTACCGTGAAACCGACAGTGTGGCGAACGACTTGCGCCACTTGCATGGAAATGGCATTGGCCAAAGCCGGTTTTTAGCTTAAATGCTTGAGTAAATGAGCAAATATCAAGCTAGCAAAAAATTTAAAAATAAAACCCTTCTATGCACTGTTTGTTTTAGCGACGAACCACTGTGGAGGAGCTCAAGTGGTATGTGGGCATCTGGGAGGCGAATGAGTTCATTGATTAAAGTGCTCAGCTGACGTTGGCGTTTCTTTCTTTGTGAATCTTATCAGAGAGCTAGCTCCCAGCCAGTGGCAGCAATTGGAAAACCCAATTAAAAAACACCAATATACTCGATCGTATGAGTCTTAATTCCATGCAAAAAAAAAAAAAAAACCAATTGGTGTGTTTAAATGCAGATACTTGCGTAGTAAAATCGTATATATACTGCGAGTGTATCAGAACTCTGGAATTGACTGGACAAAGTCCATTAAAATCTTGTCTGACTCGCCAATCACTCTCCCGTCCGATCGGTCGAACAATAGCAAAAGTTTAACGTTTATCATTCGATTGCGAAAAGTGCTGAAATAAAACTGATCGGGGAAAGAATGAAAATATCAAACTGTCAAATCACTCAACGTCTTAGATAGAATTCTAAAAGTGAGAAGGTGAACACTAGAAATGTGGATACTTTCACAAAGTGCTGCCCCACGTAAGCAAACCCGCCTGCTCAAGGGTTTGTTTAATATTTTTATTTATTTGTTTTTTTTAAACCGAAACGTGTTGAAAATAGGAAGTTTCGACCCAATGGATCGGATCGTATGGCTCATTATTGTAAATCCATATGAGTAGACAAATGTCGTGGAAGCGGTTTTGTAAGCTTTCGTAATTCTGGAATTCAAGGGCAGCCCACAAATGCGTGAATGCTAATTTGGCGCGACGACCTTTCTCGATGTCATTTCGAAATACGAGCACCCAGTTAACTAAGTAAAATATGCAAAAATCGCATTCAAAATCGAGATCACCCACAGTACAGAATTTTTTATACCTCGTAGTCCCAGGGAGTCTCGTTTATTTTCTTTAAAAATTATTCCTCAATTTTAAAATTAATTTCCAACATGTGTGAATTGTTTTAAAGACTTTAGAGACAATGATTTATGGAGGAGAATTCTTAAAATAAGTAATCAAGTACCAGGTATTTTTAAGACAAAAATAAGAAAAGGTTCATTGTTGCTTTCATGTAGTTTATTTTTGCTTTGCATTCGTTTTGCGTCATTGAAATGGCAAGTTTTTATTACCACATCTGTTTTTATCCAAATGGTGAATATTATCATCTTACAGAATTAAAATTAGTGGACTGGCGATAAGGACTAGTGGTAATTTAATTAAAGTCCAGAACTTATCGTCTTCTGTGGCAATGAAAACTTTAATTTCAATATGGACAAGGTCTTTCATTGATTCTGCCCAAATAAAAAGGCGGAAAGTCATGGGTTCTTTTAAAAAACCTATTAGAATACCTCTGATACAGCAAATAGACTTTTGACACCTTTATTGTTATTGAGTTATCGTGAATTCGGTAGAAACTACAATAATAACCGATAAGAAATTCTTAGGTAATGGTTAAATGGGAAAATAAATTGGACTGGTCGGTTGCCATTTAAAAAGCTTATCAATATTACAATATTTACAAGTATTGATTGGCCTGTGATAAACTTTTCGCCAACAATGTGAAGAGTATGAGACGTGATTAATTTTTGGTCTTTAGCCTCGACAAGTGTCACACCACTTTTTCGCATGACAAAATAAGACAAAAACCAAATCAATGCCAGCAACGTGCAAACCAGGGAAAAGTAAAAAAGTCAGGTGGCTTCTTCCTCACCTTCCTGCTAGTGTGAGAAATTAAGCAGACTGGAATTTTAGAGACCAAAGTCTAGTCAGAACCGAGCTCACGCCAGGGGTTAATGGAATAATACAGAAAAAGTATATATGCTTTGGGAAAATCTATCCAATTTATTATTGGCGACATTTGAGCAATGGGAAGGACAGGGTCAGACACTTAACCGCCGTGTTCCATTTTAATTCAGCGCCCCAGTGTCGGGAAGTGTGAGCACTAATTGATCGTGTGCCCGGAATGCTAATTAGTTAGACGAACTTCACCTAGAACGTTTGATTCGTCACAGGGGTATCAGATCAGGTTCCACCAAGATCAGGCTAGCGGGCAGTACACGAATGCGACTATTTATGAATTTCAATTAATTTATTCAATGCTTTTTTGTGCAATTTCAGGGTTTCCTCTTGAATTGAAAACCAAAAAGGCACTATGACTGGATCAGGTAAATATTATAATTTAAGAAAACAAAAAAATTAAACAAAAAACTGCAGCCAAGTAACAAATATGTGTAAATTATTCGTGGCAAGTTTTCAGTATTTTGTTTTTTAAATTATTGTGGCATACTTTTTGGGGCAGATTTTCAGTAAAATGTAGAAAAGTCTACACATTTTTTGTAGCTAAATATAGTTACTTCAAATATTAATTCAAATATTAAATATTATGTATTTTTTTCAGTCCTCGATCCCAAATGGAGCCTGGAGCGACGCGAGTCCTCGGGCCATTTAGTTTGGCGCAAGGATTCGCCCGAGTCCAAGGTACGCTTTCGCTTCGACGTGGAGGTCCTGGAGTTCGAGAAGCATCCGCACGAGGAGCTGGAGGACAAGGAGGACCACTTTTCCATGACCAGTCTCTCGGCCACAGTCGCCATGTGCGCCACCTGCGTCGCCGTGGTGGCCGCCTCCGTTTTCCTGCCCTGGTACCTCATGGAGAAAGTGGGATCTCTGTGAAAGGATAACGGTTGCGCTGGCAAAGGCACAAGATACGTGTATATAGGATACAGCCTGACGGTATTAAGTAGACTCTTGTACATAAGCAAGCGTAGATTTAATTATTTTTAAATAGTACGTACGTTGTAAATAGACTTTATGCGTAAACTGTGTGGTTAATGAATTTTTGTATAAATCGACAAGGAGTTTGAAAAACTCATTGGTGCAATACGATTGCAAGTGGAGGATTGTGGATAGTAATCTAAAGTGTGTAATTTCTCATAAGGTTATGCAGATTAAATATCACAAAGATAGTTAATGGAATAAACGAAATACTTGCCCAAGAGTACTCTGTCTAGTCTTTTAATAATGGATATCTCGCATATATGCAATAAAATTGGTTGATAAAAGCATCCCAGGAATTCAAACAGAAGCCTGGATTGTAAATATTCATCACGAACAATGCTGGGCCACTTCTCTTTGAGTTGCTACCAGGAATCCCAAGCAACCAATTAGACCGTCGGTGGAACACAATGGCCTCAATGCAACCCCAGACTCTAGAGCAATCCACCCCCGTGGCGGCAGCATCCCTTGTCCAGCATCCCCTCTAGGGGTTGATGGCGTAATTCCTATTACGATGTGGTGTCTTGATTAAAATTTCGATTCCCTTTTTATGGCCATGTTAAAAGCCACGGACCTTCCATAAAATTTTATGCAATAATACCATTGGACAGCGTTGGCGAAAAATGGCCGAACGGAGAATTTAATGAGCCACCCCAATATTGGGTCGGAAAAACTAATTAGTAACAGCCATGCCTTTAATATTTGAAGTCAAGAACTACCTGCACTTTAAAAAATCAATTATTTTTCAATTAAATTGTTGTCAAGCTTTTCTAAACAAAACTATCACAAGTGCTTAAATTTGTTAATGAAATTCCACTCATCCGGACAGGAACTTGGCCTACGTCAGAGTCGAAACTGATTTCCGTAATCTCGCGTATACGGCGTGGAGTGAAGTTGGATCATGATAAGCTCTCGTGGGGGATAAGAACGGGGAGAGCCGTATAGCCGTTCGGGGGGCGGTGATAAGAGCTCCTCCGTACCGTGATAACATTCTCATAAATGTGGCAATCTTATTATTTACTGATACTCGCTCTGGCGTTTTGTTGTGTTTTTGGATTTTGTTTTTAAGTTTTTGCTTTCGTTTTTTATTAGCTCGTTGCTTGAGCGTATAAGCCAGTGACTCAGTTTGCTTTTAGCCCCAGTCGAGAGCGGACGACCGAGATCTGAGATCTATAAAGATCATCGATCGCTCCAGATACTTAAGAAACACGGAGGAGATATTGCCCAGTAAAGCGAACGCAATCGAGAGGCGATCCCATCCGATCTTGTTTGAATTCGAATCGCTGGCCGATTGAAGCAAAGTGAGTCCGATCCGATCTAGTCTGCCGCCTGATCTCCATCCGGACTGACGTGTTTCTCCGCCTCCTCCTGCTCAGTAGAATATAAAGAAGCCACCATAGCCGATATCTAGCACTTGCACTTGCTGATTAGAGCTGGTCTCCGGGGGTGCATAGAACACTAGTAATCGAAACGAAACAAGCTCCGGCATAAATAACCAGTTTTCAATTCAAATGTAAGTCCATCAAGGTCGTTCTCTCATTATTATTGAGCTTATTTTTTGTGTTTTTAATTTCTGGCCCTGACGACATTTGTTTGTTTTCATTTTTTTTCCTCGTTTTCGGTTATAATTTGTTCTCAGTGCCTTCAAAATGTCTAAAATGCCAGAGACAACGTTCGCCGACTTGAGTTTGGCTGATAAGGTAAATATACATACGTCGACTTCTTAGACGAATTTTATTCGAAATATTATATGGAATATTTATGAGGTAGGTGTGTGTTGGTAAAAACCCGACTTGGCGACTAAATTAAAAACAGCACGTGACATCTTGTGAAAGCAAAACAAACAAAAGCCCCAGCAACCCGCTTAAAAAATATTCATAAAGTCTAGTCAAACCACCTCGAAGTTTTGAATACCCTCTGTGCAAGTGATCGTATAATTGGGTCCATAAAATCATATACACCGGAAGATAATTTCTCAAATTTACACTATAAACTTCCAAGTCATTATCCCAGTGCAGATTTTCGATCTTTGATTTGTTAGGCCATGAATCGGTTGTAAATCTCAACTAATTAGGATCGTAGAATAATATAATCTTGTAGATACAAGATCGTGTTATTCCATATGGCCCGGCGATTTGTAAACAACAATAGCAAAGGCACAAATGTGGATTTCATTAATTCGTATGTTTACATGCACTATATGGAGGTCCGGATTCGGGATCTGTACATTTGTGTTTTCATATTCCCATCCGCGATCAATTGGCGCGTCGAATTATCGCCGGTATGCTAAATGATTTCAATTAGCTTCGTGCCTCGAGCTTATTCGCATGTTTTTCCATTCGCGTTTTCTTTGCATTAAAATCTGGATTTCTCCGGAATTGTTACTGATTTAGCACCAGTTAGAAGACACCCGTAAGTTTCTCATCAAACATTAATCAGATCCGAATCTACGTCTGTTTGTCATAAACACATATCAGTGCGAAATAAATTAATCCGATGGCCACCTGTTAATTGAAAAGTGCAACAAATTCATTGGCTTGTGAATTGGTGCCATTACCGCTTGTTGGTTTTATGATCTTTCATAAAAGTGTTAACAAAACTGGCCAACAATTGAGTCTGCCAGAGAAGAAGATCCTCTGATTTGCATGGGAATCTAAATTTAAGATCCGAAATGCTAATAATTTTTCCATTTTATTCCTGCTCATATGCACGATTTCATTTTTAATTAAAATCATTAGAGCCATTGTTTGCTTAATTCCGATAAAAATGAACATGTTTGTGTAAACAAAACTATATTATCTGGAAATTAATGAATTGTTTTCCATTTTTTATTAGACTGCTGTGAAGAAGTCCAGCATCGAAGCTCGGCGGTTTTCCGATGTCTCCACTTGCTCCTTTAGCTCCAGTAAGTATTTGGATTATGAAGCTTTTAGTAATACTAACTAGTAATATTTAGCCTGTTTTACGGGAAGTTCCGATGAGGAAGAAATCTCGCCCAAGGACAACCATCAACGCAACTCCGCCGGCGGAACAGATTTTTGCGTGAAAAGCATATCAAAGAGTACTTTTGGCCGTCGTGAGATCGAGATTGCGGAATCCGAAATGCCCGGCATCATGACACTCCGAAAAAGGGCCAAGGATGAGAAGCCCCTCAAGGGAGCACACATCGTCGGCTGCACCCATGTCAACGCCCAGTCGGCGGTTCTGATCGAGACCCTGGTCCAGCTGGGGGCCACCGTTCGCTGGGCGGCCTGCAATATATACTCCACCCAGAATGCCGTTGCAGCAGCCTTGGCGGAGGCGGGCATTCCGATCTTTGCCTGGCGAGGCGAAACCGAGGAGGAGTTCTGGTGGTGCCTGGACAGGTGCATTCACAAGGAGGGCTGGACCCCGAATCTTATTTTGGACGATGGCGGCGATGCCACGCACCTGATGCTAAAGAAGTATCCGGACTTCTTCAAGGGCATTCGGGGCATTGTGGAGGAGAGCGTGACGGGGGTTCATCGCCTCTATATGCTCTCCAAGGGAGGAAAGCTCACCGTTCCGGCCATCAATGTCAACGACTCGGTCACCAAAAACAAGTTTGATACATTCTACACATGCCGTGACTCCATACTGGACAGGTGAGAGGAGTTTACGTTTATTTTTTTTTTACTTTTTGATTTAATTGTTTTATTTTTAGTTTAAAACGCACTACGGACATTATGTTTGGCGGCAAACAGGTGGTGATTTGTGGCTACGGGGATGTGGGCAAGGGATGTGCTCAATCCCTAAAGGGCCAAGGCTGCATCGTTTATATCACCGAGGTGGATCCCATCTGTGCCCTCCAAGCAGCTATGGACGGGTTCCGGGTGGTACGGCTGAACGAAGTCATTCGGACTGTGGATGTGGTGGTCACAGCCACCGGAAACAAGAACGTGATTACCCGGGATCACATGAATCGCATGAAAAATGGATGCATACTCTGCAATATGGGTCATTCCTGCTCCGAGATCGATGTGGTAAGTACTGGGAATGCAAGACTCCTGTATATCTTTTAATATCTGGTTCCTCTACAGAACAGCTTGCATACGCCGGAATTGACTTGGGAACGTGTTCGCTCCCAGGTTGATCACATTATCTGGCCCGACGGCAGAATGATTATTCTTCTGGCGGAAGGCAGGCTGGTGAATCTCTCCTGCTCCACAATTTCCTCGTTCGTGGTCTCCGTGGCCTCCTCCACTCAGGCCCTCGCCCTGATTGAGTTGTACTCGGCGCCAGGAAGGTACAAGTCGGATGTCTATCTGTTGCCAAAGAAAATGGGTAGGTGTTGAGTAAATTTTAATAATAAAAATTTATATAATTTTAAACTTTATTATTTACTAGATGAATACGTGGCAAGTCTGCATCTGGCCACTTTTGATGCTCATCTCACAGAGCTCACGGATGAGCAGGCGAAGTTCATGGGCCTGAACAAGGCGGGACCTTTTAAAGCCAATTACTACAGGTGCCCTTAATAGTGTTTAATTCTTTAAACTATAATCTAATATCCCTCTTTTGTTACAGATATTAATCAGTATTAAATGTTATATTCTTGTTACTCTTGTTCTGTAAAATTGATATTAGAAAAAATATATATATACTCGTAAAATTTAAAATTTTATTTAATGGTCATCATTTAGTTTGTAAACTATTTAGTTATTATGTATTTTATTATTATTTTTATTTAGTTTAAATGTTATTTAAATGTTTGCGCCCAAAAATGAACTAGTTCATCTATTGCATCGCGCTTTTAATTGCTTAGCGCCCTCTGTTGTACATATAGGCAAAGCTGTAGTTGTTATTTACTGACAAGAGGGGTCGCTCTTTGACAGCCAGTTATAGTATTTTTTAAACAAAAGGAATCATTTTTATTAACTGCATATTCGAGAATTATTTCTATTATAAAATAAAACTATCATACATATATTCATTTACTTTTCCGTCAAATTTTAGAAAGTCTCAGTTTCAGATATATATACATAGGTTTTATTTCGCCCCGTAGTCAACCACTCATTCGTTTGCTTTGCTAAATTTTAAAAATTTTACTTAAAATGACTGATTTTATGGATCGCATTTTGAAATTAAAAAAACTTTTATCCAACGGCAAGGAAGATCAGCCCTCCAGTCCAACTCCAGTCCGTTCTCCGGTTTCTAAATTTTTGGAAAGTAAGCGGTGCATGGGGGAAACCCTTTTATTGATCAGGCTAATGTCCGAAAAATACGTGGAATCCCAGGAAAATATAGATCCGGAGAAGGATGAGAATTCCTTGGTGTTGAAAAAATGTGAGTATCAAATTTATGAAACATCCATTTTTACGAATATATTATATGCAGGCTCAAAGATAATGAGGGAACTTTATTTAATCCTTCCTTGGGATAACGACGGAGTTGAAATGGATCAACATATACAAAATACCTATCAGTATAAGCTTAGTTCGGTTCTTGTGGAGCTGGAGAAAATGGCCAAAAATCCGTCGAAGAGCCCTCGCCCTCAGCAGGCACTTCCCAAGGCAGTGAATACTGATGAGTTGGCCGATCTTAGGGCTAGGTTCAAGAAATTAGACGCAATACAAAAACTGCAGGACGTGTCTCACAAGCTTTTGGGTTTGAAGGAAGCTATTTCAGACCAAAACGCCGAAATTTTAACCAGAAAAAATTCCGAAGAGATGGTGGACAAGGAGAAGAGTGACTCTGCGGATATTAAGAATCGTCTAGCCCATACCGAACATAAATTAAAATCAGCCAACGAGATTATAGCCCATACCGAACATAAATTAGAATCAGCCAACGAGATTATCAGGAAACTCAAGGACGCCAATAAAACGCTGCAGAAAAGCTATATGGCTATCCAAAGAGATCACACGTACAAAAGAGATCCTATCCCTGATAAAACCCAGCTTTCAAAGAAAGCTCTAAAAACTTCAAGTGCCATGAAAGTAGTACGAAAGGAACTGGTACCAGAGACAATAAGAGTCTTGAAACAGCAACTAATATATGCCCAAGAAGAGTTGACACAAAACAAGAAAATCGTGTCAGAGATCAAGCGGGATATCTCCAACCTGTGCTATAGCAATACCAAGATGTCAAGCTCAACCAACAAAAAAATAGCCTATAAGACTTCTTTTAAATCTCTGAAACACACAGGAGAAGAAACTATGCGAGTAATCGATGATACCCTGAAAGCTCTTCAGTATCATAAGCAACTGAAGTTCCCCGCCTGCGAAATAAAATGGAAAGTAGTGTGCCGCTCTTTGCAGAACAATCTTCTGGCGGTCCGTGAGAATTGGAGGCAGTTGGATTTGAATTACCTTAAACAAAATTCTACAAAATGTGCTAGTAATTTTATTATAAAATCAGAAACGCGCCCCGAGATGCGGTGGGACAAGATATCCTTAACAAGCAAGGACTGTTCGAGGAGCGTCGTCTCTAACGTCTCTTCGTTTTCAATCTTCGACGGCAAGACCTTCGGTGACCGTCGTCTATGGGCTCTGAAGTGGTGTAAAGAAAAGATCCGACCCTATGGCGTTCCCATGTACGAGTTTTCCGAATCCTGGACCAGCGGTCGCGCCTTATGCGCCCTCATCCACGCCTACCGGCCTGAGCTAATTGCCCCCAAGTATCTACGACGGACCGGACCGGTGGAGACGCTTGAATTTGGCGTTGATGTTGCCAAGGGTCTGGGTGTTTGTAGCCCCATTGATCTAATGGATGAGTGCACCCGTGAGAAGCCAAACTACGAGAGGGTACTAGAGTTCGTTCAGGAACTACGGCGTTGCCTGGAAGCACTTCCTTAGTATATTTTCGTACTTTTCGTAAAGGCACGGGTGTAGTTGCAGTTCTTAATAAATATTCTATATATTTTGAATCAAGTTAAGATCAATTTTTTTTTATTCTGTGGGTTTTTTTGAAGGTTTTTATGAATACGGAGTCTATACAGCAGACATTGCCATCTCTCCCATTTTGCCAAATTTCACATAATTTTTTACACATATCATTTCTATCACTTATTTAATTCATTGAAAATATACAGAATCATGCAGTTACGAGTCCAGCTGATCGTGGAAACCAGAGTTCGGCCAATAGGCCATAATGCCGAAGAGGGTTCTCCGTTCACCACGAGGCCCAATCAGAGGATTCAACTGCATCAGGAAGGTGATCAGCCAGGCCATGTAGCAGCAGACGCAGGTGAGGATTATGCAGCAACGGATGACGCTGCTCTCCTGCCACAATCGAGCCAGCAGGCTGCCCACAATGGCAATGCCCAGGAAGATTAGGGTCACCAACCCCAGAACTACGAACTTGTCCATTTCCGGAGACGACAGACTGTAGAACTGTCAACTTTTGACTAGTTTTTCGCTCCTAAAATGATTCCTGCGATTCAGCTTTGAATCGAAGGAACCCCTGAAGCGGAGCTTGGTGGCATCCATTCAAGCCGAAACCCAATTTGGATGCACTCATAAACTTTTATGGTTGCGAACATTTGGATATTTTATGGCCAGCGACCAGGCCAGGCGGAGGCTGCAGAACGGAGCGGGGAAGGTTGTATAAATGGAAAACTGTATACATTTTCCGAGTGCGCCGAGTGGGCATCAATAAAACCGCTGCACGCATCCCTGACTAAGCGCAAAATCCGTTTTACGAGGACTGCCAGCTCTCCATCAGCCATCAGTTGTCCTGGTATCCTAGCATCCTGGCAGGATGGTCTCGCTCCCCCATCTGGGGCTGAGATGATGCCATAAGTGCCCGGGCGCGACTCATAAAATGGCGGCTGTGAAATGGCAATGCAATGTTGGCTGGGACGGTGGTGGTGCTGGCCAGGGTGGTGGTGGTGGTGTAATCGAGTTTTCCCAAAGTAGCAATAAATGTTAATGGCGGCATCGAATTTTCCATTTTCTCGCCATAAGTATCAAGACGTCCGGTGCCAAGTTGGCAGGCTGGCAACGGTTATTTCGCGGCCATCCATTAGGTCTCGTCCTTATGGAGTGCAGAACAGTAGCCCTAGCATTGCAAGTCAACTTCGCACCTCTCCCAACCCCTGAAACTGAAAACTATACGCATGTTTCGTTGCCAAATCCATTGCATATCGTAAATCACAGAGCCCTGATGTTTTCTTCTTTTTTGACTCGCAAGCAAATGCAAATCGGTCCAAAATGTGTGATTTCCCTTTTAACACAGTCGGCTCTTAAGGTTTTTTTAAGGTGCAGGTTTGTCTTTTCAACACAATGCCTTTGACGAACCGTCAAAATATTTGAGAGTTCTTCGACGACTATTCAGGGAGTGTGGGCGACAGCAAAAAAACTGCGTGACTGATTTCCCAGAGTGACCTCAAAGCAAGTGCAAGTGCTATCAGTCATTGCACTTTGACTCGCAAGAGAAAAGAAGACGCCAAGCGCCAACAACAGGCTTTTTCTAGAAAATTTTATAAAATTGTCTTGTTTTTCATTGATTTTTATTAATTTTACTAGAGATAGCATTATTCGTTTCTCATTACCGTCGGCAAATATTGGTTTTGGTAACTAAGTAATGCATCAACCTGCTGCTATAAAATCCCAAAATTCTGAAAAAGTATGGAAGCGACTATATGAGCCCCACCGATGCCTATATCTTTGCCAATATTTATCCGATTCTTGAGCGGGATACCTTGAAAGAATTGTGGATTGATTCTCCATCGATCTGCATCAAAATCTAGGAACAAATTATTTTTTAGATTTTTTGTCAAATATTCTAGGGGGTCCCCTTCAAAATTTGGAAAATGTATGGAAGCGACTATATGAGCCCCACCGATGCCTATATCTTTGCCAATATTGATCCGATTCCAGAGCGGGATACCTTGAAAGAATTGTGGATTGATTCTCCATCAATCTGCATCAAAATCTAGAAACACATTATTTTTTAGATTTTTTGTCAAATTTTCTAGGGGGTCCCCTTCGAAATTTGGAAAATGTATGGAAGCGATTATATGAGCCCCACCAATGCCTATATCTTTCCCAATATTGATCCGATTCCAGAGCTACCTTGAAACCTACCTACCGGGATACCTTGAAAGAATTGTGCATTGATTCTTCATCGATCTGCATCAAATCTATAAAAAATAAAACTGTTGAAAGCATAACTATAACTTACTAAGAACTTGTATTAGCCAGTCGTATTTAAACTTTTTTAAAAGCTAGGTGGGTGCTATTTAAAGGCAAACTGAGAATTGATGCGATTTTAGCACAACTGTCCCCGGATTTCTGAACGCATCTCACATGGATGTGCTGAGTGCCAGAGCCTGGACAATTCGGATTAGACGTACGACTCTAGCACGCGTTGTTTGCTTAGTTACTTAGCGGCTGGAGCGGTCTTGGCATCGGAGAAGGAAGTGTTCCAAACACAAAGCTTGCCACACATTTCGCAGGTAAACACCTGGCCGGGCGTCGCGTCGAATCTTTGGACCGTGGCGGTTCCGTTGGCGCTGTTTCCCATTCCCACTACCTCCTCCTACCCATTGGAGTATCTTGGAAAGGGCCTGTTTTCTGTTTTGAAAGTCACTCTCCGCTAGGCGACGTCACATCTACTCGAAAAACAAAAAAAATAGAGCTCTCCCAGCCTTTGTTGGCTTTGGTTTTCACACATTACCCTGCCCAGGTAAATTGGCCTAGAATTTTGAAAACCAGTGGCTAAAAAGAGGAATTTCATATGGAAATTACTTTCAGTTTTACAATGACACTTATTATGTTGTAAAATGTTTAATATTTTGAAACATTATTATAGGAGTATCCATGTTAGAGTTAACCTATGTTCGTAGAATCTTAACAGAAAATGTCCTTTTAAGGAGGTAGAACTTGGTTTCCAAATGTCATACCATAAGAATACTATTTAGCATTAGAACATAATTTATTACAACTTGCAGATATTAAATTGTTTTATTTTAAAAAGCCTTAAAATTTAGCTTTATTTATATTTTCTTGTTTTTGGGCACTTTTTTTTATGGTACTTTCCATTTTAGGACTGTTAAGATTAGATAAAATTTTTGTTTTATGTTTCATTTTTACTAATGACCTTTTGGGTATTATTCATTAACTTTAAATAACTATTAGTAATATTTTTATATCAAGGCCAATAGACTTAATATTTTGCATATCGTATGTATGCTTTATAGAAATGGACTACTTCCATTCGATTTAGGGCCTAACAAAACTCAGCAGGTTACCGTATTAAGGCTTTAAATATTAAACCAAAGAATCAAAAAAAAAGTAAATAAGCCCCAAAATTCATCCAAATGTGGGCGTCCACCCCGACAAGCTGGATTTCCATAAAACGGAGTCTGCGCACAATAAAATGCATCCGTTCCGCCGATGGTGATTGATTTTTGACGTGGCACGAACACGGCTCATTGCGTGTATCCTTATCTGTGGCAAGTGACTGGTACTGCTGCGCACTGCGCAGACACAGACAAAGATACGGATACGCGGAGCATTCGTATGTGTATGTGGGGGCGGTGGTTGATTCCTGTCCCTGGCGAATTTATGTATCTGGAGCGGTGCCTGCAACCCCTCAGTTCGATGTATCGAAATCGAAGAATATTGAAAAATTCTTATGGGGGTGTGAGGTTTTTTTTTGTGAGGGTGCGGGTGCGAGTGCCGTTCGCAAGATATATGCCCGTCATATATCTAGTTCCGTTCCCCATGCCGCTGTATTTATTTGTTTATCTACTATTTATGATACCGAATCCTCCCCGGGACCCGGGACCCCATGTTTCGTCACGGTCGCTGTTGTTGCCGATTTTCCTATTGCCATTGCTGTATCTGTATCTGTAGCTGGGTGTTGTATCTGTATCTGTGGATATAGCTAAAGCCTTAACCATACTGGCATCGGAACATTGGGTGACTCTTGGTGGCGTTGGCGTCGGCGTGGTTGTCGTTTGTTTTTTTTTCTGAGCGTGTGTGCGATTGCGATTCCTGGAAACTAACAACCATTCACAGACAGCGGAGAGCTCGCACACCATTCAGTTCAGTCTCGGCTCGACTCCAAAACTGGCTCTAACACTTGGCCCCGCCGGCGCGTTCTTTCACGAAAGTGTTAAAATAATAAACCAACAATAACCGCAATAAGAACTCCAGAAACATCGGGGCCCTAAAACGGGAACTATAACACTCGTAATTGTCGGAGACTATTGGACACAAAAAAAAAGACTCAACAAGGAATTTAATGTGCAATTTTAATAAACATTCCGCGGTAGCCAAGTTACTATGTGCTTTAAATTATAGCCACCATCAAATCGAACCTAAATCTGCCAGACTGGTGGCAAATATCTCGCCATTATCAATTATACTACCCAATTGCCTATAATTCCAGTAATCCGGTCTTGAATTACTATTGCATTCAGAGCCGACGGTGAGTGACACGATTGCAGTATTTGCATGTTTATTTAAGTGATTGTTAAAAATTTAGTACATTTATTTTTAAATGGCAAGTTATAAAGCTTGATACCGATGCAAAGCGGTCGTGGGTGAGTAAAATTTGTTGCAACGTCGGGTTTTTGGGACTAAAAATATTTATTGCAAAGAGTTTAAATAAGAATTGAAAATGTAATTCTTAATAAGTTATTTTTATTCAGAATATCTGTATGAGATTCTCTTTATTTATATTAAAGTTTTCGTAACAAGAATTACATACATCACTTTTTATTGTCAATAAGTAATTGCGATTTGGTTTCATTCGTATATGGTTTATGCTTTAGGAATGCTTAAAATTAAAATCATTTAAAGTCAGAGGCTCTTAGTGAACATTTTGAACATATATGGAATCTGTT